AAGATGACAGCCTTGTCCCTTTATCCCTAGCATGTCGTAGACAAATCTCTCATTGAACGCAGCATTTGATTGGTTGAATATTTCAATAACCTAGAACATGTTAAGTTAGAATTTCGTCAGATCATGGATCTATGTTGAGTCACCTATAAAATAAATATAGAAACCAATTACAAAATAAACGAGATCAGAGCATTTAATTGGCTGATAATTAACATGACCTAGAACATGTGTATGGATAGAATTTTGTAAGATCATCGATGACAAGTTGAGTCACTCACAGAATAAAAACGAAACCTCTGGATCTATATTTCTATCCACATTTGAATCAGATTATCTGAGATCTAAAATAAAATCATACCTATTGTAAAGTTCTTTATGCATTCTATCCACCGACGCAAGTGCATCTGTTATTTGGAGGTTGGCCGTAATTGACACAATAGCCACCTCGGCGATTGCATCCAGCGTCCGCACACCCTCCCCAGCCAACACTCATACAGCCACATGTAGAGCAACCCTCAACCTGCAATGGACGTTACAATATACTAAGTGAAATCTTTTCTATGGGTATCGTCTTTGAAGGTCCAAGGTTCAATCCCGGCATAAATCGAAATAATACCTTCAGGTTTCCAACCCGGTTTTGTCAGTGATGTAGGTAGGCTCGTCTTGTCTTTCGGTGGGATAATAAACAGAGGCCCTTTGTGCAACAGGCTGTGTACGATAAAGATCCCTCGACCGTTGGAAATCTAAAAAGTGTAGGCTAATGCTGCTGTCCTGATAATTTTCCTCACTATCAAAAAAACGAATGACTTGATACACTAATAGTTCAGATTATCGGACTAACTGTCATCTCTCCCAAGGTTAGGCATTATCGCTTCATTAGTCGGCCATAAAATCTTTTAAAGACTAAAGACAATCTCTATATATAATATTACAGGCCCTGAAAGTAAACTGCAGTCTTTATCATATTGGTTATTCCAGTGGCCAAATCAAGGGCAATAACTCAGAAACTGTTCGACGAAAACTTATGAAAATAAATACCTCGGTGATCTTTAGATATTTGCAAAGATAAACTAGGTCAAATTTCAGTCAAATTTGAAATTTCGTGGTTTTCAGAAGCTCTTTGAAACGGTCCACGAAGGGCTTGGGTAGCGGGCAACAATCGAACTCACCGAGACACGAGGGCCCTACCCAATTCCAGGTCCACACGAATACACTGAAATTCAAAATTTGAAAAGACATACCTCAATATCATTTTGTCCCAAAAAAACAACCAACAAAATTAAAAACAATGCCACAGTTTTCATTTTGGTTTACAATTTCTGAAAATAGATACGTCACAAATTCCGTTTAAAGAGACAGAATTTTCTGCTTACCACTTCGACACAAGAAATCAAGTGAGTGTGGGTACTGCAAAGCGACTTTGTTTACCTAGATAGGTCCATCGATTTTTCTTACCAGCCACGCAACAAAATACCAGTTCCGCTCTATTTCTGCTGTCTTGTATAGTGGTTAAAGTATACTAAGGTTCGGTTGTTCTAATAGGCTACTGCACTTCTTCTGTACGACACCATAGTCTTCTAGACTCTATTTTGATGACAAGGAACGCGAGTTACATAGGTACAGATTCTCCAATAAGATGCGTTCCTCATCTCTCTAGTTCATGCAAGGTCTATGCAGGCTCCTATTACTATTCTTTGCTTACCTTGACAAATGACGTTCGATGCAATGATCCGATTCTACACGTTCGATTCACCTTGTCGTTTTACCACTAACGCTTTCTTGTGCTTTAGATTATTTCAAAAATAGAGCACGGTTAAATTTTTGTAATTTTTATGGTGTCTCTGAGTCACTTTCTATGTTTATCCACACAATGTGTAATTGGAAACCGTCCAAGGTCTTATGTCGTCGATTTTTGTGGATTATAGTGATGTTGTCCTATAGCAATGGCGGCTGTAGAACTTGTAGATTGTGAGATGCTCGCCAAATTATTTTAAAATCTATTCCAGGGGAAATTTTCTAAATAAAGGGGTTAACCCTGCATTTTTCTATTTGAAAGAGCTTTCTTTCAATACTGATCGCATACTTAAAATTTTTCACCCAAAAATTATACATTTTGGTTCTTTGGGGTAGGCCATGGCACCCATGGTGTCCTCCTGGATCTGCCATACCACTGTAATCCATAGCTTTAGATCCATTGGAAGATTTTCCGACCCTCGCATATGCACATATTGTCGTTTTGAATCCATATCATCCAAAAAGAAAAATGTAATTGTGTTTTTTACAAACACTTTAGTCCCAAATAACCAGTCTATGATGTTTGAAATACCAGAATCCCGTGACCACGTGACAATCTGGAATAGTAAACAGTGGCTGCCATTTTATGTTGCTGCTCACTAGCTTTTCCAGTTCTCCTTTAAAAGCAATTAGATTGAGTATGAAGGTAAAACACATGTACGTTCTGAAAAGTGTTACGGGTAGATTATTTAGGGCACAATATCCCTTTAAAAGCATTCGAGTGGAATAAGAAATCCAATACACCAGTAACAATAACACACTTAATTATTAACTATTACAGGAGGCCTTATCAACATACACAGCAATGTCAATACCACACGACTACTTCAATGGTCTGGTATAATACACCATGCAGTGTGCAATGAGGGAAATTTATTAACAATACCTGCCGTAACAATAGCACACTTGATAATTAACGATTATAGTAATCGCTACTTTCAACATGACACTATATTCAGTGTAGTCAGAGTAACTCTCTCATGTCATGCAGTGTACAATGAGGGAAATATTGCTAGAAATACTTCTAACAAAAGCAATCCCTGCTATCAACATGACACGGCATGATATCCAGTGTAATACACCATCCCATGCAGTGTACAATGAGAAAAAATATTGCCAAAAGTACACCAGTTACATAAGCTTATGTAATTATTAAAGGCCCTTCTATCAACATGACATTGTATTCATTGTAGTCCGAGTCTACGTCTTGCTGACTGTCTTTATTAACTCAATAATGTGTAGAAGAGAAGGACTTCAAAAACTCTTATTTCATTTCATTTCATATATTGCATTACATATTAACTGTCTTTCTTTGGTTATTTATTGGTTAACTATATTTCTGAAAATATTATTTTGATAAATCAACAGGCTTTGTCATATTGTTATGTAAAACATTTTTTAACGTCGATGTGCACCCGAAAACCTAACACAGGACCCCGTTTTTCAAAAATTTTCACGTGACCAAATCGGTAAAGTGACAAATTCGCTATTTTTTGACCAATCACATTTTAGTCTTAGAAAGGGGAATTTGTTTTTAGCTAAGCCAATTAAAAAACGGATTTCCTTATTTTTAGTGTCAAATTAAGCAGACTATTTGATTTATTGGTGTTTCTAATGAATTATCATGTATTCTTCATCATATCATTATGTTTTACCTAATCATAAATGACCATGTATGTACAGTCTGGATAAACAAAAAAAGACTTTTTGACCTTTCTTGATCGGCACTCATTGGAATTCTGCTGGTAATTCTCTTCTAATTTAGCTAATTATGAATTAATTATGGACATGTGAGACAAACTGGTATTTTCCAAGTCATTAGGACATATCTACTTTCTATTCATATAAGTATTAGCATTTTCGTTTTCATAAATGAAAATAAGGGAACCCATCTTTAAGGATAAAACTAATAACTTCGATAGTACTTTCCGTTTTTAATTAACCCTTTAAAACATATTCGGTTTGATTAAGAAGATACATAGATGTAATTATTACTTATCATACTTTAGAAATATTTTCAGGTATAATTTACGCCTTTCGTGATGATAAAAATTTTGCATACCGCCCTTTAAACGTAAACATCGAAGCAGTTGAACTTAGACATTCTTTTTTTTTTTGGTAACTTTCATAAACATTTCTAAAAATTTGATTGAAAACTTCCTTTTAAATTAAAAAAAAATTTATTTCAAAACTATAAAATGAGATTTTACTCAAGTTCTGAATCGACTTACTCAGCGTGGAACGTCCGATTGAACGTTCACGGCAACCATGAAAGCGATTATTTTGTGTCTAGTTTTGCCACTTGCGTTCTCTTTCCCGATTGATTTCATGCTGTAAACCAGAAAACACAAACTAAAGCCAGAATTCATCGTACCTCAGGATTTGGGGGCTAGGTTTATTTCTGGGTCTTCACACCAAGGAACAGCTATTATATTCCATGGGTTTACTGATAGTGGATATGCTCCTTGGGTTCAGGATATGAAAAACGAACTTCTGACGGTAAGTTGAATTTAATCAAAAAAAGACGCTGGATTTCTCAGTGTGCTATTGGAGTGAAGCGATGAGAACTTCAGTTAGCTTAGTGGGGAAGAATTAAGGGGCTATAGCTAAGTGAATTAACGGCTGCTTTAGTGAGTTACATTTTGGTTCAGTGAGTTAAGGGTGTATATCACAGGGTTGGCGTAATGAGCTACGAAGGTGAGGGTCATTAAGTTAAGGGTTAGCTTAATGTGTTACGAGGGGTTCAGTGAGTTAAGGGTTAGCCTAATGTGTTACGAGGGGTTCAGTGAGTTAAGGGTTGACTTAATGAGCTACGAGGAAGGGGGTTCTTTGAGTTAAGGGTTGGCTTAATGTGTTACGAGGGTGGGGGTCATGAGTTAATGGTTGGCGCAATGAGCTACGAGGAAGGGGGTTCTTTGAGTTAAGGGTTGACTTAATGAGCTACGAGGATGGGGTTCTTTGAGTTAAGGGTTAGCTTAATGTGTTACGAGGGGGTTCAGTGAGTTAAGGGTTGGCGGAATGACCTACGAGGATGGGAGTTCATTTAATTAAAGATTGGCGTAATTAGCTACGAGGGAGGAGGGGGGGGGGGGGGTGATTGAGTTAAGGGAGTCGCTTTATAAGCTACAAGGATGGAGGTTTAAAGAGTAAAGGGTTAATTGGCCTTAAGGGTGAGGGTTCAGTGAGCCAGGGTTATTGCCGACAAAATGGCGTCATTGGTAATAACAGTGGGCTGGAATGTTCATGGAAGTGACGACAGTAAACTATATTAAGGCTTTCATTCGGCAATTCTCGGCAGTTTCCGTAAAGCTGAATCTGTTGCAGAGCTCGAGAGTAAATAAAAGCCAGTTTGGTCTAATGTTCGATGCTCGGTGGAAATCGAATCAAAGGTGTTTAGATTTTCACGATAAACCGTTTAATAAGAGTGGTTATTTTTCAGCTTTTGGGTGGAAGAAGAACACACCGTTAGGACACGTAGATTTTTATCCTAATGGTGGAAGCTTACAGACCGGCTGTCCACGATCCAGACGTAAGTGTTTTTAGTTTAAGATAGTTTTGGGGGGAAAAACAAAGAACGTAAAGAACAACCGAATTCTAGTAAGAGGTGGAATGTCACTTAATAAATGTCGATATTTGGCTTGTTCCCTCAGCACCGGTCGGTGAACTGTCGTACACCGTTAGACATGATACTGACGGATACTGTACATTTTTGACTCGCATATAATTTAATCCGGTTTTGGCAAAAGAGCAACAATTCTTCCAGTCGTTCGAATGCGAAACCAAACTGACGTGCTTCGATAAATGAAAAGCAAAATAAAACAAGTTAGTGCACAGACATAGTTTCCCTCATTGTACACAAAATTACGTTGTCTGTCTCCCTTAAAATCCCAATCAAGGGGCAAAAGAATAAGAATGTAATAAATCATTTGAATTCTATTTATATGTCTTCTTCGTTTAGCTGGTTCGTGCAGCCATATCCGAGCTCCTTTGTTATTCACCAATTCCATCAGACGGTGCCAGTATCTACCAAGAGCTGGTGCCGCCAATTGTCCTGCGGGTCCCGTTGCAGATGTTAGAATGGGTTACTACTCTTATACCATCATGGGACGTGCCCCATCAACGTACTGCCTTGAGACAGCCGGCTCTCCTCCGTATTGCTGAACGGTAAGTACGGTTTCGTTTTTTGGATTTCGTTAGTACTTGATTTATTTATTTTCACCACTGGGTGAGCGACTGGTGCTGATGGACTTATGTTCCCAAGGTCACATTCAGTTCAGTAGCTTTAAGTTAATAAAAAGTACTCCTAACTATAATTTTCGTCTGGTAGGCAGTTTCAGGGCAAAAAAATGTAACGATTTTTGTGGTCTTTTGCGGTTCGGATCCTTACGTTTATTAGTTGGTTCATTCTGACAACCGACACATTTCACCACACTCAAATGCCCCTCGTGATATATGATTTCCCCTCCGAACAATCAAGTCTGGCTACGGGCTTCTGCATATCTTGTATCGTTAGAGACAACCACCATTTATATGTGGTGTTCAGATTCTAAATAAAAGAGAATTATTTTATTATGTTGTTTATTTCGGTCGAAATCTTTCTTTTTCAGTAAACTAGAAAGCGGAGGAATAACAGTTTGAACATATTACAATCAAGAACAATAAAGATATTATATAATCATTTGGATTTATAATTCAACCTGAAATCACCCATAAATGGATTTACCTCCCTTTATTCCATGTAAGAAATAATAGGCTACAGACTACATAGTTTAAATAAATGACATTCTAAACTGGCGTTGTCTCCCTTTAACCAAACACCCTGACCAATTAACATCGATAACCATCACAAAATGGTTTTATCTCCCTTTATTCCATGTAAGAAATAATTGGCTACGGACTACAAAGTTTAAATAAATGACATTATAAACTGGTGTTGTCTCCCTTTAACCAAACACCCTGACCAATTAACATCGATAACCATCACAAAATGGTTTTATCTCCCTTTATTCCATGTAAGAAATAATTGGCTACAGACTACAAAGTTTGAATAAATGACATTATAAACTTTAACCAAGAACCTTGACCAATTAACATCGATAATCATCACAACATGGATCTACAAAGACTACAAAGTTCAAATAAATGACATAATAAATTGGCGTTGTCTCCTTTTATCCAAACACCTTGACCAATTAACATCGATAACCATCACAATATCATAGCCATGTACTTCGATTTTTACACCTTATTCACAGTTCAGACGAAGCACACGAAGTCTGTTAGGAATTTTAGGTTGTTAAGTAATGTTGCGGAAGCGCAGGCACAGGCATGTAGGCGTAACCTCCAGTAAGCGAGGATTGTTTGTGTAGTTTGTTTGTTTGGGAGACAATTTATGACAGCCAATCAAATCGCTGATGGCCTTCAGGAAAATGAATTCGCCAATCTTTAGTTTGTTCTACCACTAACAGGGAACGTGAGCTGGTGTTAGACTGTAGTGAGATAGGCTAGTTTTACCTACATATTTCATAATTTTCACTCCTCGCCGATCGGTTTAAAGTTTTCGATAAATAACAAATAGTTAGGGTACCGTTAACTTTATCACCTTCTGCGTATTTGACTTTACAATCATTGAATCGAGGCGGAGGGTTCGACATTGGAAAGTCCTTTTCTTGTGAATTGCATGGCGATCCCGGTCTCCATTAGGCTCAATCAGAATCAGAAATAATAATACCGGGTTTACTTTCCGCGGTGAAACACAGCAAAAAATAATTAGTAATAGTTCCGAACGTGTGTAGAAGCAGCGATCATTTTGGAAGACATTTTGAAAGTAAATTCTGACAACCGACGAAATCCACATATGCAACTAAACACCATTGCTCCTCCCGAACAATCAGGTCTGGCTAAGGGTTTGACTTTAATAATTGTTTATAATTAAGTATGTGGGTTATTGTTACTAGTATATTTGATAAAATTCACTCATTGCACACTGCAATGAATGTCGTGTCATGTCTGATGGAATTTCAATAATATTTCATATATCGATGTCAATGGCAAATGAAGTAGAAACGTGTGATAGAATGAAAATGGAAGTTGTACGTCCCACTTGTCTTCACCATGTGGGCTAATGAAGACAAACAATGACACACAGGGTACAATGAGAGAAAGTTTTCCAGGACTGCGGTATCTTTAACGTACACAGTCTTAATCACACTGTGTTTATTGTAGAATCCGAACGACTAGACTATTCTTTCAATGTCAGCCCCTCTTACCTACATCACCTGACAGGGGGAAATCGGGTTGAAAAATCAGAAGGTTTTATCTCGATCTATGCCGGGATTGAACTTTTGGCCCTCGGGTTAGTCAGCAAGCCTTGACCTCATGTTCACCAATGTGTAGATGAAGGGAGAATTGAAATAACAAACAATGCAATAATAGTTATAATGATAAATTTCAGTAGATACCAACAATTCTTCCTTACCGATCTAGTTTTTCTGAAAAAAAAGACGTCAATGGAATTAAATTATATAAAAACTTTATTAAAACAGACTCACTAAACAGGGCAAGTGAACTCACTAAAAGGAGGTAACTTCATTTTGTGAGTGTCGTCAGTGTAATTGATTATGATTGGTATAGAGGGAGACAACGCTAGTTTACGATGTCATTTATTCAATGTAGTCTGTAGTCTGTTATTTGTCTCGTCTGTGAGCGTGTCGTCAGTTTAAGATTGGTATAGAGGGAGACAACTCCAGTTTAATTTATATAGTCTGTAGTCTGTTATTTGGAACGTCTGTGAGTGAGTCGTCAGTTTAATTAGCTAAGACAGGGATAAAGGTTGACAACGCTAGGTTATAATGTCATTTAGGTTACGGCTTGGAAAGGGGGGGGGGGGCTAACTTCATTTTTTGAGTGTCGCCAGTTTAATTGGCCAAGACAGGGATAGAGGGAGACAACTTTAGTTTATAATGTCATATATTTAATTTATGTAGTCTGTAGCCTGTTAGGTATATTAGCAAAGGAAGCCAGGTCAATGAACATGAACATCGAACAAAATTTAAAAACAATCATACATACCATTCCGCAATACGGTTCGGAGCCGTCTGTCTCAAGGCAATACGTTGACGAGTCATCCCCCACGGTGGCATTAGCATAGTAACCCATTCTAACACCGGAATCCGGACCCTCCGGACATCTTGCAGCACCTGTCCTAGTTTGATACTGGCATATTCTGATGGAATTGGTGAACAACAACGGGGCTCGGTTATGGCTGCATGTACTTGCTAAAAAAATAAATGATAAATACCTGCAGTTTTATGGATAATTAGCTTTTTTATCGGATTATAGATGGATTTTGTTATCTCCTTATGACGTATTTATGGGGTGGGTCAGAGGGCTGAGCCAAGCCCCCTTCCCCTCAGGCCTGTGAAAGGTCTGATTTTAAAGTGAAATTTAAACCCTCTAAAAGGTCAAAAGTCATGGGAAATCCGTTGGCATCTGACAGAAATTTTTCGAAAGAAAAAAATCCCATAGCACTTACGCCTGAATCGTGGACAGCCGGGCTGTTTGCTACCTCCATTAGGATAAAAATCGACGTGTCCTAACGGCGAGTTCTTCTTCCAACCAAAAGCTGAAAAATAACCACTCTTATTAAACGGTTCATCGTGAAAGTTGGAAAATTCCGGAAGTTGCTGCATGCCATGCTAGACAAGATGGAAAGCGAAATAATTCTTGACAGATACAGTTTCAAAATGGAGTTTTACGCCGTACATTTCTTCCCTCGGGCTGATGATGGTGGTCAGCGTTATGCAGTGCGTGCGGGAAATTTTTACAAGATTGTGTCATTACCCTACATTTTATTTCAAGCACCAACGGTCGTGGGACGTTTAACTCACATAGTCTCAAGAAAACGGAGCATCTGTTTATTGTTTTATCCGAATGAATAGACGCTTTTCCCAACTTTTCCTTGCCCCACCCCATTTGATCCCCCACCTGATAACTGTCTGGGGAAAACTGAGTGCTAAGCATTTTGTGCCAAGGTTCTACTGACCGGTCAACCTGAAAATTTCAAGTTATTACGAACTGAGTCTAATAACTTGATTGAGATAGCCACACTAGCGAATACAACCAATCAGGGAAAGAAAGCTGTATAGGTAATCGGCGGCTATGATTGGCTGTATACGGTAATATACAATCCAATGAAATCGTTTCATTGACAAACTGCCATGATACAAGAAAGGTGGATATTTCACTTAAGGTTGTGAAGATACTTACCGAATCTAAAAAACAAATTCCCGTCGTTAGTATGGATGATGTCAACAAAATTAGCATCAGTTATAAAGAGTCGTTGATCAGGTTTACTGTTTGCGAACCGTGGACCAGCTGGATCCAAAGCACTGATTCTACCAATTGTTTTTCCCATCAGTCTCTGTAAGTTTTTACCCGCAAAGCCTGAAGCATGAGCTCCAAGACTGTGTCCAATCATATGTATCAGTCCTTCGGGAATACCCTTTTGGTTAAACATAGCTCGTATCAACTCAGCAGTTCTTAAGCCAACATATCTCGTGTTTTGGGCAGATTTAAGGTATGACCAAAACCTCAAAGCAGAGCCGGCCCCGGCATTCCAGTTGACGACAATAACGTTAAAGTTATCAACCTTGAACATTAAAAATACAGTCTCAATATGTGCCTAAATGTCGTTGAAAATCCAGCTGCCAAGAGAATCTTCCAGCTGAAGCCAGCTTCTAGCAGTCTTTGAAAATACAGCTGCTAACAGGTTCTACCGGCTGCAACCAGTTGCAAACCGTTGAAAACCCAGCTCGTTGAAAACCCAGCTGCTAACAGAATCTACCAGCTGCAGCCAGTTTCTAGCAGTCGTTGAAAATCCAGCTGCTTTCAGCATCTGCCAGCTAATTCAAAGAATCTGCCAGTTGCTCCCAGAATGAGTCCTCAACTTACCTTAAGAAGTTCGCTTTTCATATCCAGTACCCATTCACCATATCCACTGTCAGTAAACCCATGAATAATAAAAATCGTTCCTTTATGTGAAGATCCACTTATAAACCTGTCTCCCAAATTGTCTGGTCCTATTAATTCTGGTTTTATTTTGTTTTTTCGTGTGTACAGCATGAAATCAATCGGGAAAGGACCCGAAGGACCTAAAATAAAATGAAATCGAGTTTTACGTCCGATTGGTAACACTTCAAGTTTATGGCAGACATTTTTGGGCCTTGCAATTTCATAATAAATAAATTCAGAGCCATATAGTGACGTCATAGAACCCTTAGTTTGAGTGGTATTACAAGAACCACAGAAATCTGATTGAAAATGGGAATGATGCAAATCAATGCTTACAATACACATAGAAAGTTTAGAAAGCCTCTTTACAATCCGTTTAAGAGAATATAAAGGGTACGATTAATGAAAATGTTCTCACTTAAGAATGTAAAAAAAATCACAGTATGTCGACCCTTGTTTAGAAAACCTGTCAGTCTAATTAAGATTAGTCCAAACTTTCGTTCCGTTATTTCATTAACATTTATATTTAATTAAGCCACTTCAGTTGGGGTCTTACGACAGCCCTCTTATCAAATTTTGTCTGCTTTAACCAATCAAATTCCTACCCTTTCCGGCGTTATCATTTCTTGACGCGGTGTTTAAAAGGTTAGGTCAAAAGGTTAATTTGACGAACGTTCAAGAGGACTGTAGTTAGAATCAGACTTCATAATGTCAAGCTGTTTACAAACTTCGTCTTATACCTTGACTGAAATGGCCACTATTCCTGTATCATAGAATGAAGCCAATCAGAGTCCTCGACAGAAAGTCTTTGAACAAAAAGCCATAATGTTTACAGCCTTTCTGTCGAGTGATCTGATTGGCTGAATTCTCTGGCTTAAAGTCCAATCAAATTGCTGCATTCCCTGATACAAGAATAATGGCTATTGGCATTGACATATGTACTCACCCCGTTTGCCTTCCTCTTCACTCTCTCCCGATTCGCTCTCAGAAAATGATTCATCCTCAAATAGATTCTTCATTGGAATCATCGTCATCATTGGAATCATCGTCTTCATTGGAATCATCGTCATCATTGGAATCATCGTCTTCATTGGAATCATCGTCTTCATTGTCGCCATCACGTTCTCTGTCCTCATCGTAATCCTGTTCGGCGTATCGGTCTCCTTGGACAACAGTTACTCCATCATTGTTATCGCCCGCATCTTGTTCGACGTATCTAACAGGATTGGATGATGCTAAAGGTCGCGAGGGTTGCACGGCAACGTTACTGGGCAAGGAAACCCTTGTATCTAGTCCGACTGGAATTTGGGGTAGCGCCAAACCGTAAACCGGCAACAACACAATCAAAATAATTGCCCGCATGGTAACGCCAAATAGGTTCCGTCTTGCCTTGAACGTTAAATCGGACGTTCAACTGCGAAACCTTGCAGGAATAATCTCTGCAATGAAAACTGTTTTAAATTACATCTGAATTGCATTTTATAGTTTTCATGAGTTCTTTGTCGTCCCAATTTTCAAGGAAGTGTTCAATCAAATTTGTAGACATTTTTATGAAATTACCACAACAAAAAAATATGCCACCGTTTCAAAGAAGCACTTAAAGGCACAGTGTTAACCACATTCTGTCTAGTTTTTCCTATATTGCCGTCTCCCATGTAGGCCTACGCCGGTCCACAATTGCTTGTACATACTCTTCTGGACATAGTCCTTAGCAGATTTTAATGAAACGTGGTGAAATTGTTTGAAATCACCCAAGGGTGAACCCTGTTGAAAATTAACAAAATCGGACAGTATTTAATGTGAGTTATTGCCCTTGTTCTTCAAAACGCTTAAGTTTTTGGCTTGTAAACATACAAGGCGGTACATTTCTTAGCGGATTCTGATGAAACGTGATGAAATTATTTGTAATCACCGAAGGATGAACCCTATTGAAAATTAACAAAATCGGACAATATTTGATATGAGTTATTGCCCTCTAAGTTATCGGATTAGACGGACAATTCTTGGCTGATTTTGTGAAATTTGTTATTATTGCATACTGCCCCTTTAAGAAGTATTACAATAACCCTTTTAAAACTAATTCCGTTTGATCAAGTAGATACATAGATGTAAATAACATATTCTAAAAATACTTTTAGGAAGGTATAATTCATGAGGTTATAGACTATGAAAATTTGTCCCTTGAACGATTATAACACTTTTAATCACTCATTTTAGACAAATTTATTTTGATTAAGTAGATATATAGAAGAAAATAGCATATTATCGGAGGGTTCGTCACGTACAACCTATAACGTTTTCAATAATCATTTCATCTTTTTTTTTTTTGCACACCGTCTCTTTGATATGCATTATTTTTGGTTGCCGATTGCAATCGCTCCCACTGAAAACAAAGCTGTAAGTGGGTGTGCCTTTCGGCTCAACCTTCGCCAACGTTCGTAAGCTTCATTGAGAGTGGGAGCACTCTCGTCCCTATAGTCCCTATAGCGTTTCTATGCCATGCAACCCTCCCTTGCCCTCTCCCAAGATGAAAATTTTGGATAGTGAAAGAATGGTCTGTGCCCCCTTGGATAATTTTGTGGCCCTTCCTCGCCCCAACCCTCCCTCACATAGTGTTTCCTTCAAACGCCACTGGCGTCTATCTTCTTGAAGTAGTACGGGTGGCGAACTGGTTGAATTGATATAACAAACAAATAAAAAATAAATTTTATGACAAAACACTACATTTCTTACATTGTAGTGGAACAAACAATCTGATTCAAATTAGGTACAATTTCGCTTCTTTATCTCTTTATAATTTTTTATTATGTAGGTCTCCTTTGTGATCTATCGAGATTTACACCAAGGTCACATACTGGCTGGTTAGGTGGTAGATGACAAGTTAACGTTCGCTCCCAGCGGATGCTGATATTACAAACTAGGTAGTTGTTGGTAGTCGTAGTAGTTGGTAGTTGGATTGGTTCAAATTGGATGATTCTGTGTTGTTGGTTTGGTTGTTGATTCTTCATTAGATCTGGTCTGGTCGAATGACATGGCGGTGAAACTTGGCCTGGATGGTGTGGCGCGAGTTACTTGATCTCCTTCATTCTTCCAAACTCGTTCTGATCATGGTAATTCTTGTTGATTGGTAGTCGTATGGTCACATACTGGTGACGTTTCAAGCTATTTATAACCAATCATGTGCCACTCTCTGGCCAATTAGAATCAATTACAAGCAAATATCGGCAGTCTCATAATCTCATTGGTCATATTAGCTCTACTTTGGGTTTCGCTATCCCATAAGTCATAGCTGATGATTAGGCATGACACGCTTCAGTAGGCCCAACGCGACCCTGGTATAAAATCTTTTTAGATTGAGAGACCGACAAGAATTAAATGAAACGAAATTGTAATGTTAAATTTTAATTCGATTGGTTCCAGCAATTTTTCCTTCCCATTTTAGGCTTTCTGAAATAGAAAGATGTCAATGGAATTAAACCTTGTAATATAAAAACTTTGTTAAATGTTGTGGTGGTTGTCGCTAGAGATACGGGATATGTTGATTCATCTGGCACACCTGATGTCATTTTCCGACCATCTTTCAGAGAGTCTACATAGCTCATATTGGTCATTTCTGTATATTTATCATGCACGTTCATTCCAATATATGATCCTTGGCCTCCGTAGCCTATAAATTGTCACGGCTTAGGGGAAGTAACTTCATTTTGTGAGTGTCGTCGGTTTAATTGGCTAAGACTGGGATAGAGGGAGACAACTCCAGTTTATAATGTCATTTATTTAATTCCTATAATCTGTACCCTATTATTTGTCACGGCTCGGAACAACGGGAAGTAACTTCATTTTGTGTGTGTCGTCAGTTAATTGGCTAAGACTGGGATAGATGTAGGCGTTGTTAATCTGGTTTAGGTCAAAAGGTTAATTTTACGAACGTTCAAGAGGGCTGTCGTTAGACTCTAACTGAAGTGGCTATATTCAAAATTAAAGCTTATATAAAAAAAGGAACAGAAGATTGGTCTTATTTTAATTTGACTAAATGAACTTGAGGCTCGAACAAAATTTAAAAACAACCATACGTACCGTTCCGCAAAACGAAGCGGAGCCAGTTGTCTCAAGGCAGAACGTTTTTCCTTGTGTTCCGATGAATGCAAGATCCTCGTAAGAGTGGTAACCCATTTTAACACCAGTATCCAGACCATTCGGACAATTTGCGGCACCTGCCCTAGTTTGGTACTGGCATATTCTGATGGAATTGGTGAACAACAACGGTGCTCGGATATGGTTGCATGTACTTGCTAAAAAAATATCAAAGTTTTTTGGATGAATACCTGTAGTTTTATGGATAATTACCTTTTTTATCGGATTATAGATGGATTTTGTTATCTCCTTATAACACCCCGTGACGTATTTATGGGGTGGGTCCGAGGGCTGAGGCCTGTGAAAGGTCTGATTTTAAAGTTAAATTTAAACCCTCTATAAGCTCAAAAGTCATGGGAAATCCGTTGGCATCTGGCCTTTATTTCTCGAAAAAAAAAAAACCAAAGCACTTACGTCTGAATCGTGGACAGCCAGGCTGTTTGCTACCACCATTAGGATAAAAATCTACATGTCCTAACGGCGAGTTCTTCTTCCAACCAAAAGCTGAAATAATACCCACTCTCATGATGAAAGTTTCTGCGTGGCATTTAAAGACAAAGACTCTTGCAAGCTACCGTTTTTAAATGATGTTTTACGCCCTACCTTCTGCTCCAGTTATGCAGTGTGCGAGAGAAATTTTATAGGATAGTGTCATTGGAATCTTTAGGAACGTACAATGTCTGTTGAACTTCAAAATTGCAAGCTATTACGAACTGCATCTAATACCTTGACTTCAATAGCCACATTGTACGTATGCAAGCGAATACAGCCAATCGACAGAAAGACTAAACAATTTGACTTCGTATGTAATCGACGGCTATGATTGGCTGTATTCGGTAACGTACAATGCAATAAAATCGCTACATTTACTAACTTCCGGAATACAAGAAAAGCGGATATTGCAGTCAAGGCATAAGACGAAGAATACATAATAATGTTAATTGTTAATAGTAATAGATTGTGAAAATACTTACCAGATCTGAACAAATTCCCGTCGTTAGTATGGATGATGTCCACAAATTTGGCGTCAGATTTATCGAGTCGTTGATCAGGTTTACTGTTTGCGAACAATGGGCCCGCGGGATCCAGTCCACTGATCCTACCAATTATCTTGCCCGTCATACTCTTTACGTTTTTACCAGTGAAGCCTGAACAATGAGCTCCAAGACTGTGTCCAATCATATGTATCTTGCTTTCAGGAATAAGCTTTTGGTAAAATATAGCTCGTATCAACTCAGCAGTTCTTAAGCCAACATATCTCGTGTTATGGGCAGCATTGACGTACAACCTCCAACCCGAACGTTTAGCCCCTTCTTTCCAGTTGACGACAATAACGTTTAAGTTGTCAAACTGGAACCATAAAAAGGGATACAAACTAAATATTTGCCTAAATGTCTTTATCTAGCAGTCGTTGCAAATCCAGCTGCTTTCAGAATATGTCAACTGCTTTTAGAATCTACCAGCTACCGCCAGTTGCTAGCAGTTGTTCAAAATCCAGCTGCTTTCAGAATATGCCATCTACTGCCAGTTGCTATCAGTCTTTGAAAATCCAACTGCTTTCAGAATCTGTCAGCTGCAGCCAGTTGCTAACAGTCGTTGAAAAACCAGCTGCTTTCAGAATCTGCCAACTACTGCCAGTTGCTAACGGTCGTTCAAAATCCAACTGCTTTCAGAATCTGTCAGCTGCAGCCAGTTGCTAACAGTCGTTGAAAAACCAGCTGCTTTCAGAATCTGCCAACTACTGCCAATTGCTAGCAGAATCTGCCAACTACCGCCAGTTGCTAACGGTCGTTCAAAATCCAACTGTTTTCAGATTCTGTCAGCTGTCGACAGTTGCTAGCAATCGTTGAAAATCAGAACCGCCCTCCCCAAACTCACTGAGCCCCCTTCCCCACCCCCTCTTTACTTTCTCAACTTACCTGTAGAAGTTCGCTTTTCATATCCTGTACCCATTCACCATATCCACTATCAGTAAACCCATGGATTATAAAAACGGTTCCTTTATGTGAAGACCCACTTATAAAATTCTGTCCCAAATTGTCTGGTTCTATAAATTCGGGATTTTCTTTGTTTTGCCGTGTGTACAGCATGAAATCAATCGGGAAAGGACCCGAAGCACCTAAAATAAAAGACACTGGCAGTCGTTTTGGGGTCTTGCAATTTCATTAAAACGATTTATGACGTCACTTTTGCAAAAAACTGCAAAAACCACAAACCTCTGATTGATGCAAGTCAATGCGAACAATACACATAGAAAGTTTAGAAAATCTCTTTACAATCCCATTAATGTTTTTACTTTAGAATGTAAAAAAAATCACAGAATTTTAACTCTTGATTAGACAAACTCTTTACAATCTCCTTATTGAGTTTACAGTACTCACCCTGGTCTTCCAAATCCTCCAGTTGGTCGTCTCTCAATTCGTCCTCTAAAGATCCGTCATTGTAGCCATCGTCCTCATAGTCGTACTCGTTATTACCTTCGCGTTCCGCGACACCGTCGACCTCATAGCTGCTATCGCCCCCAGCACTATATTGCGAGTCAATCACCGTTATACCGGGATTGGGTATTGCAAAAGGTGGTAAGGGATTATATGGAAGGATTCCGGGTCTCAATGGCTGAATGGGCCTTAATATTGGTCTTAAAATCGGCCCGGGTATCGCCAAACTGTCAACAATCGGCAACAACACAATCAAAAAAATTAATTGCATGGTTGGTTGCGTCGAATAGATTCCGTCTTGCCTTGAACGTTAAATCGGACGTCCAACTGCGAACCGTTGCAGGAACAACCCAACCAACGAAGAACTCCTTTCTCTATGATAAAAAAATCGAGATGTTGAGAATTCCATTTTATAGTTTAAAAAGACAAATGATTTATATTTCTTTATGAAGTTTCGAGGAAGTTTTTAATCACATTTTTTTTGACATTTTTACGATAATAACCAAAAAATAATCAAATTTCCATCGCTTCAAAGAGGCATCATTAAAGGCACAAAAACTCATATTATGTTTGTTTTTTTATATATATATATATGGACGTCTCTTATGACCGAAAGGAGCCGCGGTGGCTCGGCGAGTTAGACGCATGCTCGCTAACCTGAAGGTCCGGGGTTCAATCCAGGCATAGATCAAGATAAAACCTTAGAATTTTTTAACCCGGTCTCCCTATGTCAGTGATGCAGGAAAGAGGGACTGCCGTTCAGATGGGACAATAAACTGAGGCCCCGTCTGCTACAGGCTAATGTCGCTGTTCTGGCAAAATTGTACACTACACAGAAAAGAAGGACGTAAAACTCCATTCATTCTATTCCATTCTAATGCACAAGCGAATACAGCCAATCATATTCTTCGATAAGAAGCGCAATCAAATTGAGTACCGTTATTCTATCGAGGGCACTGATTGGCTATATTCGGTTGCGTACAATCCAATCAAATCGCTGCATGTACAAAATCCATGAAACAAAAGTTCCTAACGCAAGTTTGTAATAGTTGTGAAGATATCTTCAACGAAAAAAACACGAAAAGTGCCGGATGATGTCAAGGTTTTAGACGGAGTTCGTAAAACCCTGACAAATAAGTCGATGGGCTTAAGTGTTCATATCGTCTTACGCAATTTTTATATAACAAGCTGTCAGGTTCAGATGACTTATCAAAATCAAAACCGTCACTATTGTGGTCATAAGGATATACCAAGTGAAATAATAGTATTAACTTATCAAAATACGACAGTCGGATATTTCGTAATAATGCGAGGGTCGACTGAAAAGTTCTCAACATAAGTGGGATATCTGAATCACAGTTCAATCCATCCAGTGATGGCTCTGAGATCGGGGGTACAAATAAAGGGAGGGGTAGACTGACTCAATGGGGGGTGGGGGTAGCAGGGTGCTGACAACTGTCGAGGCTGAGTTAAAACTCTGTGGAGTCCCTAGGCTCCCATGGAGCATCCGAGATTTTTGAAAATTTGAATTGATTTGGTGCATTCGGACATATTTGTAGGCAAAAGCGTTTAAAAATCCCTTTTTTGAATTTGTCAAAAATAAATTGGGGTACAATTGAGGGTTCGAACCATTTTTCTATGGGAGCAAGTTCGCCACACTCGCACTCTGCCATCTGCGGTGGAAATGTAGTTCCGACTCTGTAACCCTGTAGCACGCGGGGCCTTGGCTCATTGTCCCATCCGAACGACAAGACGCTTTTCCATGTCAGACCCGCTGACCTGCATCACTGACAGGGGGAACTGGGTTGAAAAATACGAAGTTTAATATATATATAACATACATGCCGTGGACTCATGTTTCGGATAAACCATCCTATTCAGGATAATTTTTTATTAGAAATGGGGTTATCTTTTCAAAATGAAAAAAAAAATATAAACCATTTCACATAATTCATTTGATAGACGCTTGCTCACTAACCTGAAGATCCAGGGTTCAATCCATGCATAGGTCGAGATAATACCTTCAGATTTTTCAACCCGGTTTCCCCCTGTAAGTGATGTAGGTAAGGGGGGCTGACATGGAAAAAGCGTCTAGTCTTTCGGATGGGACAATAAACCGAGGCCCCGTGTGCTGCAGGCTGTGCACGTTAAAGATCCCTCGACAGTTGGAAATCGAAAAAGGGCAGGCTAATGCCGCTGTCCTGGCAAAATTTCCCTCATTGCACCCTGCATGGCGTTGCCCGCCTTCATTAGCCCACATGGTGCAGAAAAACTCCATTCATTTCATGATTTATTTGATATTTTGATTGATATACATAATGACAAATATAAACTTAAAGTAAAGTTCAAATTTAACAAAAGAACAAATTTCAGACATTTAAAAAAACATGAAATAGATAAGACAGTTAAAAAAAATTGAAAGTTCAACACATTCTCAAAATACAATTTCATTTTTAATGTCAATTTTAAAATCATAGTTAAAAAAAATTGCATAAGGTATGCTACGCATAAATTACCCAAGGGGAAACTAAAATTGTTTATACATAAAAACGAAATTATGTTTCATAACTTTTTTCATTCTGTGAGTAACTTTCCACCTGTCATTCACGATCTGTATAAATTCTTTTGCAGTTCATGTTCAAGGTCACTGAAATATTCAACAAATCAAATAATCTTGTTAATATTTATTCTGTAGCTTTTTGTATGTTTGGGTTTTTTTTTGTGGATGACTTTACTTGCTATTCATAATCTGCAGCAACTGTTTAGAAACATATGTTCAAGGCCACTGACATATTCAACCAATCAAATGCTCTGTTATATAAACTACTGGGTAGACAAGGCTTCTATCTCTGACAAGGGGAGACTACTGGGTAGACAAGGCTTCCATTTCTGACAAGGGGAGACTACTGGGTTGCCAAGGCTTCTATCTCGATAAGGGAAGACTACTGCCTTGCCAAGCAGTGGCAGAGCCAAAGGGGGGGGGCAGAGGGGGCAGGCCCCGAAAGCAAGTTTTTCGGGCAAAAATCTCTCAACTATATTAGAAATTCAGGCAATTTCAGATATTTCGCCCCCCTCGGACATAAACCTGGTTCCGCCACTGTTGCCAAGGCTTCTATCTCTGACAAGGGGAGACTACTGGGTTGCCAAGGCTTTTTTCTTTGTCAAGGGGAGGCTACTCACCATAATATCCAATTCACCATGGTTCTGCTAATGTCCAATAAAAAATGTTTTTCAATTCTTAGCATATTCGAAATTCTAAAATAATAATAAAGATCCAGATTTTCAAATGAAATGAGTCTCTGCAGTTCATTGGCTTAAAGAGCATCAGCAGTGAGCAATGAGGTTCATTTTGTCAAAACATTAATCCAACTCTTCATAATTTCCAATTGTTGAGGAATTTTTTATATGTCTGTAGCATGGAGAGCCTGTTTATTGTCCCATCTGAACGACGAGACGTCAGTCCCTCTTACCCATATCATATGGAACATACAACAGAATGAAGGTCAAGGCTCCAATTTTAAAGTGATTAGGGTTAAAGAGAAATTTCAAGGCACGTGTCTCTTTAATCTTACCTTATTACTCCAGCTTGAACCTGTGAAAAAAAGATAAAAGAATTTTGTGAGTCATAGTTTAGTCTTACACTCTAAGCTTGAGAGCTATTATTTTTAGGAGATAACTGCACCTAATTGGGCTAATAAAGACCGCCAACATCATGCAGTGTGCAATGAGGGAAATTTGGCCAGGACAGCAGCATTAGCCTACTCTTTTTCTCCCAGTGGAGTAGTAATAATAATTGGAAAATTTTTGAGCCATATTTTCAAACTTTCCATGAATAAATTCTTTACCTATGGAAGGCGGATACAGTCGAGGATCTTGGTTACCATTCTTTAATCTGGCCCCTCTTCCAATTCCCTCAAATTTAAGAATCAAATCTTCTTCATCATCAGACTCTTCGACTCTTGAGATCTGTGTGTCAGGATTTGCAAGACCCCTTTTGCTGCCAAGCCATCCATGACCAAGCACTTGTGGTACACTTGCTAGTTCCATTACTTTGGGTTCAGAATTTGCAGGGACTTTTGGTGTACCTTTTCGAATTTCTTTGGGTTCAGAATCTGTAGGAACTGTTTTGTCATTCAAATTTTGGAAAAGCTTTTCATGATCAAGTACTTTTGGTACACCTTTTGGGGTCGTTGCTATGGGTTCTGAGTTTTCAGGAACTTGATTTTGTCGTTGTGAAGTATCTGCTGTCAGTGTGCTTTTGAGGTGAGTATTTGCAGGAACTCTTTTGTCATTCAAGATTTGGGCAAGCATTCCCCGACCAAGCCCTTGTGGACTGACACCAGGAGACCGTCTGGTGTTCAAGGATGGTGTAGCGTCCAAGCCAGACTCTGCTGGGATTTTACCCAAGATGTATTGCGCTAAAGCCCCACGACCAATGCCTTGTGAGAGTGGACCATGAGGAGAAAGAGTCTCGGGCTTTGGGGCATGACCTGTTGGAGATAGATTTGGACTGTTATTTGAAATAAGGTATTGGAGAATGGCTCCACGACCTGCTCCTGGAGAAAGCTGACTGGAAGGAATTTTTGGTGGTACAAGATTACCACAATTTTCTGATGAAGAAATGTCTTTTTTATGTTTATTTTCAGGCGAACTGAAGTCGAAGTCCCTAGATTGAAAGGGGCTAACTTTTGGTAGTACGTCTGTTTCCAAATTTTTGTTCGTCTTTGAAATTGCCCGAGAATTCAGCCCAGTATTTAGATGGTGTCTTGAGCCCTTATCTAGGCCCTTCCTGACTTTTGCCCTTACATCTTGTGTTTCATGTTTAACTTTTGCCCTTACATCTTGTGTTTCGTGTTTAACTTTTGCCCTTACATCTTGTGTTTCATGTTTAACTTTTGGTCTCACATCTTGTGTTTCGTGTTTAACTTTTGGTCTCACATCTTGCGTTCCATATTTCATTTTTGGTCTCACATCCAATGGTTTGGAATCGGAAATTTCATGCTCCAAAGTTTCACATGCCAGTGTCTCACGAATGCCGGAATTGTTTTGATGCCCAAAATTCTCAGGTGCTTTGCATCGGCCACTTGGTCTTGCATCTGGTAGTTTGGAATCCAAAATTTCATCCTCAAATGCTTCACTAGCAAGTGACTCTCCAATACCAGAATCTTGGAGGATTCGAGGCGCTGGTTGTCCTGGAAGTGAGCGACCCTGTTTGACGCCTGCCATTCTTAAGGAATATTGAAAGACGCTAGGTGCCTGCTTCGGTTTCCTGACTGGCGTATTTTGACGTCTGTCTCGCCCTTGATGAGTTCTGGTAGATCTCCTGTCTTCTGGGTCGTTAAATTCTACTTCTGAAAGATCTTGGACATCAATGCCGGAATCCATCTCAGATTTTTCACTGAAAAAAATAAAGCAGATTCTTAGGTAGGGTTAGATAATAAAACTTGAAAGCTGAAACTTGGTTGACTCTCAACAGAGCTGGCTGAGGCATACGGAATATTGGGGAGGATTTTTGGAGATATATTGGACTCGTTATTATCCTTTGTAATATCATTAGGCCTACAACTAATTTTCAAGATAAGGGATCTGTTTTTTTTTTGTCAAATTACATCCAGGCATGGCTTAATGGCACCAAACTGAAAACGGTCAGTCCTACCTGATATTATCAGGAACCATATTGGGCGCTAACTGGTAGATATTTGGTTTTACATCATCAACATCATCTGGAAGAAAGAACAATTTATGCCAGAAAATAACATAATGTTCGACCATATTGCTTTAGAAATTTACAAAAAAATTATTTGGTCTTTTGTTTTGAAGACCAAAAAAGTATTAAGAGTCTGAGATTGCAGTTTAATTGATGAAAATGCCAACCAATGAAAACAAAAACTTTCCGAAATATGAATTTGTAGAGGGGAATGTTTAAAACTGAAAGTAAGTGTATAACTAAAGTAAAATGAACATGTGTTATATCCACGGACCCAAAGACATTCAATGACACAAGATTGACAAATATTATTTTGAATATTCATGAAATTATCGAGAATTTTCTTTTTTTCAAATGAAACATAAGACGGCTCTCATCGCTATGTTTTACGCTAAATTAAAAGCGACCTACCATCATCCCAATTTTCAGAGCATTTTATATCATATGTGTTGTATTCTGGGATATCTGTACAGCCCTTTAATTTCACCCTGCCGAAGTTATCACTCTGTTTCTCTAATTCTGAAAATTTAAATTAGATACATTTATTGTAGAAATTTTTATCTTTGAATTGAATCAGAAGAGCATGAAGTCAAACTACTCAACAAAGACGGACTGAGCCAGTCTAGGTTTCATAGGGCCCTCATCCCAATGGCCAACTAAGTATCTCATCCCAGCCTGGTCATTTCTGTAACCTTACCCTATCTATACTCAATTTTCTCATTGGATTTGGGCTATTATATTGAGAATTACTGTCCTTCTGACCCTTCTAAGTCTGCAGACTGTGTCCAGTGGTCTAACACCTCAGTTTGGCTTGTTTGGCCCAACTACTCACCGTAATTTATGGCCTTTTCTGCCACGACTCTAGTGGGGCAGGTAGTTAAATGTTGTCTGTAGTCTGATCGAGGTATAATGTGTATAGCATTGTATGGACAGGTTTCAAATTCTGTTTCATTTTTCTACAAAATATTAAATAAATAAGAAAAATCTTAAGTACATCATGGACAATTTCTTCTATCATATTAGTTGTCCTGATGAGGTTCTTATATCTGAAACATGTGATAGCAATAAAATGAACTCTGTCTTTTTCTTTTAGTGTTCTTTTTTTCCAGTTAAGACTTACCTCTTTCCCTTTTCTCCTCCAATCGGCCTCACCCCACAAGTTTCCTTTCCCTCTTGTTTTAACTACCCCTTGACCCTTTCTCCACTCAGTTCTGTCTTCCTACCTGAGCTTATTATTGAACCGCATGCCCCCTCCTCCCTCTTTGCACCTCTCATGTCCTCTATTTCTACTCACTCCTTCAACCCTGCCTCTCTATCCTAAAGTCCAAAACAGGCCTATTTATACAGAACCCTTCCGCTTTCAATAAATGTTATGCACAAGTACTATGGTTTGCTGCCCAATAGGGGTGAACAAAACAATACAATATCTATCTTTCTGTTACTTTTGTTCTCCCTTTGTACCCTCCTCTTCCCTCGCCCAGCTCCCCTCGGACCCCACAAAAGCTCCTCTCCGAACCCCCCCCTCCACACACACTCTGTACTTACATGAGGACATCTAATGAGGTGTTGTGGCATACGTCGAACTGTTATCATCTCAAATTTATTGTATGGACAGGGAATGCGTTCATCTGTATCTTGTTGATTATAATGAGCCATTTTGTATTTAGACTTTTTTTTAGTTTCAGTCATCAGCTTAAGCGTAAAAGCCTGTGCAGCTGCAGCATCTGCTGTGATCCATATCCTTATTTAAAAGAAAGCTTTCAATTAAGGCATAAAGCATTACTTTGATGAGTTGTGGTAGAGCATAGGGGCTTACATTATATCGTTTTCTTCAAACAAATAGTGGTCATGAGTTCTTGACTTGGTCAGTGTACAAACTCTGCGGACCTTGAACAAGTCATCTTTCTTCATTATAAGAGTCAAAGCAGCTGTAAATGGGTACAGATAATCTGAGTCGGAACAATGCTTGACCAAGTTGTTTGACCAAGGACTGCAGGTCCTGAGGAGGACCAGCTGGTAGAAAGGATCCTTTTAAGTTGTGAACTTAGTTATTTTCTTTATTTCTTTATCAGTGCATTAAGGATGAGTCAGAAACCTTCATAAGTTTGGACTTTTGGATTAAGATCACTTAACCTTATGTTTCTATTTTTATTTTTTTGCTAAAAATGAAAGTAGAGCGCAAGAGATTGATATGTTTCGGACTAACAATGAAGTTTTCATGACGATTCAATAGCTGTGGTCTCAAAATTCAAAAACTAGAGAATAGATAGAATATACCTTATGTTATTTTTGTCTTTGATGGAGCATGTTTTCTCTCAGATCCCTAACATTTGAGAGAAAAGGGGTAACTTTCTCCTTTCTTCGTGGCCAATTTCAAGGAAAGATAACTCTGATTGAACTTTACGAAGGGAAGTAACTCTCCTTGAAAAAATCAGACCACAATGAATTTCTTTTCATATCGTTTTTTGGGGAATATTAATGGGGCCACATTTCGCTAACTATTTTCAACCCAATAATTTCAAGGCTACATAAGGAATTTGCAACCTCTTGATTAGCTGCAACAACTTCAGCTGTCAGAAATCCATTTATTGAAATATGAAGCAGGTTGCTAACCACTGGTATTTGTGCACATTTAGGGACAATTCAAAATGAACATGACCAGTCCACTTTATCTTTGGGTAGTATAAGTAGTAATAAACACAATATTGTCATACTTGTAAAACTATTCATTCCCATATTCTACCCCCAATTAAAATAGACCATTCTGTGGCTGCACCCACTTTGGAGAAGAAAAAAAACAAAGGTTTTGTGTAAATTTTATTAGAAAAAAACACTCCTGCCCTTTTCCCAACCCCCCTTCATATTTCATTCATTCATTCATTCATCCACAGTATACAAAATAAATTATACAATTCCAAACTTAAGACTCTTCTAATATACTTACCAATATTCAAAACTTTGCCAAAAGACAAAAAATTAAAATTGAAGAAAAATTGGAAAAATTTACAAAAACATAATTAGTTTTAAAACTACATAGAATGTTTGCTATGTGCACACATGTCAATCACACTGTCAGTCATTCAGCTCCTCCCCCTTTGCCCCGCCTCCAAGATGAAAAGTTGTTGTCCCTGAAGTAAATATTCATTGCATGGATAACATTGTCGTAGTCTAATTTTTCCCTGCCCTACCTACTATCCCCACCCCGAAATTTAAAGTTCCTTTTTGTCAACACAATGTCAAAGTGGTGAAAAAACATGGAAAATATGTCGCAAATCCATAAGTTTTAAAGCCTCCAACCAAATTCCTAAACTTTTTCGAACATTTCCCATTGAAATCCGCCTCTTCAAATTCTTATCCTCGCCCCAATTTTCTTTCATCCAATACAAACATCGACAACACATTCTTAGGTCTTGTAATTTGGCGCCATTGTCTTGAACATCCTGAAATTGTTGCAGATTCCATAAAGTAACCTCTCTTTCCACACATTTTTGATATACAATTCAACGAGTTGATAAATTTTCACGTTAAGAGCTCACAAAATATTTTTGGATTCCACAATTACGCTTTAAAGCTCTTTCATTTCCCGAGTCCACATTTTTAAGAGCTTAAATATGGTTCTATAAACAAATGAACTATAGGGTGAAGAAATAGTCTCACAAAGTCATTGTGTGATAACCTAGGCTACTGGTAGTCATGATTATCACTTAAAGGAAAACGAGAGTTTGGGTCGATTGTTTTTCTTGTTTAAAACCATATCTTGTTCGCGTTTCGTACGTTTCTTGTCCTCCTCCTCAAATTTTTGTTTTGCTTCCAACATTTTACGCTGCTCTTCGACTAATTTTAACTGTTCCTCGGCCTGAAATTTAAAAATTGTGAATTTTTTTATCAAAGCAACAAAAACATCCCACCTGTCGAAAGATTTCGAACGTGGACACAGGCCTCAAATAAATGAACAACTATTGGCTATTTCAAGCTCTTTAACCTGCATCACTGATGGGAGAAACTAAGGTTTGCGTCATTGCTGCCATTTCTGAACTTGCATCCCATGATGCAAATCTCAAATGACAGAGACAAAAACGTACCAATTTTTTCTGAGCCTCTTCCATTTTGCGGTTGTTTTCTTCCATAATTTGTTCCAATTCCAACCGTTTTTGACGTTCCTCCTCCTACAAAAACCAAAGTTGCAATGCTAAAATCCAAGTCAGAATTTTACATCCATAACAAATTTTTCGATGCAGACTTAAGATTATTTCTTTAATGGTTTTTTAAATTCATATTACTTAGTTGCATGCTAACATAGCTAAATTCAAAATGGGGAAATTTAACGGAAATAAATGACTAGATTCTAAGAGGGGTTGGAAAGATTTCAAATCCTTGAAATATATTCTGATTTTGGTCGAATGAAAAATGAGATTAGAAAATTTTCGAAGATTTGAATCTTTTCGAAATAGAAACCTGAAATAAAACAGAACATATTAGTGAAACGAAATGTACAAATATCTGTTTATGGTTGTTTTGCGTGCAATATGTAAATACAGGGCTCATAGTGTTACCTCTCTTCCATACCGGCGTACATACCAAACGGCCATTTTCTGCAACAGTGTTTTCTCATTAACCATCCTGCAAATCTTTCTCACTTTCTCATTGAGGTCAAGAGTTCATGATATGTAGGTCAAGTTCATAACAAGTAGGTCAAAGTTCATTTAGACTTGAGGTCACAGTTCATAACATGTAGGTCACTGAGATTCAAAGACACTGCCATGAGTTCTTAACTTGTGAAGGTCAAAGTTCATTACCACTGTATATGAAGGTCAAAGTTCATAGCTCTAGAGTCAAAACTGAAGTAATGAACACTCAGCAAATACCAATTGATGCATAGGTTCAAAGTTCATGGCTGATGAATGTCAAAGTTCAAAAGAAAAGGTCAAAGTGCAGATCAATCTCAAATGAGTACAACAAAAAACGAAAAAAATCCCTCTGACTGTACAGTCTTGAACACAAACACACAAACCGCCTTTTTAAAAGAGTCTTTGTTCCTTTGTGTCGATGGGAATGCAAAATGACGAAACATAGCAAGCAAGCAAGCATACTTTCTTTTACTCGTATCTGACAAAAAATTTAAGGCTTATACTTGCGTAACATTTGCGTATTAAAATTCTAACAAAAATAATCCACTTGAGACAGCCAAAAGTTGTCTTTTAACCTACAAAACTCTTTGGTCAAAATTAGTGAAATCTTTTAAGCTTATAGCTTTGAAGTGATAAAAACTTATTTTAAAATTTGTGATACGAGCTAAATGCTCATTTGCTGAAAAGAATTGGGTTTAATTAAGGCATTAATTCATTATAACAATGGCTAGCTCAGAATGCGATTCAGGACAGAGTTCTTAGAATTTTTTAATTTTGGCTTTTGGGTCAAAAATGGAATAATAATGCTTATGCTTAACTCTTACCCAAAACTGCAAAAATCTTGAGCATAGCCCAAGGAGCATACTTTTGGCATACCTTATTTTCAGGCCACAAAATTTTGTAGTATTTAAATAGCTATGCATTGATGAGTTGGCCTTTGCATTTTCTAGAATACAAATCCGACAAAGTTAATATTCTTGTGATAAAAAAAATCTTCAAAAATTTTGTGGCCCATCAGAAATATAGAATTCGTTGCAGTGATCCAAGATTACAAAACAAAATTACAAAAAAAAAAATGTACAAAATAGTCATTTACAAATATAAATCTACAAAAACTTAAATGCTGATTTTACAATTTTCTTAAAAGTCTACCATTACAAAATCTTTAAATATCAGAAATTCTTGGATTAATGCAGAAATAAAATGTTATCAGGGAATCGAAATTATTCTTTTTAATTTGGGACAGAAAAGAAAAAGTTTCAAGGATTGCCAAAAATATCTCGCATGAAAATCTGTCGGAAGTAATACCTCTTTCACTTTCTGGGCTTGCACCTCCGCCTCCCGTTGTTTCTCCAGCTCTGCCAACATTTGTTTTTCCATGATGGCCTTTGCTTCCTCCACCCTCCGCAATACTTCCGCCTCTATCTCATCTTTCCTTCGTTCTAACTCCTCCTCAACTCTCTTAGCAACCAATTCCTCCACCCTCCTAGCAACCTCTTCCTCGATTAGTTTTTCTTCTAATTCTTTTTGACGTCTGAAAACAGATACCAAAATATTAGTCCAGTATATTAGAGCCCTTTAAAAAGAACATAACTGCCAATGTTCGCCAGAAGCTGTAACTAACTAATTAATGCCATGGTAAGTGTGCAATGCTTAGCAGTAGAAGAGTTTTAGACTTACGGTACTAATAATGGTCAGAGCAAGTAAAACCGCAAATTAAACTTTAAATGCACAAGCACAAACATTCTCATTCTAGGACATATTCAGCTCACAGTTACAAACTATTTGGAATTTTGGCATGGAATTGACTAAACTGGGCTAAAACCATTCCCAACAAGCTCCCTCTATTTCCATGATCTAAGCTTATAGAAAGCACCTGAATGTCTGTTAGATATCGAGCTTGACACTTACATTAACCTCTGCTTCTCAATTTCTGCCTTTTTCTCCTCCTCTTCCCGCCTCTTAGCTCGTAATATCAGATCATCATCACTGCTGGAACTACTGGAGGATATAGATCTCTGTTTTCTGAAGAAAAAAACATGGAGAATCTTAGGATGAAACATAACACAAGTCTTATAAAAAAACTGCATAAAACCCAAACTCGAAATTCAAAACAGCTTAGCAATACATTAGTAGCAGCAAATGAACTATTCATATGAGGAAGTATATCTTATTCAAGGTGCGTGAAAGGGCATGTAGTGATACCCACTTTTTCAATTTCCATCCCTAATGTTCTCTCTCCAGTTAAAATTTCCACCCTTCTTATTTCAACAATAATAGTTATTTCTTCACTGCCACTTGAATGAATATAAGCTGAAGACTAGAGTGTCTAGAGTATATATCTATATAACCCCCAAATGTTATAAACCTTTCATAATTTAATGTGACAAGTGTTTATATTTGACATTTAGCTGTCAATCAAAAACTCGGCAAACTGCATTTGAATACTGCTATATAATATGCTGCATGCATAGCCATTAGCATATCAAATCACTTTTGAAAGACACACCCATCATTCACTGAATGAATGAATAGGGTATGGAATCAAAATCCCCCTTCAAAGTTCATCCGGTCGGGATATCTTAATCTTAAATCTTTCTAAAAGACTGGCGCAAATAACAAAATGTTTACTTTTCGGCTCTTCTTTTTCTTTCTCTTTCCCGATCTCGATCCCGTGACCTCGATCTGTAACGACTACTTCCATGGCGACTACTTCGTTCTCTAGACTGCGATCGCGATGTATTTCGTCGTTTTTTCTTATTTCTGCTATGTCTGTGCCGACTTGATGATCTGCTCCTACTTCGCGACCTACCCATGGCGATTTATGTTGAAGAAATGACACAAAACGTTAGGAAAATTCTCTTCACGTCCTTCTTTCAACAATCCAATATGGCGGATGAAATTGGGACAACAAGTCTAAACAAATCGACAATTTAGGAAATTTTTAGAAAATATTCTTTGAAAAAAGGTCCAAAATGTTAATTAGTTTGAAATAATTTTGTTTTTACGTTTTTTCTACTCAAATTATCATTGACTTTGCTCTATTTATTCAAAAAATTTCAATGAAAATGTTACTTTTATCGGATAGTTTGACTGCCAATTCAATTTAGAGTTATTTCCCTTTACCAACATGGAGGATAATCTGATTAAAAATCGACCTTTTTTGCAGATTAATTGGCAAGTTTCCCTAATTGATCAAATGCTATTAGCTGATTAGTTGTCCCTCTGTGTTGATTTAGTTATTGTTGTGAATTTCCAATTTATTGAAATCCAATCAGATCAGTCGTCATGCTTTGACTTGCAATCAAAGAGCAGATCTCAGTCCTCGATTCAGTACAGTTCATTATAAAACTCCCAAGCAACACTGCGAACTGATTCAAAACTTATTTCAACTCAACACTGACAGTGGTTCAACTATGTCGCAATACAATGCCCTATGGTAGATTTTGGTATTTATATTAGGTAAATCAAACTTATTTTGGTGTTCATTGTTTAAGATAAAGTAATGCCTAAAAGGACATGGTAACTGTAACTAAAAGGTGTAAGACTTAGCAATAATAACAATCTATCCAAGTTTTAAATGCAAGAAGCAGAGGAGAATTTTGGGTGATTTAGAATGAATTATTTAAAAAAATAGACACTTCTAAGGCTTGGTTGCCATTTCAAAAGTGAGGCACTTTAAAGTTGATAAACTGAAGCACACTGTGATATATGTGCCATCCTTTTCATTTTTCAGATTTAACCTGGAAGGTCAGCAATGTTCAGAGTTCGTCAGAAGCTGATAAGAAGAGCAGTTGTCAATCAAACTCGAAGCAGACACGCATATCCTAGCAAAGATGTCCGAAGGCTGTTTATAGAATATTTCCAAAATCAGCATGACCATCTGTTCGTTCCCTCGTCGTCTGTTATTCCTCAGCGGAAAGGAGAGGGAACTTACTTTACAAATGCTGGCATGAATCAGGTAATGAAAACGGAATTGGGAAAGTAAAGAATCATATTCTTGTTTGCATACATCGTCTCAGATAAGACGGTAATTCACTTAATCCAAATAGCTTTGTATGAGGCAGCGAATTTTAACCATGACACTTTATCAATAAAGAGATTGGATTATTGTTCTCTTTATGCAAACAGCGTTCATATGAGTTTTGCATGTGTGTTCACATTTACAATAAAAAAATAAAAAAAAAGCTAGGGCAGGCTGTGATTGGCCTTTTTAAAGATCAAGTAACGTCATGAATATTTATTAGCAGGGCCTCTATTCAACTGCATCATCACTCACCACCACCCATAGCAACGGCAGTAAGTGAAATCACCTCAAATATTTTTATTTTCTTTAGTTCAAGCCCTTGTTTTTGGGAGCTGTTCCACCAGGCAGCCTAATGGCCAACTATAAACGAGTGGTCAACAGCCAGAAATGTATCCGAGTTGGCGGCAAACACAATGACCTTGATGACGTAGGTCATGACCTTTCACACCACACTTTCTTTGAGATGCTTGGCAACTGGTCATTTGGAGATTACTTTAAGGTAATGTTTTTGATATGACATGGCTAGTTAGTAGTCTATGAAAAGTAAAATCAAAGAATAGGACAAGATTTTTGGTGATAGAGCTTGAAACTTGACTGTGGCATCATTAATTTTCTTACCTTAAGAAGGATTCCAATCCACCTAGCAGACAAAATCCCAAATCTCCACTAACTGTGATATTTCACTGCCATAATTAGACCGTGGTCAGGAGTCTAGAATCATAGCCTGGCATTTGTAGCTCTAGATCAGACATGTCTGGCAACTACAACTAAATGAAAATCCCTGTTTGCCAGAAGGCTTATTTCATAGCTTGTCAGTTTTTAGCTTCGAATCATGATTGACAACTATGGCCAAATTAACAGCCCTGTTTGATGTTTGTTATTCTTATTTAGAGAGAATCCTGTAAAATGGCGTTAGAATTACTCACTGATGTTTACAAGTTACCAAGGGAAAGGCTGTATTTTACCTATTTTCATGGTGACGCTACTCTAAATCTACCGCCAGATATTGAATCTCAAACAATATGGTTGGAATTGGGGTGAGTTCTGGACAATTTTCTGGAGGTTTTTTGTGGGAAACTGTCAGCCAAAAATCTACTTTAATAGCTGACAAAGCTGAATATCAGCTATCTGTATCACTTTTCAGAACTTAAATCAAATGTCCGATTCAACTGACACATGTCAATTGACACATGTTGTGGACACACGTTTCAGATAAACAACCTTCATCAAGACAGCTTTATTGAACATAGGGGCTTACTTGCTAAAATTGGACTAAAATGTACATTATTGATAGTTATCAGACTGACAGGTTTTCTCATTGCACACTGCATAGCATTGCTAATTTCTATTAGCCTAATAGGTTTCGAAAATGGGGATGTAAAACTCCTTTTCATGCTTGAAAAGGTTTCCATAGATTTACAAAAAATGCAGATGTATGCAAATTAATTTTTTTTGAGAAAAAAGAAATTTAATGTCCATATACTGAATTTTTATTCTTTTTTTAAGGATTCCAGAAAGTCAAATCCTACCATTTGGTATGAAAGATAATTTTTGGGACATGGGTGATACAGGGCCCTGTGGTCCGTGTACGGAGATCCATTATGATCATATTGGAGAAGGGGGCGGAGCTAAGTTGGTCAATATGGATTCGTCAGATGTAGTTGAAATATGGAATTTAGTCTTCATGCAATACAACAGGTTTGAAATTCTCTTGTTTTATTTGTCAGAATTTTGTCAAATATCCGTAAGATCTTGGACAAGTTTAAATTGGAGTATGATTTGACTAATATTGACAGACGCTAATGGCTGCTGTCCGGACAAAATTTCCCTCATTGCACACTGCATACCATTGTAAATTTCATTTTCCCAGTCAGGTGCAGAAAAGTAGACATAAAACTCCATTCATTTCATCTTCCTTTCAGACAACCTGACCAAAGTTTACGCCCACTGGCCAATCATCATGTAGATACTGGGTTGGGCTTAGAAAGATTGACAGCTGTCTTAAAGGGAAGTAAATCCAACTATGATACCGACTTGTTCTCTCCCTTGTTTGAGACTATCCATGATGTAAGTAACTGAAAGGTCTTCTTAGTAATAATAGAAAATAAAGGGAGACCTAGTAATTAGGTCATTTTGGTAGTGCAAGACATTAAGACCCCCCTGTCTACAAATTGTGCACATTGAAGACAATGGTAGGGCTCGATTGGTGAGTTCTGAACATGTTCTGTCTGTTCCAATTCTGGCCTCAATCGTTGACAAATTGTTCATATGTATACAGTCTTATGTTTATCTTTTTCAGATTAGTGGTTCTCCAGAATATGGAGGTAAAGTAGGTCCGGAAGACGTGAACGGGCTAGATACAGCATATAGAATATTAGCAGATCATTCTCGGATGTTAACTGTAGCTATTGCTGATGGGCTGATACCAGGCAGAGAGGATCTTGGGTAAGGATGCGTTCTATTATTGTTTTGGACTCCGCTCTTTGAATGAGTTAGTTAAAAGAAACAACCATTCTAACTAGGATAGCATCACTAAGTTCCCAAGGCGCTGATCCGTTGACTTGGCTTAAAATGAGCTCTTATCAATGGTGTTTAAGGCAAGTAGGGATGCCGATTTTGGCTTTATTTGCTGGACATGTCTGAAAGAGTTGCTGAAATGTCTGACAGTTTGGATTTTGATTCTTTTTAGGTCTAAGTTACGTCAGATTGTAAATCGTGCCTTACAACAAACTACTGATGTTTTTAACTGTGATACTAGTTTATTGATCAGTCTGGTTGATCAAGTCTCAGATAGTCTGGTATGTTCTAGCCTTCTCTACTTTTATCTTATATGAAGTCTTATACACTCCAAGTATGAGTGAGAAAATGCTTCTGTCCTGGCAATATTTCCCTCTTTGCACACACTAAGGCCACTGTCCTGGCAATTTTTTCCTCATTGTACACTACATAACATTGTCTGTTTTTCTTTCTTTGGAGCAGAAAAGTAGGTTTATTTCATTACTTTTACCAATTTATACTGATATATTTTTTTTTCACAGGGTGAAAGTTACCCAGAAATCCCTGAAAATCTTCCAAAGGTAAGAAGTTTGTTTATTTTTTGATGAATGCAAAGTTGATTCTATAACTGTACCATACATGTGACACACACTGATCGATTATTTTGGCTCAATGTTCGAGGATTTTAAAACTTTACACTGAACCAATTTATCACTCACATATATTCAGAATTTAATCTTTCGATTTTAATCCGTTCAACATTAGCAGCCACATATGAGGAGTTATACCAAGTTTGATTTTTAACGAAATTTTATGGTTTATTTTCAGATTAAAGAAGTGATAGAGAAAATCTGGTGAAGTTTATCAGGAAAATAAACAAAAAACTGTGAAATGTTTTGATAAAATGATGAACAAATATGGTGGTGATATTAACACAATTTCAGGTAATTTCTAAAACTAAATTTTTAAACATTGTACATTGCTGTAATTAAGGGCTCTTGCTGTAAGTTTTGCCATCGCACTTCCCTCAATTTCAAAATCTACAGTAGCTGTCCTGATGATGATTGTGTATCTGAAACACATGTCAAATGAAATGACACATTCTTAAACACGTAAGCAGCAGATGATGAGCTCTAAGTCAATTAGGTAACATTAAGTCCTATATTAGAAAGTTAACCTCCATTTCTAAAACAAGCTGTCCTGATGAGGATCGTGTATCTGAAACATGTGTCAGCAGTATGAGATGAGCTCTAGTCAATTAGCTAACATTAAGACCTCTATTGGAAAATGAAACTCAATTTCTAAAACTAGTTGCCCTGATGAGGAACTTGTATCCCAAACTTGTGTCAGCAGCAAGAGTTGAGCATTTATCAATAAGAGTTGAGAGTACTGAAGAATATTCTCATTGATGAATTCTCGCCTCTGATCAGTGAGTTTACTTACTTTTACTACTTCAATTTCTAGTGCTTTAAACTTTTCTTCTGAAATATTGTTGCAATACGTCTTGCCAAATCAAAAGCCTAAAGCAATTTTCCAAATATTTTTCAGGAGAGATGGCGTTTGAAATCTTTGATGGGCGTTATGGTGCTAATATTCCAATAGACATGATACAGGACATAGCCCAGAGTAAAAATATAACAATAGATATGGATGGTCTGAACAGTATACTTGATAAAGTTAAAGAGGTTTGTTGTATTTTCCTACGACCAGCTGGTAGACAAGATCCTTGAGAACCAAAGTTGTTATCCTAGTAAAGTCATTTCGAAGATGTTTAAGCAAGGACCAGCTGGTAGACAGGATCCTTGAGAACCCAAGTTGTTATCCTAGTAAAGTCATTTCGAAGATGTTTAAGCAAGGACCAGCTGGTAGACAGGATTCTTGAGAACCCAAGTTGTTATCCTAGTAAAGTCATTTCGAAGATGTTTAAGCAAGGACCAGCTGGTAGACAGGATTCTTTAGAACCCAAGTTGTTATCCTAGTAAAGTCATTTCGAAGATGTTTAAGCAAGGACCAGCTGGTAGACAGGATTCTTTAGAACCCAAGTTGTTATCCTAGTAAAGTCATTTCGAAGATGTTTAAGCAAGGACCAGCTGGTAGACAGGATTCTTGAGAACCCAAGTTGTTATCCTAGTAAAGTCATTTTGAAGATGTTTAAGCAAGGACCAGTTGGTAGACAGGATCCTTGAGAACCCAAGTTGTTATCCTAGTAAAGTCATTTCGAAGATGTTTAAGCAAGGACCAGCTGGTAGACAGGATTCTTGAGAACCCAAGTTGTTATCCTAGTAAAGTCATTTTGAAGATGTTTAAGCAAGGACCAGTTGGTAGACAGGATTCTTGAGAACCCAAGTTGTTATCCTAGTAAAGTCATTTTGAAGATGTTTAAGCAAGGACCAGCTGGTAGACAGGATTCTTAAGAACCCAAGTTGTTATCCTAGTAAAGTCATTTTGAAGATGTTTAAGCAAGGACCAGCTGGTAGACAGGATTCTTGAGAACCCAAGTTGTTAGCCTAGTAAAGTCATTTTGAAGATGTTTAAGCAAGGACCAGCTGGTAGACAGGATCCTTAAGAACCTAAGTTGTTATCCTTGTTATATTTCTCACTTTATTAATGTTTATTTTGCTTTGTAGAAATCCAGCCAATCAGTGGATCAAAGAAAGCAGAAGCCGTTGCTGTCCAATGATGTCATGGATAGATTGAGAGCAGACGCCATCTCGACAGACGACTCGTATAAATACAGCTACAAGAAGGAGAACCTGTCTTTTAAATATAGATATGGGGTTCATAAAGAGGCTTATGGTGAGTAAACTCAATCTAGTCACCTTAAAGCTACCATGATTTAATGTCAAAAATCATAATTGATAAAATTTATAAAACTAAATGCAGTTGCCCGTCATAACTGGGTTTTAGGTTGTTGGCAGCCATGTTTATTTCAACTGCTTGTAGTTATTATGGCTGACTAATAGCAGACAAGCAGTCTTAATTTCTTGTTTTTTTACTTTTCATGAAAGCATGATAGCTTTAAGTAAGTTATTTATGATTAATCATTATTGTTGTAGTATATGAACAGCCTAATGATGTGGAGGTAACCGCCATTGTATACCAGGACGACCTGACGGATAGTTTGGCTTCTGGGCAGACGGGCTACATTATCCTCGACAAAACTCATTTCTACAGCGAGGCTGGAGGTCAAATTGGTGATAGGGGTCAAATTTTTACACAGGTAATTTTGGGATGATTAATATTAATTTCAACTCATCATGAGGCTCAAAAGGGGAACCACTCTCATTACATAATGGCTTCAGACCACAAAATAACATATAATCTTTTTTGCTTCATGATATTCTTCTATGATAAATATTTTGTCTTTTTCAGACTGGAAAAGGCGTAGTTTCAGATGTCCAGAATTATCAAAACTATATTCTACATCAGGTCCAGGTCACGGAAGGTCAAATCAATGTCAAGGATGTCTGCAATTTACTTTTAGATGAGGTAAATGAAATAATTTTTGGTAATTTGGCTCAGTTGATAGCGAGTTGGATCGTCATCTGCCGGGCACCTAGATGTCTTCGGTTTGAATCCTGCTCCAATTTGAAAAATATTGGGATAGCAAAGCCCAAACTCCTTTTCAAGAATTCTTTATTAGTGTACCATTGAGAGACATATAAAATAAAAATATTCTTTTGATTTTTTACTAGGAACATCGACTGGGTTGCATGCAGAACCATACAGCTACTCATCTACTGAATGCTGCATTACAGAAGGTACTGGTTAATGCCAAACAAAATGGTTCAGTTATCCAGCCTGACAAATTCACTTTTGATTTTACTTCAATGGTAATAAATTTTTTAGATCATATTGCAATCACTATTAGAGAATCATCTATCAAACCCAGGAGCAGAGTGACATCTTGCTTTGCGGGTTTTCTTGCTTTGGGAACCACCATTTGAGCACTTGACCATCGGGGATCAAATACAAAATGGCAGACGTGAGTGTTGACATGAAAAATTCCTAAAGTTTTTACCTCTGTTTACAATGCGCACCTCCATCGGAATAGCTCAGTAGGTAGCGAGTTACGGTTTGAATCCTCCTTAAGGTAAGAAATATTCTGATACCTGTACCAGTTCTTCTGAGAGTTGTCCCAGTGTCGGCTTACACCCCCTTAGAACCCCAGTTTGGCAATTCCTTATAAGAGCAAGATATGTGCAATATACTCACAACTATACAGTATATGGTATTCATATTTGAATTCTAGAATTCACTGAGTTTAGATGACATTAAGGCTGTGGAAGAGATAGTTCAAGGTCAAATTAAGGTCAATTGTAAGGTCAGAAGGGAGGAGTTGACCTTAGAAGAAGCAGTAAAAATACCAGAAGTGGAAGCCTTGACTTCCTTAAAAAATGTAAGTACTTTTTAGTCATTAATATTGTTCTTGATTTACTTTGTCTAACTTACATCTAGCTTTTACATGCCTCAGCCGTGCATTTAGTTCCTTGCAAATTCACAAAATCCAGTGGAGACGTCAATGAGGGTACAGGGAGAGCATTTACCCCCCTAGAAAAATAGTTTGCACCCCCAATTGTACCCCACTTTATTTTTGACAAAATTAAAGATATGATTTTTGTACATTTTTGCCTCGAAATATGTGTCATAATGCACCAAATAAATTCAATTTTTCGAAAATTTTCTTGGAAGGACCCTCTCAGAAGCTCCATGAGAGACTAGAGTCAAGATGCCTCCATCAGAGATGCAACACATTGAATTTAACTTCAACAGTTGTCCCCCCCCTCATTGTCAGTTGAGTTTGTACCCCCAGTCTCGAGAGGCTAGTGCTGCCACTGACAAAGCCTTTTGTCATGCATCAAAAGATTAGTTAAGTATCGAAGATTCCAGCAGCTTGTTCCATGAACAAAATTATAAAAAACTTTTATACTTTGCCAATTGAAAGAAATTTTTGTACTAAAGAAACAAAATCATCGTTGCATTCAGTTTTGGTTAATTTTTATCTAGGATCTACCAGAAAAGATTTTTGTAGTTTCTGTGGGGAAAGATTACAGTCTGTCTGAGCTATGTTGTGGAACGTAAGTGTCTATTTCTATTTCCACAATTTGTGAGGATTTTTCCGTAGCACACTGCATGATGTTGCCTGTCTTCATTAGCATCAGACAACCTCTTTTGTGTTTTTCAGGCACGTTAGAAACACCAGTGATATAAAAGACTTCTGTATTATCAAATTATCAGGCGTTTCCCAAGGAACCAAGGGTATAACTTGTGTCACAGGTCAACTTGCAGTTCAGGTGAGCTAACGGGTTCAAAGTGGAGTTGGATGGGGCAGGGAATTTGCCTGTTATTAATTCCAAGCAGTAGTTGAGATTCCTTAAGGGGATGGGACTATCTAAACTAAGGCCCCACTAGCTAGAAAAGGTAAGAGTAAAACCATGAGGTTTGGCCAAGGACCAGTTAGTAGAAAGAATCACCATGGACTCAAGTTGTTATCCTTGTTAAAAATTGGTTGTCTTTCTTTACCGTCTGCTTGCAAATCATCATAGACATAACAAAATCATTAATTAACCATATTGATTGAGAGCGTTTCTTACAGGCACGAAAATCTGGCCAACAATTGCAAGAAAGTTATGAAAAATTAGAAGCACAGGTTGAGACAGGGCAGGACTCTGAAAGCTGGTTAGCAGACATCAAAGCTATCAATAAGGTAGGAAATAAAAGATACTATGAAAGCAATCTATTCTTTGGTTGTAAATAATGAAAGTGGTCATGAGTACAGGATGCAAATGACACTCCACATCGCAAGTAACTGAGCTGTTCCACTGTCCTAGCAGACGACAATCCAACTCACTACTGACTGAGCTGTTCCACTGTCGTAGCAGACGACAATCCACCTCGCTACTGACTGAGCTATTCCACTGTCCTGGCAAACGACAATCCACATCGCTACCGACTGAGCTATTTCACTGTCCTAGCAGATGACAATCCAACTCTCTACCGAATAAGCTATTCCACTGTGAAATATTTGTTTCTCTTTTTCAGCTATTTAATACACATTTGTTGCCTAAATACAGCCGTGATTTCTATCAGATGAAAACAGATAAGCTACAAGCCACCATCAAAACTAAACTGAATCAAATGAAATTTGAATCTTTGACGAAACAGGTAACCTAAAGTTCAGACAATCGATACATTAGAAGTGAATGAACACGGAACAGTTCTGTATTTGGACCTGATAACTTATCGTCCTTTCCGGAGAGTTAATAATGTTTATTTGGTATTTTAATTTGTCAACTCAGCATTCCTTTCAGAGAGTTCACATAGCTGATATTGTTTATTTTAGTAGGGTTTGTCACCTCATAGTCAACATGGGTATTTGGGTTTGTCGATTTGCCATGCCCTTCCGAAACCACAAAGCTAAAATTGTTATTAAGGGTTTGTAATCTCATAATCACTTTCAGAGAGTCATAGAGCTCAAGTCCAGCTATCTGTACAGTTGTCTGAATGTTCACTTTACCAGCCGATAAAGCTCAGTTTTAGCTTTCTGTATAGTTGTCTAAATTTTCGATTTTCCAGCCAATAGAGCTCAGTTTCAGCTATCTTTTAGTCGTCTGAATGTTTACTTTACCAGCGGATAGAGCTCAGTTTCAGCTATCTGTATAGTCGTCTGAATGTTTACTTTACCAGCGGATAGAGCTCAGTTTCAGCTATCTGTATAGTCGTCTGAATGTTTACTTTACCGGCCGAGATAGCTCAGTTTCAGCTTTCTGTATAGTTGTCTAAATTTTTGATTTTCCAGCTAATAGAGCTTCTTTTCAGCTATCTGTATATTCGTCTAAATATGTGATATACCAGCCAATAGAGCTCAATTTCAGCTATCTTTTAGTCGTCTGAATGTTTACTTTACCAGCCAATAGAGCTCAATTTCAGCTATCTTTTAGTCGTCTGAATGTTTACTTTACCAGCCAATAGAGCTCAGTTTCAGCTATCTTGTAGTCGTCTGAATGTTTACTTTACCAGCCAATAGAGCTCAGTTTCAGCTATCTTTTAGTCGTCTGAATGTTTACTTTTCTAGCTGATAGAGCTCAGTTTCAGCTATCTGTATAGTGGTCTAAATATTTACTTTACCAGCGGATAGAGCTCAGTTTCAGCTATCTTGTAGTCGTCTGAATGTTTACTTTACCAGCCGATAGAGCTCAGTTTCAGCTATCTTGTAGTCGTCTGAATGTTTACTTTACCAGCTGATAGAGCTCAGTTTCAGCTATCTTGTAGTCGTCTGAATGTTTACTTTACCAGCGGATAGAGCTCAATTTCAGCTATCTTTTAGTCGTCTGAATGTTTACTTTACCAGCCAATAGAGCTCAGTTTCAGCTATCTTTTAGTCGTCTGAATGTTTACTTTTCTAGCTGATAGAGCTCAGTTTCAGCTATCTTTTAGTCGTCTGAATGTTTACTTTATCAGCTGATAGAGCTCAGTTTCAGCTATCTGTATAGTTGTCTAATGTTTACTTTACCAGCAGACAGAGCTCAGTTTAGTAGTCTAAATGTTTGCAATACCAGTCGATAGAGCTATCTGTATAGTTGTCTAATATATAGTTGGTTAAATGTTTGTTTTACCAGCTGATAGAGCTCAGTTACACATTTGGTACATGAGCCAAGTACACGTACATGAGTTTTGTAAGAAGTCAAGTACATGCAAGTGTGTCAAGTATGTGTACTTGAGTTTTGATATTCAGGTGATTCAAGTGCCTATGAAAAAACGTGTATGAAATGTTAGACTTGAATGAGTTTTGGTACTTGAGTCAAGTACGTGTACGAGTCAAAAAATGTTTGCGAGTTTCGGTACGTCAGTCAAGTACATATTACACAAATATATATAGAATGTTGCATTTTAATAATTTTACATGAGTCAAGTACGTGTACGTGAGTTTTGGTACGTGAGTCAAGTACATACGTACGCGAGTAAAGTACATGTATATAAGTACATAGTACATATTAAAAAAATGTATAAAATAATACACTTTGATAATTTGGTACGAGTCAAATACATGGACGTGAGTTTGGCGCGTGAGTCAAGTACTTGTACGTGTGTTAAGTACGTGTACTTGAGTGAAATGCGTGAGACAAGTACATATAAGAATAAAGGTCACAATTTAATTATTTGGTACGCGAGGCATTTATTTTTTCGTGAGTCAATTACTTGTACGTGACTCGTACGTGAGTTTTGGTACGAAAGTCAAGTACATGTACGTGAGTCAAGAATATATTTTTAAAAATGTTGCAATTTGGTACGTGAGTCAAATACGTGTACGTGAGTTTGGTACGCGGCTCAAGTACTTGTACGTGACTCGTACCTGAGTCTAGTACATGTACGTGAGTCAAGTACATATATCAAAAAAATATATAAAATGTTCCACTTTAATAATTTGGCACGTAAGTACTTGACTCAGGTACTCACGTACACATACTTGAATCACGTACACGTGCTTGACTCACGTACCAAATTGTTATAGTGCACCTTTTAATCTTATATTTTAAATGTGTACTTCACTCACGTACAAGTACTTGATTCACGTACCCAAACTCACGTACACGCACTTGACCCCCATACCAAACTCAATACACATATTTGACTTATGTACACGGACTTGACTCACGTACACACACTTGACTCGCGTACCAAATGATTAAAGTGGACTTATCTATTTTTTTAATATGTACTTGACTCACGTACATGTACTTGACTCACGTACCCGTACTTGCATCACGTACACGTACTTGACTTACGTACCAAATTATTAAAGTGGACGTATATATTTTTTTAAAATATGTACTTGACTCACGTACATGTACTTGACCCACGCACCAAAACTTACATACACGTACTTGACTCACGTACAAGTACTTGACTCACGTACAAGTACTTGACTCACGTACAAAATTGTTAAAGTGAAACTTTTAATCTTTTGTTTTAAATATGTACTTGACTCACGTACACGTACTTGACTCACGTACCCAAACTCACTTACACGTACTTGACTCACTTACACGTACCGTATTTCAGGTTTCCAAAAACCTTAAACAGTGTATCTTTGAAACAACCACTTATCTTATATTCAAATATGCATAATAAGATTTCAATTTTTCTGAGCTTGCCCAAGGTATGTATGTACTAGCTGTACCAGCTAATAGAGCTTATTTTCAGCTTTCTGTATAGTTATCTAAATATTTACTTTACCAGTTGATAGAGCTCAAGTTCAGCTATCTGTACAGTCTGTACTATATGTACTTGACTCACGTACATGTACTTGATCCACGCACCTAAACTCACATACACGTACTTGATTCACATACAAGTATTTGACTCACGTACAAAATTGTTAAAGTGAAACTTTTAATCTTTTGTTTTAAATATGTACTTGACTCACGTACACGTACTTGACTCACGTACCCAAACTCACTTACACGTACCTAAACTCACTTACACGTACCAAAACTCACGTACACATACTTGACTCACGTACCAAATTGTTAAAGTGCAACTTTTATTTTATATATGTACTTGACTCACGCACACGTACTTGACTCACGTATCCAAACTCACGTACACGTACTTGACGCACGTACCAACCTCACGTACTCGTGCTTGACGCACGTACCAAATTGTTAAAGTGCTACTTTTAAACTTTTATTTTAAATATGTACTTGAGTTAATTTAATAATTTGGTACGTGAGTCAAGTACATGTACGTGAGTCAAGTACGTGTACGTGAGTCAAGTACGTGTACGTGAGTTTTGGTACGTGAGTCAAGTACGTGTACCTGAGTCAAGTACATATTTAAAATAAACATATTAAAAGTTGCACTTCAACAATTTGGTACGTGAGTCAAGTACATGTACGTGAGTTTTGGTACTTGAGTTTTGGTACGTGAGTCAAGTACATGCACGTGAGTCAAGTACATATTTAAAATAAACATATTAAAAGTTGCACTTCAACAATTTGGTACGTGAGTCAAGTACATGTACGTGAGTCAAGTACATGTACGTGAGTTTTGGTACTTGAGTTCTGGTACGTGAGTCAAGTACGTGTACGTGAGTCAAGTACGTGAGTCAAGTACATGCACGTGAGTCAAGTACATACTTAAAATAATCATTTTAAAAGTTGCACTTCAACAATTTGGTACGCGAGTCAAGTACGTGTACGTGAGTCAAGTACGTGTACGTGAGTCAAGTACGTGTACGTGAGTCAAGTACGTGTACGTGAGTCAAGTACGTGAGTCAAGTACGGGTACGTGAGTCAAGTACATATTTAAAATAATCATTTTAAAAGTTGCACTTCAACAATTTGGTACGTGAGTCCAGTACGTGTACGTGAGTCTAGTACGTGTACGTGAGTCTAGTACGTGTACGTGAGTCAAGTACATGTACGTGAGTCAAGTACATGTACGTGAGTTTTTGTACGTGGGTCAAGTAGTACATATTTAAAATAATCATATTAAAAGTTGGACTTCAACAATTTGGTACGTGAGTCAAGTACATGTACGTGAGTCAAGTACATGTACGTGAGTCAAGTACATGTACGTGAGTCAAGTACATGTACGTGAGTCAAGTACATGTACGTGAGTTTTTGTACGTGGGTCAAGTACGTGTACGTGAGTCAAGTACATATTTAAAATAAACATATTAAAAGTTGCACTTTAACAATTTGGTACTTGACTCAAGTACATGTACGTGAGTCAAGTACATGTACGTGAGTCAAGTACATGTACGTGAGTCAAGTACATGTACGTGAGTCAAGTACATGTACGTGAGTTTTTGTACGTGAGTCAAGTACATGTACGTGAGTCAAGTACATATTTAAAATAAACATATTAAAAGTTGCACTTCAACAATTTGGTACGTGAGTCAAGTACTTGTACGTGAGTCAAGTACGTGAGTCAAGTACGTGTACGTGAGTCAAGTACGTGTACGTGAGTCAAGTACGTGTACGTGAGTCAAGTACATATTTAAAAATTACATATGTCCACTTTAATAATTTGGTACGTGAGTCAAGTACGTGTACGTGAGTCCAGTACGTGTACGTGAGTCCAGTACTTGTACGTGAGTCAAGTACGTGTACGTGAGTTTTGGTACGTGAGTCAAGTACGTGTACGTGAGTCAAGTACATATTTAAAATAAATGATTAAAAGTTGCACTTTAACAATTTGGTACGTGAGTCAAGTACGTGTACGTGAGTCAAGTACGTGTACGTGAGTCCAGTACATGTACGTGAATCAAGTACGTGAATCCAGTACGTGTACTTGAGTCAAGTACATAGTTAAAATAAAAGATTAAAAGTTGCACTTTAACAATTTGGTACATGAGTCAAGTGCTTGTACGTGAGTCAAGTGCTTGTACGTGAGTCAAGTGCTTGTACGTGAGTCAAGTACGTGTACGTGAGTCAAGTACATGTACGTGAGTCAAGTACATGTACGTGAGTCAAGTACATGTACGTGATTCAAGTACGTGTACGAAGTATGTGAGTTTTGGTACGCGGGCCAAGTACGTGTACGTGAGTTTTGGTATGTAATAGAGTACATGTACTTCACTACTTTCCGTTTCTATATATTTCAGGACATGGTTCCGAAGAATTTCCAGGAACAGTTATCAGATTCGGTGCCAGACGAAGATATTCAATGCAAAAGTGTTAAACATGTCCAAATGTTTTACTGGACGTTTAAATCTACCCCGCCCTCAGAGACACTTACTCAGTTTCAAAATTGTGTGAATGGTTTAATTATGGAAAATTCTCAAATAAAGAATTGAATTTGATTTTTTGGGGTGTTTATTCTTTCAACATGAACTTTTTGGGCAAAGATATCCATGCACATGCAGATGAAAGAGGAGCAGTCCTCTTGGTTTAAGGTAGAATAAGAAGTAATTGAAACTATATAGACTAAACTTCCATTGTGTTCAATATTACTTAAACTACCTAAAAAAAAAAATGGATTTGCTGGTGTTCGTGTTTGAAATCAGACAAATGGCAAATGGCAAATCAAAACACAAGACAGAAAAAATATTTAATTTTGATTAAAAACAAAAAATAGATGCTAATATTTGGTGTAAAAGTTGAAGACATTCTATAAGCATATTATATATCACATTTTTAGCTCTAAATAGTAACTCTGATCCCCTTGTTGTTCCATTCCATACTTTAAAGAGATTGTTAAGAGCTTTACTAAACTTTGTATGTGTATCGGGGAACACTGGTAGCATTCATTTGTACTATTTCAATTTTCAGTCAGACGTCTGTGGTTCTTGCAATTCCACTAAAATAAAGCATTTTATGACCTCACTAACACAAAATTTGCTTACATTATAAGACCCTTTGCGATTAGTGACATCATAAAACGCTCAGTTTTAGTGGAATTGCAAGAACCACAGACGTGGAATGGAGCAAATAAGTTGCTAACAGTGTCCCCAATGCACATGAAAAGTTAAGTAAACCTCTTTTAATTCCTTTAATTTCACTTGCGTAAGGAAAACTCTCCTTAACTACTTAGTTTCACGTATAGAATCAATAACTGATTCTGATTGGTTGCACTGAGAATGTTAAATACAAATCAACCAATCAGATGACATAAAGAAAATCAACCAATCAGATTTGTTTGTGGAATTACTGAATAACTCAATTAAAAATAGGTTTTTTTCAAAGCAACCAATTGGACATGACTTTACTTATGACGCCAAAAAAAGCAATGTTCCCTGAAAGTTAGACAAAGACCATCAATATTTTTGTAAAATTTTGTAAGTTTCCGAACGCAAGTCTATGTGGTATGGAATGGAACACCAATGGGTTTCGGAGGATATCTCTACATATACTATTAAACATTTGAAAATAATAAATTGGAATGGTTCTGTTTACAAATTAATGATAAAAATATAAATATGAAATATTCGAGGCAGTAAAATTCTGGGCAAAAATCATTTTTATGTCCAAATCTTTTGGGCTCGTCAAATATTTTCTAAAAATTTTGAGCTCCTATATCTATTACCTTAATTATTTACACATTCAAATAGGCATTCGCAAAGCTGGTAATATGCAGGGCAGTCAATCAATTGGGCTGTATTTGCCAGGCATGTTTGCTAAAGTTACAAAATGGCTGGGAGTGAATTTCGTCTGAAGGACAATATGAACATAACAAAATTTAGCTACCCATATTACTTTTTAGAATGATAATGTGACATTTAGTTCATCTACAATAAAATAAAAATGGCATAGAATGCCTTCTATTGTTTTCTATTTGTTTTATCTATTCCTATACTCAAAGATGAAAAAAAGTCAGCGTAAATCAACGACTACATCCCTCTAAAATGGTACATGATATAAAAATATTTATTGAGATTCAAACTAAAATATTAAAAAAATTGGAAGACATTTCTACTATCCTGGCCATGTATTCTCAAAACGATCTTAGCGCTGGGATGTCCTAGGGTCTTAACTTTTGACACTGTTTCTAGGACATCCTAGCACTAAGATCATTTCGAGAATACGTGGCCTGGTTATCGCCAAAATTTTCAAAACTATTCAATTCTGAATATGAAATTTCAATTTGGCTAAAAAAAAGTTTAAAAGAGTAGCAAAGCTGCAAGTTTAATGGTTGCTAAATTTTTGAAAACAGCAAAGCTTGCAAAAAGCAATAACATAGCATAAGCCAAACTAATAATGCTTGCATGAAATGATACGATGTTTATTTTCCAAAAAAAAACAGTTTTTGGAGGCAAAATAATGACATATCACATTATTTTCAAATAGGCCATCTTCTAAAAATAGATTTTTCTTGCATAAATAGGTCATACTTTATTAAAAAGGTCATCTATTAATAGGTCATCATCCAAAAATAGATTTTATGACCTAAGTAGGTCATTCTTTAAAATATAGGTCATATTTCAAAAGTAGGTTATCCTTAAAATTAGATTTTTTTTATATATAAGAAAGATTTTATTTGTACATAATTAGGTCATTCTTTAAAATATAGGTCAAATTTCTAGGTCATATTCTATTTATAGATTATCTTCCAATATCGTGCATGTTTGGAACCCAATATCTTTCCTAATATAACACATCACCATTGTCGTCGACTGCTGGGTAGCGTTGAGCCTCTGGTGAGGTTTGGAACCGTTCCAGTTCCTCCTGGTCTGCCGCCAATAAGACAGTGAAGGGACTGCCCTCGATATGCTGTCCGGACCACATGACATACACAGTATAAATTCCAGCCTCAATGGGGTTGTAGAAACACTGGTATAACTTGCCATGTTTCTTGGCTTTACGCATTTTTACGTGGAAGGCACCTGAAATCAGTATATATTTTGAAAGAAACTTTCTTAAGATGTATATGGGTGTCAATGAGAGAGGCTAACAGGTTCAGCTGGTTTGATGTTTGCCAGAAAGTTTAATATACCTTGAAAGTTTGATAACTAACCTGAAGGTCCAGGGTTCAATCCCTGCATAGGTCGAGATAATACCTTGGGATTTTTCAACCTGGTTTCCCCCTGTCGGTGATGCAGGTAAGAGGGGCTGACATGGAAAAAACGTTTTGTCGTTCGGATGGGACAATAAACCCAGGCCTTGTGTGCTATAGGCTGTGCACATTAAAGATCCCTCGACAATTGGATATCGAAAAAGAGCAAGCTAATGCCGCTGTCCCGGCAAAATTTCCCTTATGGAACGCTCCATGGCGTCGCCCGTCTTCATTAGCCCACATGGTGCAGAAGAAGCTCCATTCATTTCATTTTTGATTGCAAGTCAGAGGGCAGAAAGGAAAAAGACTTCATGGACTGATGGGACAATAAATCAAGCCTGTTTTTGATACTGGCTATAAAAATCTAAAAAGAGTAAGCTAATGATGCTGTCCTGACACAATTTCTATCATTGCACACTGCATGGCATTGTCTATCTAATAGCCCAATGAGCTTCAGAACAGTAGGATATGAAACTCTTTCCCAAAACATTGGAAGAATCTCTTCAACAAAATCAGGAGTACTTACCTTTCGGTCCCATGATTTTAACCCGAAGTTCTCCAGCTCCTGCACCATCAGCTTCACACCAGAAATGAGACTGGAAGGCACCGAGAATACCACTCTCAATACCTGGCCCCCAAACACGGACCTCGCCAGAGGGTAGAGTAGCTTCTATATCAATATAATAGGGACTGCCTACAATACACAAATAAAAGTCAGTTTAATATTGGACAAGATAGTGCCTGGTATCTATCCAAGTATTCTGCTACCAGCCAGTCCTTGGGACAATAAACCAAAGCGGCGTGTGCTACAAGCTGTATACCTTGACACTTGGAAATTGACAAAGAGTAAACTACTCCAACCATATGGGCAAAATTTTCCACCAGCATAACAGCTACCAGCTGGTCCTTGGGCATAGTTGTTCTTGTATCAAGGTTTGCATGTCATCTGACTCATGCTTCTTTGAAAATTCAATACCGAGTAAAAAAACCCTAGTACCAATGATCTGAACCGCAGATCTAAAACGAAACCAGAAATCCAAAACAGTTTGGCAATGCATAAGTTGCTAAAAACCTTTTCATATCAAAATTAGAACTAAACAAAACTCACCATGTATGTGAACGTCATCATATAAGATATCTACAATATGGCGGCCAATCATTTTAGGTAAGAACGTCAATCTACGGGTTCCGTCTGGATTGTTGAGGACACGATGCTCCATCAAATTACCGTCTGGTGATATCACCTTGGTGATCAGTTCACCTTGAAATAAAATGTCGGTAAATTAGATAATCCAATTATAAAAACAATTTGATTCACAAGTTATATTTCGTGTTATATTTTAAGCATGTGCAGAAGAGTCCAATAAAAATTTCAGGGATGTTAAATACATTATTGCCACATCTCATCCAGAATGGTCATAAACACTACTTTTGATTTAAAGAATGCATGCGTGGAATAGTTCAAAAGAAAGCTGAGGGGTGTCAAGTACATGACTTTTTCACCTTGGTAGAAAACAAGAAAAGTAAAAAATTTCTTAGATTCATACCTGGGCCAGCGTCTCTGGTGTCAATATGAATATCCACATCTTTTCCAACTCGTGTTTTCTTGACATCATCGACAACAAATCTGACACGATGAGCTTTATGTTGACCTTTGACATTAATCTTGAAAGGTGAACCTCGTAGCGGTTGATTGTCCCATTTAATATACAGTAAATAGGCCCCTGGGACTTTGGGAACGTACGTGCATCGGTACACTCGAGGACCGTGTTTTTCTATTTTTATTGGTATGGATGCTTTTTGGCTTGACATCTTGGCTTCTGGTATTCCTGTAAAATTAAAATATCAAGATAATCAACATGAAAAAAGAAAGAGCAAACATAAGGAGTTAACTTGGGTTCTTGAGGATCCTTTCTACCAGCTGGTCCTTGACCAAACCTCTTGGTATTGATCTTTACTGGTTTATCTGTACTCAATTTTAGCTATCTGTATAGCAACTTAGATACAAGAGCATCCTTTCCACTAGCTGGTCCTTGGTCATTTTGCTTTACCAGCTGATGGCTTAGCTCAATTCTAGCTATCTGTATCACTAAAATAAGTTTACTTCTAAGAAGTGGTATGGACAGCTGAAATAGCTGGTGAAGCAAATTTTAAGACAGCTATATTCCTTTCTGAATTTGAAAAAAAAACCTACCATCATTGCATTGTGTACCATCAATGTAAAACTGAGCCTCTTTATCTATGAAAGCTTCCTTTAATCCTTTGCCTCGTAAGATAACTTTCAATGGACCACGAGTCATAACTTTATTTGGTGGGGCTCCATTTGGTAAAACTTGGACCATATTGGGATGTTTTATCGGTTTAGCGTATATATCCATCTCGCTGCCATGGACACTGACCAACGGGTAGTCAGAGCGTACTGAACCAATGTCTGATGGAGGCGGGGATCTGGTATAGGCATAACGGACTGGAGGAGGACCTATGTTAAGTCTGTCGATGTCCACGTCTGAGCGATAAGTTGCCCATCCTGGATACGGTGAGTTCCTCAACTGGAATCCTCCCCAGAAGACATCTATATCGTGATGACCTGCAAAAAAAATATTGAAATGAAATGGAGTTTTACTTCTTATTAAGGGGAGATAAGCTACAGCTCTGACTGAGATATGTTTTGGGATTGAAAGGAACACAGTTTTCACCATCTAAACTTTGCCCTGACTTCTACACCGAGCCTTACTCCAACCTTAATATCCACAGAATCTTGTAAACATTCCCTCAAGATTATTTCCAAAATCCAAAATATTGCCCACAGCCTTCAATCCAACCGTTTGTTTAAAAAAAAACTCACAAACCAATTCTTACCTTCTGCTCTCGGTGTAAAGATGACGGTATTTCTCCCATCATTCCTAGCATCTATAGCAACGGGTATTTTACCAGTTGGACCTCTAACTTCTGCTGTCAGCTCACCTGAAATATGAAGTAGAGTTGTCCACCCTTTGTCCAATCTAAACAGTCTGGAATCTAGTTATTTAAACCAAACAACATAACATCTTCACACTGTTAATTATTGCTGGGTTAAAAATACTGCATATTTTTTGTCTTGCCATAAGGCACCCATGCCATACCAAGATTTTAATATTGAATGCATTGTTTCTGTACATGCTTTGAATTCAAAAGCTGGTTTCCATAAGGTTTTAGGCTGCCAACAAAAGTCATAAAAATAACAGCTCATCCAACAAAAAAAGTTACCCAACCTACCTGGCCCAGCCTCAGAAGCATCGAAAGGAATATGTTTTTCTTTGTTGACCACCAAGGGAATGAAACCACCATCATTCACGAATGATCTCCAGCCTCCTGATACTCGTACCAGCACTGGGTCCACTACCCATGGTTTGAAGGGTGATCCTAAAAAAAAAACACGGAAGTTCATTGGATACTGAGACTAAGGTGGTCTTCAATTATTTTTTTTCATCAAATGAGTGGAATAAAATTTGAATTAATATTTTTCTGCACCTGATTTGGACAATAAAAACACCAAGCAGTCTGCAATGAGGGAAATTTGCCAGGACAGCGGCATTAGCATTGTTTGATCAACAAGTGTGACCTGTAGTACACAGGACCTTGGCTTATTGTAGACTACTATCCATACGACTAGCACAGCACCAATCGCAGACAGGGGGAAACAAAGTTTAATTTTGACCTATCAACATTGCAAAATAATTTCAGCGAAATAAAATTCCAAACTAGGAACCACAAACAGTGTTAAATCATTTAATTAGTCCACAGTCTATAGAACACAGGACTTCAGTTTAATGCATTATTTGTCCTATGTTTTTGGCTTTAGAAAAAGCAAAATATATTTGAATTTTCCACAAAAGTGATGTTTTCATGTGCACAAAGAGAAGTTACGTACCCTCTAAAGGTTTGTTGTCCACACGGACATCTATATTGTGTTGTCCTTTCTCTACAGCTGTATAATATACCTTATAAGTACCATTAGATTGGGTTTCTATATAACTTTTTACTGGATGTCTGGGACCTACAACATCACAAAAAATTTTGATTATTTGATTAAATAATGGAACAAAATTTCATGGTGTCCACTACAAATAAGGAAAATATTTTTACTTGTGTAAAAAAAAATTTTTGATTTTCCCCTAAAAATGAAAAACAAGGGCTTAACTTTTGCATTGGCACAAAAATTAAAGGATTAGAAATATATATTAGTTTCTCACCTATGACATTAACAGACACAGGGCCTTGAACCCCTCTTGGATCAACAATAAATGTTGAAGGTTGGTTGGGTAAACCTCGTAGAAGTCCTTCACCTTGAGCCATCGGTAATTCTAATTCATCAATTTCTTGGATAAATGGAGACCCTAAAATACAAAATGAAATCATGTACAGTTGTGTACCATACAAGTTTAATCTAATGAATTTGAGATTTATGTCCTACTTTTTTGCCAGATAACAAATTAACAGAACTTGAGTTCTAGTCAAACATGACTGGCAAATACAGCAATATCAACAGCATTGACCAGTGACTGTGGGGGGTTGACACAAACATAGTTTGTACCAACATTATTACTAATAAATTTCGAAATATTATTTCTATGTTTTTGCCCAAAAATATGTGTCAGAATTCCCCAATTTATTTTTTACTTTTCAAAATTTATGTAGGGTGTGTGTTTGATTTATACCTCAGTCAGTCTACCCCCTTATTTGTACCCCAAGTTCCAGGAGATTAGGAAGATTTCTAGGGTCTTTATATAAACAACCATTCAGTAATATGCATACCTTTAACAGGGGAGCCATTATAAGTTAAATGTATTTTATAAACGCCAGGACCACTTGGTTTAAATGTGACTCTGTAAACATTTGGCCTTTCTTCTGTCATCTTAGCTGTGTAAACTCTGTTATTACAGACCACTTCCACGTGTAGATGACCTCCTGGTCCCTTAGAACAGTCAACTGGAAACAAAATATTCAAGGTATTGAGTATCTACACATGAAATTGATATTCATGAATGAAAAATATGAAATCAATAAGAATTGTGGTTTACACAAATAACAACATCACAGTTGTTAGTTAGTACACTTATGGATTAGTTCAAACCATGAAATGTTATTTTTGGGGGTTCTTTTTTGGCACCCTGCCAGTCAGTAATTAGGCACGCATAAAAGGAAAAACTATTCAAAGAAATAAGAAATTAGTAAGAATCATGGTTTACACAAATAACAACATCACAGTTGTTAGTTAGTACACTTATGGATTAGTTCAGTCTTTGAAATGGCTTAGTTGGTTTGTTTTTTGGATCTTTTTGGCACCACTGATGGAAAAAACTATTCAAAAATACGGAAATTAGTAAGAATCATGGTTTACGCAAATAACAACAACACAGGGGGTAAATAAACAAATACAGTGAGGACACTAGTTGAATAGTGAAATGGCCAAGAAGTTTTGCTTTTAGGTTCTTTTTTGACACCAAGCCAGTAAGTAATTAGGCACACGTAAAAGGAAAAACTATTCAAAGAAATAAGAAATTAGTAAGAATCATGGTTTACGCAAATAACAACATCACATAAACAAAAACAGTTTGTACACTAATAGTTCAGTCCATGACATGGCTCAGATTTTGTTTTTGGGTTCTTTCTGTGGGTGATTATATTGACCTTTGACCCTATAACAACAGAATTGTCCAAATTTTTACTAACCAATCAAAACACTGTTAAAAGTGGTTAGATGATGTTTTACAATGAATTTCAGAAATCTCACATATAGTTGGTAAATACTTTATTGATCAAAGCATTTCATTGGTTGAATATCCTAATGACCTAGAACATGTGTTGCATTTAAATTTCTCCAGATCATGAGAGACAAATGGAGTCACCCAAAGAAAAAACATGAAACATCTAGATTTGCATTTTGAAAAACACTAAGAGAGGTTATACAGCCTTTTCCCTAATCCCTTTCATTTTTTAAGTGAAAAACACTACTGTTTACAAAAAAAACCTAAACAATAAGAAATAATATTTGTAAAGACTTACCTATTAGCTGTGGTGTAGCACAAATAGTACCGTCATTCATTCCATAGACTTGTATATCAGATCCGTCAGTCACATGACAAATAAACGGTCCGCCAGTCATATAGTCTATCTCCCAATCACCTACAAAAAAATAGGATTTCATTTAATCAGAAATAAAGCAGTTTTACAACCCAATGCACCATATAAATGAAATGAATTTAAAATTTTTGCAGTGTGCAATGATGGCAATTTCTGTAAGTCAACAGCATTATCATATTCTCTACACTTTCAAACTTTTGAAGAACGTTTACATTCCACAGCTTATAGCACACAGGTCCTTGGTTTATTGTCCCATCCACACAACTAGATCCTCCTGAACCAAAATTGTAATCCTTGTAATGCTGAGTTGTTTCTTTCTTCACTTTTTGAGTGCAGGGACTATCTCCTCAAAAAATCTGTGTCTACTTACATGATGTTTTAATTTTAATCTTATCGTTTTCAGCCTCTTTTAATTCTGTATAAAATACAGCTTTTCTCTGTCTTTCTTCAGGGTCAGATGGGTTGGTATCAGATTCTGTAAAAATAACAGATAAATTTTACAGTATCTCTCACAAAAAAATGAGAAATTTGAATGACAATGTAGTGACAACAGTCTAAGTGTTCAAGGTATATATTTGTTGAATTGCCATTGATCCCGATGTCAAATTGTAAAAATAATAAGTGTTACAGGAAGCTGAAATTAAGCTCAATCAGCTGGTATGTTAAATTTAATAATGGACCACAATGTATCGTATCTTACTCCTATGTTATTTAAGGATAAAAACTTTAGATGACTGCAGCAAGAAAGAAATTTTGGGAAGCAAATTATAGATAATGTGTCAAACATCTGAGTCAGTTTTAACAACGTTAGATGCGCGTTACACTCAAAACATTATAGTATATGATTAATGATTCAGATATGGAAATAACAAAGATATGGAAAGGAAAAAAGGAAAGGAAGAAAAATGCAAAATATTACTCCATTTCAATGTGTCAAATTAAGGAAGACCCACAAAGATGAACATTTTTGTAAATGGTAAAAGAAAAGATTTGAAAATGCTTAAAGCCAACTTTCCAAATAAAAAGAGAAACTTAAGGAAAATGGATCCATTTTGAAAAAAAAGAAAAGAAAAAAGTATTGAAACTGGAGAAAGGGTCAATTACATCACTAGAAACCATTTTGAAATTATTTTTCTAACAGAACTTCTCCAAGAAAATGATAATTTTGGAAGAAATTTTGGAAAAAGGAAAATGAAAGAAATCGAAAACCAAAGAATTTCTTCAAAGAAAAGACAGACATATATGCATAGAGGCATAATTGTTAAAGAAGAATATATATTCAATACATAAAATTGGACTAGTTACTTAGATATGCATCTAGATATTAACATGCAGTTAATTCGTTAATTAGTTTTGACTAATTATGACTAATTACCTGAATATAAGCCTGATACTTAAAATATTAATTACAAAAAATTATCATTAGGCTAACGAGTAAAATTAACGAAGGACACTACACATAGCATCAATTACAAATCAAAAATTAAGAAAAAAAATTAATTTGAACATTATTGGGTATTAGAAAAATACTACAATCGAGCAAAGATATTCGTGCACATCTGGATTGAAAAAATATGAACACGAGCAGTCCACTTTTATTTTGGAAGTGTAAGTAGTAATGAACACAATATAAATCTGTCTTGTATAGTTTCAATTACTATTTGTTCCACCTCAAAACCAATGGACTGTTCTAATGTTTTGAACCTGACAGATGCAAAATATCTTTGCTGGACTAATCATATTACAAAACACAAGTCTACATCAAAACACAATACAAGGACAAAATCTACTACTAACACAAAAGTTTAACGTTAAAATTAAATGGCCACAGCACAATCAAACACAGCAAAAATTAAATGAAGATTTAAATTGTATGCTTACCTCGGACTTCTGCTCCGTTAAAAGTGACATCAATGGAATAAGGTCCAGGATCATATGGTGTGTACGAAACTCGATACACGCCAGGTTCTATTTTTGATAAATTGGTAATAACTTGACGGCCATTGTGTTTGATGTCTGCTGCAATTTCACCATCACCTCCTTTTGAGGCATCAACTGTAAAAAAAGGACATGGAGTTTTACATCCTACTGTTTTGTACCTGATTGACCTATTGAAGACAGCAAACACTATGTAGTATGCAATGAGGGAAATTTTGCCAGAACAGCTGCAATAGCCTTCTCTTTTTTTAATTGCCAACTGACAGAGGATCTTGAACCTGCACAGTCTGCACATATTTTGGTTGGTGGGGATTGCACCTGCCCCCTCTGCCCCCTTGTCTACTATGCCTATGTCTGGAGGTATTATCTCGAACCTTGCCAGGATTTAATCCTAAACCTTCAAGTTGGCAGACATATGTTTAACTCACTGAGCCATCTTGGCTGCTCCCTATAATTATTTCAAAACATACTCCTGTAACTTGCAGACTACCACTTTAACCTGTTTTTATTCAAACAAAGCACTTACTTTTAAATTCTTGTCGTTGACCAACAATTCCGCCTTTTAATCCCAAAACTCGGACCTGACTGGGATCACAAATATCCATAGCACATCCATCGAGGTAGCGGTCTTTATAGTACAACGACACTCGCCATTCTCCAATCTCTGTGTGTGTAAATTGGGCAGAGTAATGTCCATCTCCGGTAACCTTGACCACACGTCCATTGGGAGCGACTGCTTCCACTCGGACCTTATCTGGATCAAATGGCCTGGTTATCTGGAAATATATTTGAAGTGATAAAGTCGTCCAAACATTTACTTTACCAGAAAATGTGTCCCATGAAAATGAAAAACAAATTTGGAAGTTGTCCTTGGGTGAAACCTGAACAGTGAAATACATTTAAAGATCTATAATACAACAAGAGCAGTAAGATGGAATTGCTTCTGTTTGAAAACTTGAGGGAAATATTTTGAATATATTTCGAATTGCAAAACAAAATGGCTGAATCTACCAAAAAGTGGTTCAAAATTTGAACTTCATTGGGTTTACAGACCACCTCCAATATCCCCAAACCAATTTATTCCCCTGTTAAGCATTACTTGTCAAACCATAGGTCTAGACTCCAACTTTTACACTCACTTATTCTAAAAGAGCTGTCCTTTGCCTCCATATAGACAACAGAATGTCCAGTCATAAGTTAAGCCAAACTTCAAATGAACAGTTGTCTGAGCACTCATCGCTTTTACAATTTGTCACTGATTCTTTCTCAAGTGTTTTGTTCGAGTGATTAGCATTCAGGTTTAACAATTGATTAAAGCCAATCAGACCTTACAAGGGTTACATTTGACTTAATTCTCAATCAACAATTAAATACATGAGCTAATAGTCTAATTAAGTGCTCTGGTTACTACTGAGGTCTTGTCTGATTTGAAGTCAGATATAGAACTTTGCTGACAAATCTCTGAACTCTTATTTTGAAACCTTTCTCAATTTTAAACTTCAACTTAAAGGGATACAGTTGTCTAAAAATTTGATGTTGATACTGATACAGCTCAATATAGTTGTCTAAATATTTACTATACCAGCTGATAGAGCTCAATTCCATCTATCTGTATAGTCATCTAAATATTTACTTTACCAGCGGATAGAGCTCAGTTTCAGCTATCTGTATAGTCATCTAAATATTTACTTTACCAGCTGATAGAGCTCAATTTCAGCTATCTGTATAGTCATCTAAATATTTACTTTACCAGCGGATAGAGCTCAATTTCAGCTATCTGTATAGTCATCTAAATATTTACTTTACCAGCTGATAGAGCTTAATTTCAGCTATCTGTATAGTCATCTAAATATTTACTTTACCAGCGGATAGAGCTCAGTTTCAGCTATCTTTTAGTTGTCTGAATGTTTACTTTACCAACTGATAGAGCTCAATTTCAGCTATCTGTATAGTCATCTAAATATTTACTTTACCAGCTGATAGAGCTCAATTTCAGCTATCTGTATAGTCGTCTGAATGTTTACTTTACCAGCTGATAGAGCTCAGTTTCAGCTATCTGTATAGTCGTCTGAATGTTTACTTTACCAACTGATAGAGCTCAGTTTCAGCTATCTGTATAGTCGTCTAAATATTTACTTTACCAGCTGATAGAGCTCAATTTCAGCTATCTGTATAGTTGTCTAAATGTTTACATTACCAACTGATAGAGCTCAGTTTCAGCTATCTGTATAGTCGTCTGAATGTTTACTTTACCAACTGATAGAGCTCAGTTTCAGCTATCTGTATAGTCGTCTGAATGTTTACTTACCAACTGATAGAGCTCAGTTTCAGCTATCTGTATAGTCGTCTAAATATTTACTTTACCAGCTGATAGAGCTCAATTTCAGCTATCTGTATAGTTGTCTAAATGTTTACTTTACCAACTGATAGAGCTCAGTTTCAGCTATCTGTATAGTCGTCTAAATATTTACTTTACCAGCTGATAGAGCTCAATTTCAGCTATCTGTATAGTTGTCTGAATGTTTACTTTACCAACTGATAGAGCTCAATTTCAGCTATCTGTATAGTTGTCTAAATATTTACTTTACCAACTGATAGAGCTCAATTTCAGCTATCTGTATAGTTGTCTAAATATTTACTTTACCAGCGGATAGAGCTCAGTTTCAGCTATCTGTATAGTCGTCTGAATATTTACTTTACCAGCTGATAGAGCTCAATTTCAGCTATCTGTATAGCCATCTGAATATCAGCTCTATCAGCTGGTACAGTAAATATTTCGATTACTTTACTCTTTTACCCTCTGGAGTACAGGGGGAGCTCATTGGTACTGGCAATTCAAGGTATTCATTGTTGTTTTTAAGAAACTAATTGACATAAGCGAAACATGTTGATTGCTTACAGAAAGCAGCAAGGCCAACAGCTTACCTTAGTTTCAAAAATTACTCCAACAGAGTAGCAGTCTATTTTGTATGTTTCTGGTGCAAACTCAAGGCTGTTAGTTTCTGTGTGACGCACCATACTGAAGTTGCCATGGTTACTGTTGTTGAAATGGTTACTATGGTGGCTCTGTGGTTGGATTGAGTTTGTCATTAAAGAAGAAGTCCGAGTGGAATAATTCGAGTCATCGTCAAACACTGATATCTGAAATAAAAATAAAAACTTTAACAGAAGAAAATTTCACAGGCAGACGACAGACATTTTAAAGGGATTGTAAAGAGATTTTCCTAAACTTGGGACACTGATAGCAAGTAATATCTTTTTGTGATAGCTTAGTTTTAGTGGAATTGCAAGAACCACAGACGTCTGACTGAAAATTGAAATGATGCAAAGTTTCAACTACATTAGTTATTAATCATTTTTAATTTTCATAACAGTTTTTTTTTTCATATCATTTGCTGCTAATAATATTATTCATAAAAAAAAAACCACCCCTGAAACAGTATAAATATTGCCCTTTCTTACGGCCTCAAATTTCCTTTCACAACATGAATATTTTAAAAACAACATCTTATGTACAAGTACAGGTTTTTTTTCAACCTGAGGGTAATTTTGGGAGGTAATGAGACACGACAGAAAAAGATTGCAGGGAGAATCTAAGAGAAATCTTGAAATAGTAAGGAATCACAGGGGAATTGGTTGGAGCTATCAATGATCCTGAAAGGGCTCAAAAGAAAGAAAAAAGTTGAAAACCCCAGCACTGGTGTTACAGTTATTTTCCTTTCTCGTGGCCTAAAATTCTCCTTTTTCATTTATATTCACTGAAATCTTTTCTCTAAATAGTTTTGATCCACTTTCACCTTGAATAGCTGGAAAGACTTTATATTGTATACAATACTATTTTCTCTCTATACATATTATATTCATACATATTTGTACAATATCATTCAATACCGGCTAATTTATTTGTAATGAATTGGAGTTTTATCGAAATGTAGACCTGGATTTGAAAAGAGGTCTGTCATGTTCTCAGGCTGCTATTGATTTGTATCCCCCCCCACAAAACTACAAAATGTATCACATGTATGTTAAAGGGATTGTAAAGACATCTTTGTTTGTGTATCAGGGACACTTATAGCTTCTATTTACACCATTCTGATTTTCTAGTCTTTATATGTGTATCAGAGACACGTATAGCTTCTATTTACACCATTCTGATTTTCTAGTCTTTGTATGTGTATCAGAGACACGTATAGCTTCTATTTACACCATTCTGATTTTCTAGTCTTTGTATGTGTATCAGGGACACTTATAGCTTCTATTTACACCATTCTGATTTTCCAGTCTTTGTATGTGTATCAGGGACACTTATAGCTTCTATTTACACCATTCTGATATCAGGGTACAATTATATCTTCTATTTACACCATTCTGATATCAGGGTACAATTATATCTTCTATTTACACCATTCTGGTATCAGGACACTTATAGTTCTATTTACACCATTCTGATATCAGGGTACAATCATAGCTTCTATTTACACCATTCTGGTATCAAGGACACTTATAGTTCTATTTACACCATTCTGGTATCAGGGCACTTATAGTTCTATTTACACCATTCTGATATCAGGGTACAATTATAGCTTCTATTTACACCATTCTGATATCAGGGTACAATTATAGCTTCTATTTACACCATTCTGATTTTCTAGTCTTTGTATGTGTATCAGGGACACTTATAGCTTCTATTTACACCATTCTGATATCAGAGACACTTATAGCTTCTATTTACACCATCCTGATATCAGGGACACTTATAGCTTCTATTTACACCATTCTGATTTTTCTAGTCTTTGTATGTGTATCAAGGACACTTATAGCTTCTATTTACACCATTCTGATATCAGAGACACTTATAGCTTCTATTTACACCATTCTGATTTTTTAGTCTTTGTATGTGTATCGGGGATAGTTATAGCTTCTATTTACACCATCCTGATATCAGGGACACTTATAGCTTCTATTTACACCATTCTGATTTTTCTAGTCTTTGTATGTGTATCAAGGACACTTATAGCTTCTATTTACACCATTCTGATATCAGAGACACTTATAGCTTCTATTTACACCATTCTGATTTTCCAGTCTTTGTATGTGTATCAGAGACACTTATAGTTTCTATTTACACCATCCTGATATCAGGGATACTTATAGCTTCTATTTACACCATCCTGATATCAGAGACACTTATAGCTTCTATTTACACCATCCTGATTTTCTAGTATTTATATGTATCAGGGACACTTATAGCTTCTATTTACACCATCCTGATATCAGGGATACTTATAGCTTCTATTTACACCATTCTGATTTTCTAGTCTTTGTATGTGTATCAGGGACACTCATAGCTTCTATTTACACCATTCTGATTTTCTGTTTGACTTTCATGAAGCTATAAGCATTACCTAGCCCAGTCATCAGGAATGAATTGGTGCTGGGGCTCAGATTTTGTACTCAGAAAATTTGAAGAATTAAAGACCTAGAGAACTCATTTCTGATAATCAAAATCTAGATCTTTTTGATTTTGTACAAGACACTGTAAATGAATCAATCTCTGCTGAACTGAAGAAGGTTTTGCTAGGGCTTAATTCTCACTTGCTGAGGCCCAGCCCCCACACACCCCACCCCCTTAAATGAATCTATAAGCAGAAATTGGCAGTACTAATTTCTATTTTCCCTTGATTCCATTTTACCTGTGGTTCTTGGCTTCCACCAATACTTCTTGACATTGAATATGACTGAGAACTCGTTCCTTTACCATCAGTTACCTCCTCTTCTTGAAACGTGACCTTTCGTGAATACTGTTGATTAACGTATACATGTTCATTGGAACTATTTGATTCTCGCATTCCGAGATGAAGAACAGAAGGCCGCATGGATGACATGACGAGCATTCTATTTCTTCCTCAAATTTTTTTATAAAATTTCAAACGCAATTTCACAAATCACGACTTTGTTTGCTATTAACGAGTTGACACACTTGTAAATGGGTACAGATAATCCAAGAAAGATCAATGCCACGAGGTTTTGCCAAAACTAGCTGACTGAAAAGTTCCTCATAAACCAAGATTGTTATCCTAGTAAAATATTGGTGCAGATAATCCAGGAAAGATCAATACCAAGAGGTTTAACTGAGCTGATATCAAGGATCTTTAACTGTAAACCTAAGTTATTATCCTTATAAAATATAGATAATCCAGGAAAGAGCTGGCAGATAAGATCCTCGTGAACCTAAGTTATTATCCTTGTGAAAAAACGGGTTGTTTTCTTTTTAGATCTGCTATCCAAAATTCACACACAAACATCGAATCTAAATTTAATCCCAAGTTTAAATTTAAACTATTCAGAACTAGGTCTACATTATCCAATTCATTGTGAACTCACACAAACATTTTGAAAAACTTTTTTTTCATTTTGAGTTCAAAACACAATTACAACACATCCGTTTAAGAAATGTACAGTCAACTAAAAAACGGGGTCTTAGGGAGTCATAAAAGGTAAAAATGTGACTTAACAAGCCTCTCTCCTAAACTAATAAAATATCAATACCAGTTTATTGTTATTCCCCATTCAAAACAAGTTTTTCACAATTCATGGCTTTAAAAAGCAAAATGTTTTGTCCCAACCTAGACCATAAAATGGTTGCATAGCACCCCAAACCTTAAATGAGTTTTTGATTAAACTGGTTTAGGCTATTTATAGATATATTAGGGGCTTTACTGGTGGGTTCCCTTTCTGTGGGGTGCTAATAGGCATAGGACAAGAAAATTTGGGGTGTGTGGGGAATATATAGCTGCAAAACTTGAGATTGTGACATAGTTCATCTTATTGTAGACAAACCAAATGCAAGATTTTTCATTGTGGAGAGTGATATGGATATTTTTAGATTGAACTCTATTACTTTGTAAAATCAACATTTACATGACAAAGTAATTATCGGTCAATGACCTGCTTATACAAGACCCACAGACATCTGATTGAAAATTGGAATGGGGCAAATTGATGCTACCCGTGTCCCTGATACGTATAAATTTTTTTAGAAAACCTCTTTACAATCCCTTTAAGGGAAATATTTTTTTGATTATTATGCAGAAACATAGCAGGAGATAATGAATTATTTTCAGGCTGACTGAGGTTATTGTTAATCATTTATAAAGAATAGCATATATTTTTCACATTGGGCAATATTCTAGCTCATAAAAGGTTTTGATTATCTATGTAAGACCTTATATTACAAATTGTTTGCTTATGAATGAAGTTTTACACCCTACTGTTCTATATCTTATTGGACTTAGGAAATGAAACTGCCTTCGCCTATACTTGTTTTCAAATTTGCATCGTTAAAAAGGGAAAACAGGAGCTCTCCCTTTTAAAATGGAAAAAAGCGAATTTGGTATCTTACCTTGCTCATAGAAATATCATGAAAATTGTTGATTGTCTGCTGCTGGGAGTATGTTTGCGTGCTGCGGTACATGGAATTCTGGGAATAATGCGATGATGATGATGGAGGTTCAGGATTTATCGGCACAATTGTCTTGTACCCTCCTGTATTTGACAACACTGGTTTATAATCTGGTGGCGATCTTGACCTGTGGTGCCCTGGATTTGGTGACAGAGATCTAAACTGTACTGGTGGGGGTGAGGCCGAACGATAATTCCCAGGATTGGGCGATATTGACCGAAAATGTCCTGGGTTGGGGGACAGGGAACGAAATTGAATGGGAGGGGGTGAGGATGATCTGTACTGGGTTGAAGAAGTATTCATTATGTTTTGGGAGTTGTGGGGTAAAAACTGGGCGGCGTAGGTCATGATCCCCAGATGTTCCTTGTTTTCTTCAGTGATCTCTTCTGCCGTTAGAATCGGTTCAACGCCTAAAAATCTTCCTACATTAATACCTGTAATAACAAAAAAGATGAATTTATGCATAAAACCAGCGGAGTTTTATAACCTACTGTTCTGAGAGGGAAAACCATTCAGTGTGCAATAAGGGAACTTTATCCAGTACAACTGCACTAGTCTTGCCTGCTGTTATCAATCTACAATTACCATTTTTAATAATCTTATGATTTTAGGTCTTTGGACTACCAGTACGAATTTCCATTTTAGCATATTAACCTTAACATTCATGAACATTGCTTTAACCCTGTGCCAGTGCCTTCTGATGGATAGTAACTTGTAACCTTTCAACTATCCTAATCTCTCATTTGAAAGATTATCATCAAAAAGTTTCAAAAAAATCAAATTTTTCTCACATTGTGCACAAAATGTCAGTTCAAGGTCAAATAAAACTTTCAAGGTCGACCATAAAAATTTGCTAAAAATGGCTCCACTTACATTTTTTGATTTTTTCAACCGGTGTGTCCTCATCTATGATTGGTAGATCTCTCCCAGAACTTGTTACCAATTCCTCTAGCACCTCACCATCCTGCCAGTCAGTCTGTGAATCAAAGAGTTCCAGATTATCAATATGGAGAGGGCTAATGTCGGCCATTTTGGTGCCAAAGATGGTTAGTTTGATTTGAGTTTTGATTGACCAAGTTTCAATTTTTTCTAGGCCAATGTTTTAGTGGATATGCGTATAAGTCACTTTATACTTGTGTCCAAGGCCAGCTATCTTTTCAACTCAAATATCTTCCGGATTCCCCATATATATCGAGTTTCAGAAAATATTGAGTGACATTTCAAATTCAGCAATTCACCACAAAATATCATCTCAGTTCCATTTTAACAGTTTATATCAAAGTTTATAGAACCATTTCATATATCAATTATTTAAAATCATTCCTTGCACTTCCATGGTCCAAAAAGTGCCTGAATATACTCCATCCTAACATTAGTTTCAAACTTCCTCAATCTTAGAGTTTCTGCTTTCAAGGTCATTGGAAGCTCCTTCTTTCCAAGGTCAACCGATTTACTGTAAACAAAACACTAGTAAATTTACACAAAAGGAACGGCAACTTTAAACACATATATATGTCAGAAATATTCACAGACTACACTGTAAGCAAAAGCCTGACAAATTTACACAAAGGGGATGGCAACTTTACAATTAAAATTCATCGCAATAAATCTTTAATCGGAATCAGAATCCTTATTCCCAACTCAATACCACAGTCATTGTCAACTAATTTGTAGACCATATTATGCACTGTAAACACAACTCTGGCAAATATACACAAAAATAGTGGCACCTAAAACCAATGACACGGAGATTTACGTCGTATCTTTTTCTAACTTACTCTATTGCTCTAATGAACAGAATTGCAATTTTTCGTCAAACTTTTCTGTACTTAACAGGACTAATGATCTAAAATGGAGTTTTACATCCTACTGTTCTGCACCTTATTTGACAACAATGACCAACCAATAAACTGTGACGAAAATATAACATTAGACAATGCAATCTCTTTAAGATCTCCAATTCTCACAAATACCTCTCTTTGTATGAGTAGTATTTTATAACAAGGCGTTCTTTGTTTGTCTTCTGTGTGTCGACTATCTTCAGATATTTACACGCAATTCACGAATTTTTATGAACTTTAAGAAACATTTACGAATTAGATTCCTTTTGAATATCAAATTACGAATTATTTTGATACTGTTTTAATACGTAAGACGAAACAAATACTATTATCAAGCTCAACTTTAATCAAACCACAACGAAACTCAAAATATAATGAAACACACGCTACAATTAACCAATAATGACTGCCTGACCGTCAACACTGACAGGGGGAAACGGGTTGAAAAATCCGAAGGTCTATCTCATTCTATGCTGGGATCGAATCCTGAAATTTAAGGTTAACAAGCAAGTGCGAAACTCACTGACTCAACGCATTCCTCGTTTCACTTAGTATCTCTGTTAGAGAGTTCAAACGGATAACAATATTTATAAGGTCCTACACTTTTAGTAATGTAAACCTCAAATAGTCAAAATATGCAAATTCTACCATTACAAATATAAAGATCTCGAAATGAAAATAAATCTGTCAAAAACCGAGTCAAGACAGTGCAAAACTATAAAACTATTCGTTACATTGAATTTATAAAAACGGTACAGAATGACACAGGCACGATGACAAAATGAGTCAACTTTCTTCACAAGATGAAACCCAGTGAATTAAATATCAGTTTAGAGTCTTAATACAGAAGACTATCCTCAATGCCTAATTCAGAAATGATTGTTGTGTAGAGGTGCCTTCACACCATTGTGATCACCAGTTGTGTATGGTTGCCAATAAGAATAGCGATCAAATCTTAGTTACATGAGAGTTGCGTTCGAAACTTCGGAATTCATGACCACTTTGATTATTGGCAACCATACACAACTGGTGATTGCTATAGTGTGAGGGCATCTTAAGGTAGTACGGTAAGAGAACGTTCACAGTGGACCAATTGATTCAGTTTAGATCACTAAACCAACCTAACTCTCATCCCCGAAGTTGATGACTTAAGTTAGTCAACCCACAATCCAAACAATCCAAAAGAAAAACCAATATTCACAGATTCAAGTGTAGAGTGCACCTTCTGTCAAATTAACTAGACCAAACATAACAGCATCACGTTAGTGAATTCATGCTGCCTTAGCGTCACAAATAATCCAGAGAAAACCAAAATTCACAGATTTAAGGGAAAAGGAACCCTTTAACCAATTCCCAAATGGCTTCACATCAAAGAATTCTTAGCTGCCTTAAAATCCAAAATGTCCCCAGGAAACGACACTTGTCACAGGTTCAAGGGAATAGGCACCTTCTGTCCAATTTACCAGACCAATCTCATCTGCATCACTAATGATTCCAAACGTCCAAATGTCAAAGTATCAAAAAGAAAAGACACAATTCAGCAACTTGAGAAGCTGAATGACAAGAAAGTCACAAAGCAAACAGACAATCCTTGACAAACACTATATTCAAACTTCAGATTCATAAAAAATATCCTCTTTATAAAATAGCCTCGAGCAGAATAAAATGCATAAAGTTAAACTTATATATCTTACTTAAAATCATTGCATAAGACATTACAAAGATGTCAATCAAAGCTGACATTTTGAAATGACATAGACTAAGAAAAAATTGACATATGTATTCAAAAAGAAACACACGAACAAACGGAACAACAACATGTGAATTCTTAGAGAAAAGGATAAAGAACTAACACACGAGACCATAAACACAGCACAAGGGAAACAGTGATCACAACACAAGAGACCATAAAGTACAACACACGGTACATTAACCTACATAAACACAACACATGGGTTCATAGAATACAGCACATGGAGGCACACATAAAACACGGCACATGAACACATAAACAGAATTCAGTGAAACCCCAAAACACAACAAATGAGACCACCAAAACTTAACATATTAGAACAAAAATACAGCCAATGGTAACCTCGGAGAAGATCACAAGAGATCATAAAACACATGGAGCCACGTAGTAAAATACAGCACATGAAACCACGTAAACATAACACATGTGATCCTAAAGAATACCACATTAATTCACCAAAAGAGAACACAGAAAAGCCTGGCAAACACATGAGAAAAACAAACCACGGTTCACATTACAAATACACGTAAGAAGCCAATTAAAATCATATAGAAATATGAGAGTTGGGCTACTTTTTCAAGGACAAAATAATTCTCACAAAACCCATCACCTAATCCGACATGGGTGGATTAGTCCTTCAGATAAAACCACCCCGATATACGATGCATCATTGAACTTAATATTTGATTTTAGGTGGAGAAATTATTTCTATGGGAATTAAAATAATCCTAATAAATGTATCAAAATATAGACACATTGAAGGAAAAAACCACATTCAATAAGAGACCGTTTTAGATTATTCCCATGAGTGGTCTCTTACTACAGTTTTTACTGTAGACTATTTAAATTGGTGATAATTATAAATACTATGGCGCGTCTCGATCGCAGCAAAGCATCCTGACCCTGCCGGGGCAGCCGATTACCCGATGCGGACGAGTTTGTCTCTTCCGAGAGTTCACAGAACTAATCATGTTTTGTGGTATATTCATAGAATAGGATGTAACCCAATAGTTCCATATCATTCACACATTCATCAAATATAAAAGGGCACAAAACACATCCTTGCAGCACCCCCAATTCCTAAGAACAACTACCAAAAACACAAAACAAAACTCCCGCTTGCAACATTTGCCAGTTTGCCTTGATTCTTGTACATACTCCACGAAGTTAAAAGGGCACAAAACACATCCTTGCAGCAACCCAATTCTTAATAGTGATTTCCAAAAACTCAAACGAAATTGTACACATTCCATGAAGATAAAAGGGGACAAAACACATCCTTGCAGCAACCCAATTCTTAATAGTGATTTCCAAAAACTCCAACGAAATTGTACACATTCCATGAAGATAAAAGGGGACAAAACACATCCTTGCAGCAACCCCATTCCAAAAAAGTCTTCCAATGGTCAATGTCCGAAATAGAACGCAGCACAAAACCTCTCAAAGGGCTCTTTTTTAAAATGAGAGAGGTTTGCCTTAGGTCAAACCTTTAAGAAAGGGGTCTGACCAAATTACTACTAGGGGTATTAAAAGATAAGTTAACTTCAGTATTTTATGAAATTTTAGCCAGTAATACGGGGGTAGTATATAATTTTGTTTAATTTGGGTTGAGTCAACAAAAGAAGTTGAAATTCAATGGAGCTCTAAGCAAAGGTACTCCGAAATTGTTAATACATGTACATGTATATACTAAATAGGGCAATTCGCACTTGGTGTTCCACTATAATATGTGCTGTTGTTGTTCGTAACACCTGATTCTGATGTGTATCTGGGTTTCTATCAAAAGGTTCACAATGTTATTTTGATATCTTATTTCGAAGGCATTTCTTATACATAGGTAATCATGCCAGATTTGTATTTGGGCTTGACATCTCTTTCAGAGAGTTTACATGGCTAATGATGCCATTTTGGTATTTGCGACATTTTATTTGGGTTTATCAAGTATTCCTTTCAGACAGTCCACATGGTAAATATTGGTTATGGTTTTTTTTCTAGGGGCATTCCTTTCATAGAGTTCATATGACCAAAATCGTATGTTTTGTGTAAAGTGTAGGATTGTCCTTTTCAGAGAGTCCACATAGCTACTAATTTTAGTTTTGTATTTAGGATTGCCAACTTAGTATTCCTTTTAGAGTCCACATATTTGCAGCTGCATGTCATTGGATTATGATTCTGCTCTTTAAGTTAGGATTGACAACTCTCGTTACATAAAATAAGTATATGGACCCTTAAGCTGTACCAACCTACATTTAATGCACAAAACATAAAGCATATATAAGTAAGGTAGACAATATATGTTTGTTCCCATATTTATCTTATACCTTGGTCTATTTATATGCTAATTAGGGTATGTACCCGTTAGTACAATACCATGTGTGGGAGCTTATATCTATTGACTTAAGCTGCGAAAAAATTATATGTAGGACTTCAAACAATCTACATGTCGAATATCGGATTTAAATATAGATCTTGATGATCGTTTCATTTTTATTCTGTGGGTTATTACACTAGCCGTCTGTGATCAGACGACATTCGTCTTTGAATTCTGTTCAAGCCATTTCAGGTTTTGTCCCGATAGTACAATTCATTCTTTACTGACTTTCTGTCGAGGATTTTCATTTGCTGTATTCGCTTACGTACAATCCAATCAAACGTCAATGATATAAAGAAAGGTATCTATTGCAGTCAAGGTATAATACAAAGGTGTAATAGCTTGACATTGATGTTGTCATACGTACATATGTTTTCATGTATTTTTATTGTCAGGTATCAAGATAACATCTAAAGGTGAAATTTGAATAAAAACTCGAATAAACAACTTTTTTTCTTCCTTTTTTTGGCTTGTAGTTGGGGACATGCGAGCTTCCGATACTTAAAGATGGGTTCCCTTATTTTCTTTTATGAAGTAGTGGTATTCTAATGACTTGGAAAAATACCAGTTTGTCTCACATATCCATAATTAATTCATAATTAGCTAAATTAGAAGAGAATTACCAACTGAATTCCAATGAGTGACCGATCAAGAAAGGTCAAAAAATCTTTTTTTGTTTATCCAGACTGTACATACATGGACATTTATGATTGGTTAAAACTCTTAATTATATGCATTAATAACATAATGATATGATTAAGAATACATGATTATTCATTAGAAACACCAATTAATCAAATAGTTTGCTTAATTTGACACTAAAAAAATAAGGAAACCCATCTTTAAAGGGGCAGTCTGATATTTGTATGCAAAATTTTCATTATTAAAAACGATGTAAATTTGTCTTGAAAATATTCTTAGACTATGCTATCTAAATCTATGTATCTACTTGATCAAACTGAATTTGCTTTAAAAGGGTTAATTAAAAATCCGATCTAAAAGGGTTAATAAAAATAGGTGTGTATTTTTTGCAATATAAGCAGTTGGAGGTTGGGCTTTAAAAGTTGGGCTTTGAGTTAAGACCTTCAAAGTAGGAGACATACTTCTCTACAACTTTACGTTTATTTGACTAAAATACGTACAATAGTTTCCAACACCGACCAAAATATATAGCGACTTATAAAAAATCGCCCTATTCTAAACATTGTGTCAGAAACAAGCTGAGCAAATCAAAGGCAAAATATTTAAAAACTCGACTAACCTTCGTTCGATCTTCCGGAAAAAAAAATCCAAAAACTTAAAATTTCGGGTAAGAATTTGTCCCCAATAGAAAAATGTAATCCAAGCCGCGACAACTATACTAGGATACTAACTAGCCGACCCACGTCTCAAATTTCGACTATGAAACTGACAATGTTTACTAAATCCTGAAGGGATATAGTCCACTAAAAATATTTGCTTTATCAGTTTTCAATTTCCGCAGACCGTACACTTTTAAAAATTGAAACACGGCATCTTGTTCCACTACAATTCAATATATGAATACACCTTGGAAGTTTAGACTATGGCCACTTTAGACTGTTATCACATGCAAGTCCTTATTTAAATTCTCACGTGCAGTTATAAGCATCTTCATAACGCCAATCTATTAACTGCGTCTGATACAAAAAGTATGGCTATTGCAGTCAAGGTATTAGACGCAGTTCGTAATAGATTGACATTGTAAGGATGCTGATAACTGCACGTGAGAATGTGAATAACGACATTGTGAAGATGAATTATTACAGACGATGAATGAGCTCAGACTGATAAAATAAATATTTAAACGACAGTTTCCCTTTAAATGTGACCACACCTATATGTGTTGTATATATGTGTAGCGATTATATCAGAGAAAAGTCAACACCTAGACGTTTAAAAAAAGGTATTGTAAAGAGGTTTCTAAAAATGTTTTATGTGTATCGGGGATTGATTTGCACTATTTCAATTTTCAACCAGACGTCTGTAGTTCCAGCAATTCCACTTAAACTACGTGCTGATGGCGTCACTATCACTATGGTCCTTATACTATATCATTGGCAGCTTCTGTGACGTCATAAAACGCTTACTTTTTAGTAGAATTGCAAGAGTCACAGACGTCAGATTGAAAATTGGAATGGTACAATTGAAGATATCAGTGCCCCCCATACAGTTTAGAAATCCTCCTTACAATCATTTTAAGTCAAAGACTTAAACCTAAACAAACACATAATATATAGCCTATGCATCTTCACAATGTCAAGCTATTACGAACTTCGTCTTACACCTTAACTGCAATAGTCAACACACAATTTGAAAAGTCGTAAATATTATGGTTAATGGTTCACAGACTTTCTGTCGAGGCCTCTGATTGGCTGCATTCCATTCCATTCTACACGAATAGTGGCTATTGCAGTCAAGGTATAAGTTCGTAATAGCTTGACATTGTGAAGATGATATGTACACTGAAAGCTAAAGCAAGTCACTTACCGTAAAGTTCCTAATAGTTCTGGATCGAATCCTGTTCTGTATCCTCTCTAGGGTAGCCAAGTATCCGGGTCCGCCATATTTAATGAAGTACGACAGGTAGGTAATGGCCGATCTTTCGTCCAAATCCGGACTGGCTAGATCCTCTGGTCGGAGAACGATGGGCACCCGTAGATGCTGCCTGGCTAGCTTCATAGCATTACGACAATTGTTCAATCTAAAAGGGTTACGGGTAATGTAATAAGATGAAGTTCTGGATGTTGGTTTCATATTTTTCTGTGGGTAACTACACTCGTCATCTTTGATCTGACTTAATTTTTCATCAACTCGTGTTCAGTAGTACTTTGATAAGAAAAGGTTGAGATGTATGGTAAACAAATCAAAAACACTGTTTCGAGTGGGAAGGCAATATGTGTGTAAAGGGTATCTTTCTTTGAACAGATCATATGATTGGCTGAACATTCTAATGACCTTGAACATCTGTTACAAAAACAAATTGTCAGATCATGGACGAGAAGTAAAGTCCACCACAGAAAACCATGAAATGAAACATTTAGTGCAGAAAAATGGGACGTAAAGCTCCATTTCATTACATGAACATGCATGTGACTGTTCATTTAAGTGACTCGGGGTCAAAAGATTCTAAATATATTGGACCTCGAAACACCCCTCCCCCTTTCGTTTTCTAGAAAAGCCGATTCAGGTACAATTGTCACCAAACCACAAATCCGAATTAAGCCAATGACAAAGTTTTTAACGAAAGATAAAAATGTCAAATATAAGTCCACACAAATAAAAAGATAATAAGAAAATTGCCCAGTTGTCAAAAACTAGCCCCAAGGTATATGTATATGTAATTTGATAATGACCGGCTGAGAGGGCCAATACGAACATCTGTTTAAATTATTTCAGATATACATTGTTGTCATTCAGATTGAAAATTACTGCCATTATGTTATAGAATAAGAAGGATGTGATAGGATAGGATCTAAATAGGATAGAAATAGGATAGGGGTAGGATGGGGTAGGGTAGAAATAGGATAAGATAGGAAAGAAATAGGATAGGACAAGACAAGACAGGATAGGACAAGACAGGATACAAATAGGATAGGATACAAATAGGATAGGTAAAGAATAGAAATATGATAGCACAGACGATAGGATAGAAAAAGGATAGGATAGGAAACAAATGGGATAGGATAGGGATTGGATAGAAAAAGGATAGGACAGACGATAGGATAGGATAGAAAAGGATAGGATACCAAAGGATAGGGTAGGATCCAAACCCAGAGAATCCATACGTAGTAATTTGGCTTTAATTTTCAAATATATGGGAATTTGGACGAGGAGCAAATTGGAAATAAAACACCCCACCCCAACCCCCAATATCCAACCTGGCTACGTCCCTTGTTCGACTATCAAAACAGTCCTATCAATATATGAGGGGGTCGTCAGTCTGTCTAATTAGACAGGTTATTCAAGGTAAAAGTATAACAATATTATTATTGCCCTCAGGTATGTTATGGTCGCCACTGAACAAGTTTCCATTGTATAGAACGGTGGGTATGATCTGCCATACTGCTTAGAGGGATAAGGATAGACCGAAACCTCTGCCTTTATTAAGCCTCTGATAGCTTATTTGACAGTTGTCGGCTGGAGTAGAGGCATATGTTTTGGACTAGGCTAGAGCACAGGTTACAGAAGGACTCAGGGCAGGTTTCACCAACCATTCTTAGTAGAAGTATTTGATTGTAATATTTGACCTCATGGGGTCAAAGTATATCATAAATATTTGTTATAAACTTTTATGTGGTATAATAATACGATCCATTATAACCTGTGGGCTCAAAATTTTTTCAGAATAATGTGACCCATTATGTGCTCTACGGGGTCTTTGATTCTTAGAGAATTTAGAGTCAGCACTTTTCAAAAGAGGGTGGGTCCCTTTTCAATGATCTTTAAAGGTAAGTTTTCATTTTAAAACCTAGGATGAGTTGGAAATCAAAAAAAGAGTAGCTGAATATCGTTCCGTGTCGTTATCATTGCACACTGCATGGCGTTGTCCAATCTAGAATAGATAAGTAGAACGCAAAACTCTACTTCGATCCCCTTAAAAATACCCCCTCCCCTTACACATACCCCTCATCAAATAATATTTTCTTACCTGTCATGTCGGCTAATATTTTCCAAATTTGGACACAAACCCGGTCTGCAGAATTCTATTAAGGCACTGAAAATCAATGGCACCGATTATTAGGAAATGCAGGAGAATTGAAAGGCTCTATTTTCAATCTGGCCACAGAAAACTGTGTTAAATACAAACTTCTAGCTAGTTGGAAACGATATGCCATTTTGACAAGTACTGTCTGCTAGTTAGTTGGACGCGATAGTTTGATATGCTCTGGTTCCATTTTGACCTTCATCAAAGAAACCGGTTTCGAAATGGATCGAGTTCAACGTAGAACTCTAATACAAAAAAATGTTATTGACGATGGTTGGATATCCGGAATGACAATACTTACTATAAAACAACTCCGTCATTCCAATCCCGACCAAAGTTTGAAATATGCTGATCAGGCAGAACTGCCTTTAACCATTTCAGGAACCACTGGCGGTGCTGAACGGCTGACAGACCAACTTGGTACCGTAAAATCAGCTGCCAGATCAGAGTTAGAATCACCTTTACATTTCCTCGTACTATATCCGTACTGTCTGAAAACAGGAATGGGTGGAAATCACAGGGTGGTTCATTCATTCATTCATTCATTCATTCATTCATTCATTCATTCATTCATTCATTCATTCATTCATTCATTCATTCATTCATTCATTCATTCATTCATTCATTCATTCATTCGTTCGTTCGTTCGTTCGTTCGTTCGTTCATTCATTCATGCGTCTGTCTGTGCGTTCGTTCTTACCATTCATTCACGTTCGTTCGCATTTTTTGTCTCATGAAGGCAGACAACACCGTACCGTGTGTAATGAGGGAATTTTACCAGGTATAGACCTTCTGTTTTTCAATTTCTATTGAATGTAGTGTATTGGCGAGTTTTTAGTCCTTATTTAGCATCTTGGAGGTACTACGAAGACAGTATCATGTAGTGTACAATGGGGGAAAAATGTCCACGCCAGCAGCAATAAATGACCAACTAAGTTTTCATTATCAATCAGTTTTCTCGCCGATATCGAATCCTGAGAAATTTTATTTTTATGAAAACTGTCGAACTGAATGACTCGGGAGATAAATATCTTGTTATGCCTCAACGACCTGTTGGGGATCTCAAGCGTAGATGGCTATCAAGAACTTGTGAATTTTAACACCGATTGTGGCGATACGCTCAGTAGGCGGCCTTGTTTTAATGGCTATCAATGATATTGAGGATCTACTTCGGTGACATTGACTGCAACGACTGTGTTGTCAAACTACAGGCGAAAAGTTGAATGGTGCAAATCAATGCTATATGAGTCTAGAAAACCTATGTACAAACCCTTAAAGCTAGTATCATTCATTTATCAATTCATTCATTCATTCATTCATTCATTCATATGAAGAAAACTATGCTTGATAATTCAGAAATGAGAGTTTACTTTCAATTTATAAAGTCGGGCAAAGCCATTTGGTCTGCAATGGAGGAAAATTTTCCAGGACAGTGGCATTTGCAAACTCCTTTTCGATTACCAACCGCCGAGGGATATTTAACGTGCCCAGTTTGTCACACATGAAACCTTGCATATAAAACGGCCTGAAGTGAAAGCTACGCTAGCGCTCTGCAACAGATTCAGCTTTACGGAAATTGCCGAGGATTGCCGAACGCTTGCATATGTGGCTTCAGTGAGTAATACACCCATGCTGTTTTATTTGTGACGAAGCCTGTACATTCCATCGATTTACATACCGAGCACAAAAACGAGGGAAACGAAAAATTATAATAATTTATTTCATAGAGATAATGAATGTGTTTTCTATGCAACGAGGTGTGAACTGTAATCAATGCATAGCTCAAAAAATCAACTCTTTCTGACTCATTTTAGATACTTCGTTTCGTTTATTTGATGTGTGTGATTTGCGTCAACCTTTCTAGATCTAACGACATTATTCCATTCGTTCGTCTACCCGGTCATTCAGCCTACAGGCACGCGCAAAACTTGCCTACTTACCTATATTAGCGACCTTGACCACATCTCGTGAAAACACGTTCAAGGTCATGCCCATATTTTGGAGTTTCTCATTCATTCATTCATTTATCTACTAAACAAACGACGATATCACTATCCTCCACGCACGTGTAAAATTTACATACTTACCAATATTTGTGACCTTGACCCCATCTCGTGAAAACACGTCCAGTGCCATGCCCACATTTTGAAGCTTTTCGTGCTGAGTTTGAGGCCCTTGAACGTAGTTTATGATGGATTTATTGGCGAGTTCCTCAAGCAGCATAATCAGGATTACACCGTCCCGGATGTCCTCTTTCAAATCACTCAGCAGAATTTTCCGGTTTTTCAGCTGTTCGTTCAGCCAATTTATAAAAGTCGTCTGCTGAATTTGGACCCACTGGGCTTCCGGTATAAAATGTTGTTTCTCATACGCGTACATGGACGCCTGCATCGTGGAATTTTCATACGCCATCATTTTGGTACGTCAAAGCTTATTTTTTTGTATTAGCCTAAATAAATTTTCATATTTTGGATACAGCAAAACGCTTAAAGCTTAATTTGTGAAAAATCACTAGGAAGTTTTAAAAATATATTGCAAATACCACAATATTGCACACAACGGGAGAAAAAACAATTTATCCAAAATACACGACAGAAAAGCCTGTTTTACTCTCTACCAGGTAAATTAAACACGCTGTTATACTTCCTGCAAATAAACAAGAACATACATATTGTTATTAATGGGTACGCTCGAAGCCATATTGTTTACAGGTTATTGTCGAGGGCTCTGAAAAGTGCTTACGATGTCAAGGTATTAGACGGAGTTCGTAATAGCTCGATATTGTAACGATGTGTTCATCAAAGTACATCAAAACTTTCTACAGCCGATACAGGAAAGACAGGATTGTGTTTTTTTTTATTAGGTATAGGCCTTGATTACAGCGTTCGAAAACGCGCATCTTGAGCGAGGTGATCTCTCTTGCGCACCTTAATGTGGCCAATCTTTTGCTCAGACACCAAAGCTTGTTATATTGGACCACACGCATCCCTTCCACATGCGTCGTCTATCACGTCCACTACCGTGTTTGCAATGGCCATCAGTAACGTAATGTAAACCTAGCATTAAGCGAATAACAAAAAATGCTTATAATCATGACTTGAATGATCCAATATTTTTGATAAATAGATTTCTATAACATAAGGTCATGACCTTCTAAAAACCTATTATAGCAATTCGTCAATATAAAGCGATCGTCTTTACAATGCTATCTCTTTATGATTTACTAATAAACTTCTTAACATAATGAAATGGGGTTTACGGTCCTATTTTTCTGTACCTTGTGGCCTTACTGAGCTAATGAAATGTAGAGTTTTATATCCTACTGTTTTGTATCTTATTGGACTAATGAAATGAAATATAGTTTTATATCCTACTGTTTTGTATCTTATTGGACTAATGAAATGAAATATAGTTTTATATCCTACTGTTCTGTATCTTATTGGACTAATGAAATGAAATAGAGTTTTATATCTTACTGTTCTGTATCTTATTGGACTAATGAAATGAAATATAGTTTTATATCCTACTGTTCTGTATCTTATTGGACTAATGAAATGAAATATAGTTTTATATTCTACTGTTCTGTATCTTATTGGACTAATGAAATGAAATAGAGTTTTATATCCTACTGTTCTGTATCTTATTGGACTAATGAAATGAAATATAGTTTTATATTCTACTGTTCTGTATCTTATTGGACTAATGAAATGAAAGCTTACATTTATCTAATACCTTTGCAATTGCCATCTTTCTTGTATCACGGAACGCGGCGACTTGCTTGCAGTATACGCCAGTGAATACAGCCAATCCATAATACAAGAAAGGTGACTATTACAGTCAAGGTATAAGACGCAGTTCGTAATATCTTGACATTGTGAGGATGACGAATTTGAACCTTAAAGAATGTCTGATGTGTGGGAGAAGTGGGAGGGGTCCCTGAATTTTATTCCAAGGGTGCGTCTGTCCTTGCAATTTGATATAACGACCCACCCTAGCTGCGACTTCCACTCTTAAACATAAATGCACGTCAGGGGGGTGGCTCTGGTCCTTGGGTGAGTCTTATTAAGAAGGGACGGGGTCAAAGAATATGATTTTTTCTATGGGACATATTCAAGCTGCGATTCCGATTCTTAAACGCAACGATATGACATTGAAAAGGGGGGGGGGGAGCCATTGGGATTTTCTCAAGGTTGGGTCTACCTATGCAAGATACGGGTAACAAAAAAAAGGGATAATGTAGGAGATTCAAATCCTTAAACGCAACGACAAGACGGTGAAATATGGAGAGGGGTCATTGGGATTTGCTCTAGGATGGGTCTAATTTAGCAAGAACCCGTATCAAAATAAGGGTATAATCTCGGGGGACTTTCAGCTGCGATTCCGAGTCTTAAACGCAACAACAGGACATTTTAAGGTACAGGGAGTCATTGGGGTCTGACCTAGGCAGACCAAGGATGGGTTTAATTTAGCAAGAACCCGTATCAAAATAAGGGGATAATCTCGGGGACCCGTTTCAGCTGCGATTCCAATTCTTAAACGCAACAGCAAGACATTGAATACAACAACAAAAATTGCTAATATGAGATATATTCGGCCATGAAATTTTAACACGAATTTGACAAAAAGTTGCCAAACCTGTTAGGACAGAAAACAAATGAATTATCTACCCACCTCAAAAATCCAGTTCGGCTACATTATAACGAAAACTTTTCACGCCTTGAACCAACAACGAATCATAAAATTTTATCCTTTTTCACACAATTTGGTTAAAAATTGGTAGCAATATTCCGTAAGACGTTATATCCAAAGCACAAAATACGAGAACCTGCTAATCCATCATGCATACAGCTTCTATTTTTAGATTTTCGTCTCTGGAATTTTTTTGAGGCAATTTTAAAGAGTGAATGACTCGTTTCATCCCATTGAAATAGTGGAGTATATTATAGCCTATATACATCATCATAATACGCTGTTTGTTTACTCAATCGGAACGATTTAAAGACGCCTTCGCAGAATATGACTCGGGGACAACCATCCGCCATTTAAAAAAAAAGAAATTTTGGAGGCTGTGGAAAGCAAGACGTCAAAGATAGCCGAAAGCAAAAACCGAGATACCATTATTTATTTTCATTTCATTTCATTTTCATTATTAGTCGTCCATCTTTTTGGAATATCTTCAACCTGTTTAGAAAGGGCCCAAGGCCAAAACTTGGGCGATTCGTGACAACTTGAGCAGTAAGAGTTCTTATCTAGACGACAGCTGTCCACCATTCCCTAAATGTTGTCGAAGAGAAATGAGATCGAAAAAGGTACTGATAACCAAATACTTGGATTTAGAAGGGAAATATGGCGACCTACAGTGTTAGAGGCTGTCATATTCATACTTGTTGTCGAAATGCAAATTTCAGTCTTGTTTAAAGGGCACCAGTCTCTCAATACCTGAATATAAAAAAAATATCCAAGATGGCTACCCAGTGCGTCGGCGACCAAATCTATTGACAAGGTCGCGGTGTCCCAAATATAGAATTTATTGAATGTGATCGCGAGACATGCCAGACCTAGATGAGATCTTCGCCAAAAACCGGTTTCTTGTTTTCGAACAAAAACTAGCTCAAGCAAGGATAATAATACATTACCGTATCTCCACCGCTAAAGAGACCACTTGTATTACCAACATACAATCAATCTTGTTATATCCTTGTTTTGATGTTCCATCTGCGGCGTAATGCTCCGTTTTACATTTCAGATGTGTGTCGTTTCGGTTGACGTTGTGTTCTATTCGTCGTTTTGAGTTGAATGCGTTGCCGTTTGTTTGTTTCTTTTGATGGAACACTTCGTGTTCGTTTCCATTGATCGTAACAGTTGACGTTCTAGTCCGTTGTAGTGTCCGTCTATCTGCACGTTATGTTCTGCTGTGGTTTAACATGTATTCATACGTTGTCTTACGCTAATAAAACTAAGGAGTAGTATACCATAAAATTGTGTTGGGTTATTTAATGTGATCTTTACTCCAAAATGTCGAAACGAAGCTCGATTATTAGAGTAAAAACCGTAATAAATGTAGCGATTAACAATAAAATAATTTATAAAAATCATATTAAAATATTATTTTATCAAATTATTAGCAAGCGCCAGTGAACACGGATTCAAAATAGTTTAGCTTTCCAACATAATTCATAACCCTTAACCCTTTTCAAGTTACATTTTCATTTTAAGCATATTAGAAAGATCGAGTAATACATTTAGAAATTGGATATATATATTTACTTAAATTTTAATTTATGTTTACGTTTCGGTAAGGTTTAATCGTTTACTAATCATAAGCTAAAACCGGAAAATATTTGCGCAGGTGATGCTAACACGGGTCAAAACTAATACGTTCGTGCGCTCTCTCCATATTTTAAATACGGATTTCCGTAATCCTAATTAAATACCTTTTGCACTGTAGTTGCATTAGGCGGTCAAACTCAGTGTGCAATAGGGGAAATTTTGCTTGACGATCAGTCCTTAACAGTGTTCTAAACCCTAACTAGAATCAAAACCAGGCGCTGACCCTAAAAAATGGCCACCATTATAAGAAACACATACTATTTTTAGAAATTTCTTTCAATAATACTGCACGCAAATTACAAACATTAAAACAATAATATAAAAATCTCGGGACAGATTTAGGCAGAAGATTCAAAAAATATTACCCCGAGTTCCACGCATCTCGATTAAATAGGGTTCGAACCCACGGCACCAAAGGTCTAACGTGAATGTTATCAAACTAATCGTTTGAGAGACTAATCGAGAAAACCGTGGCCCTTACTTTCGTGTCTAGTGCCGAGAATAAATGTGCAGGAACGACTGTTTTCACGAAACATTACATGGAACGCTGTTTCAGATCTAAACCAGATTCGACCCTATGGTGCCCAAGCGACCGAATGATAACCATCGTGGTTCACTCTAGTACAAAATTTTTTCATTAATTTCGGATTGCCTTTTAAGTTTGCACGTAATTTTAAGAACTGTGTCAATAACGTCAAAATGCCCGTGCATTCTGATAAATCTGCCCCAGATTTAAAACAGTAAGAATAAGTTTGTAGCTTATTGCATTTATTTACTATTTACAATTAAAATCTGGATAGCGTGGGCACACTTTGAACGAGTAAGCACACCCTTCACCCCTCCCTTAGTTAATGCTTAAATCGATAACCAATTTTCATCATGAACATACCAAAAATCTTGCAAGAACTGTTACGAGAAATTACTGTAGAACATTTTGGGTTCTAGTCAGACATCACTGGATTTGCACATCATTATGTTAAATACATCTTTTAGATTAAGAAAATTTACAGCTAAACCAAAATTGTCCTTAAAATCTACATTACTGTCGTACATTTTGAGGTCTACTCAGACATGACTGGTTAGACCACATCATTTCATTAAGCACATGTACTGAAAAATTCAAACGTTCTTTATCACTGTGTATAATAGCGCATCCCCAGTTTAGCAAGCCATTTTAAGGCTAAAAAACTGCGCATTATACTCGCAAATATACGGTAAACCAAAAGCTTGAGAGTGAGAGTAGAGTGGGTCTATAAAACCTACTGATTCAAATCGTGCCCCTTAAATAAGACTTAAATAAATAGGACACAAAGATTTTCTACAAACAATAAGGGTAACTGAGCTATATTACAAGCATGCTTATGTACAGAGCGGTATAAATTAAATAAAATTGCTAAAAAAAATTAAAATTCTAAAAAACTCAGGAGATAATGAAAGAGATATCCTAACTTCCGATTCTTTTGCAGCCTATGATTGGCCAATCTGTTCAATCAATAATGCAGCCAATCCCATTTCTTAAAAAAAACTTTTAAAATCTCTGATTGTGCAGTCAATTAATTTCAAGATTTCTGATTGGTCAATAATCTCTTTTTCATAATTTCAACCAATCAGATTTCAGCAAATGAAAAGAGATAAAAAAGCCCAAGTTATGGGGTTTGACATTGCTGACGTTTTCACATTTACTCAGGGCCAACATTTGCCAAAAGTGGAAGGGGTTTTGGTTCATAAAATAAATTTAAAATTTACAAATATTCTAGGAAAAACTTTAAAAATATTTTGTCCAAAATAGAATAAAGCTAATACTGAACTTCGTAAAAAAAATCTTGAAAAATATTCTAGGTATAAAAATCATTTCATTTTTGTCAGAGAAAATGAGCAGAGTTATTCCCCTTTACTCAGTTCAACAGTTTTTTTTTAAGTTAAACATAACCCTGTTTAATTTGCATATGCAAATTTCAACTAAAGCTTGAAGCTAATTTGCATAAAACAATGAATATGCATTAATCTTAACAAACAATCTAATAACATTTACTTCACATAACATACAGACAGAAGTTAATTAATCAGCAATGAATATTCATTAAATAATTTATGCACACATTATGCAAATTGAAGCTTTTTGCATATCAAAAACATATATTATGCAAATGAGCATTCAATAAATAAATAAAGGTTTAGAAGACTGGTTTTAAGTTAAAGGCATAAACCATTGATTACCTTTCAGCATAGTTATGCATGATTAATTCAATAATTAATTATATGCATATATTATATCGATTGATAACAATATGCAAATTTATTCAAATTCTATACATACCACATTATGTATGGCCAAACAAAAATATTTCCACACAATTTTAAACATTTCAAATCAACAAGAGCAGTCTATTTTATTTTGAGGTAGAATAAATAATAATTGAAACTATACTAGTCAGAACTATATTGTGTTCATTACTACTTCTGCTACCTTAAAAAAAGTGGACTGTTCTATGTATGTTTTGTATCGTATCTGCATGTGCATGTGCAGAAATATTTTGCTCAACAAAATCAGCAACGTAGAGGGCAGCTATACACAAATTAATTTATTCAGAAAACAGCAGTTCAGCAGTCGAATTAAAATCCTCCATTTTGAAACGGATAAATACTGAGAAACCTGAAGCACCAGTAACGAAACTAGAATGGAAGTTCGCGATTTTTACTGCTGCGATTTCTGGCACATTTATTTACACTTGTTCAAATTTTTTAACGTCGATTAATCCCACAGTTCCCTGAGTCGAAAATCAGCTTGCCATTTGGACGTCCAAATCGTAATTTTGCTGCTGCGGCTCTTCTTCTTCGTCTGGGTTAAATTCGTTGTTGAATGTAACAGGGATATTTTTACGTTTTGTTAAAAGTTCTTGTTTCCATGGCGGCATGCTTTCAAATTCTTCAGGGTCGATATTCATGGCAGCAGGAACGAAGTCGTCGTCATGGTGACTCTGACCAGCGTGAAGTAATTCTTTTTGTGAGCATGGTTTATCTGAAATTTCTGGTGGAGGGGCTCTTCCTTCCTTTACGGCTTTCTGAAAATAAAAAAAAAAATTTTAGAGTTTGCATTTCATAGATACATACCCATTTTGTCAGTCATCTTAGAAATCTCATCTGGTCAGTATGCATTCGATACCCTTCGTTCATTTCACCCTAAAGGACTTAAAAAAGTCTCCAGAGATATCTTCCATGTACCCAAAGTAGAGCTTGACTTTGGCCTTTGTTCCCTCTCCAATTTCCCTCCTTCTTCAGAAAGAATTGGAAGATCCTCAATTGCGTTCCTACTCAGAACAACTCGCCATCAAATGTGACTTGGAAGTTTCTGGTGACAAACCTCTTTGGCTCTGGCCTCATCTGATTTTTGTTTTAAAACTTTTCGTTTCCATTCGGGAACATCTTTCCATTTCTTTTGTTCTTCTCTATCACGTAAAATATCTCTCTGAAAGACAAAAACAAAACATTGGTCAAAATGAAAATGGAGTTTCTCATTCATTATATAAACATAAATGCTTAATTGCATATGACGTCACTATAGCCAAAGCTGCTTATATTATCTTCGGGCCTTTGCAATATCCACATATTAAAATGATTTTGAGACCCACAGATGTCTGATTGAAATTTTGAAAGGTGTACACATATAAAATTTAGAAGACCTCTTTAGTCCCTTTAATGTGAACAGCCTGTAGCATGCCCTTTCAGAAAAGTGACTATAATCATAACCAATGCAGAGAGGAAGTTAAAATTCCAGGCCACTAATTAAAGGGACATAACTTATGGTAACCAATGCAGACAGGAAGTAGAAAAGGACATAACCAATCCCAACCCCATGTAAACAGGAAGTAGAAAAGGGTCAATACCAAGACCATGTAAACAGGAAGTAGAAAAGGGCCAATACCAAGACCATGTAAACAGGAAGTAGAAAAGGGTCAATACCAAGACCACGTAAACAGGAAGTAGAAAGGGGACATAACTTACCACATATTCTTCAACTCTGTCTTTATTTTTCTTATCTATCATTTCTTTTTTCCAGACGGGACAATTTTTGGGAGTTGGCACTAAACCAGGACATTGACTCAAATCTTAAAAAAAATATAAAAAAAAATATGAATAAAGGCAACTGTTTCAGCCAGATATATGTCTGACTAGGTCTCCAAATTGTCCAGTCAGAATAAATCAGACCTCAGTTACACGCTCCTACAAATAATTTTGAAGACTAACCAAGTAATTTCTATTCAGTTTCTGCTATTTGAGCTCTCTTCTACGAAAATGATAATTTGTCAAGTGTTCAAGTTTTCGTTACCCAAAAGAAAAGTGACTGTCACATGAATTTTATCTCCAATGAAGACATGGATGAATGCAATTTTATGTCACATGATGATACATATTGTATGTTGATTGGTTGAGGACGGAAAAGGTTTTGTAAAAATGTCTGTCATTCAACACACACCAGTTTAAATCATCAGAAACATTTTTCTTGTTTTTTGTACACAATAGATTTATGTTTTTTGCAAGTCATGTCTGATAAAGAAGAATAAATTTACCACATAAAATTTAAAAAAAAATGAAAAAAATGTGGAATGTATCTTAAATTTCACAAAAACATTATCAAAATATTTATGTTTTGATAACAAAATTTCTCTTTTATTTGAAACTTGAAATATTTATGATAAAGTTTATCAAGAAATTATATCAACTTCATACAGAAACCATGGCTCATGTCAAAATTTATCAGAATTGACTGCGATACTGTAAATCATAGAGATTATTATGAACAATTTGTATCTTACCTATATCTGCAGGTACCTCAAAATCCATTTTTACATTGATTGACCCTGAAAGAAAAAAAAAAATAATTTAAAAAATATTCAAAAAAATCTCTTATTATCAATTTCTAATAGAATGTATTACATTTATACGGACAGCTGAGTTGATTGTACCTTAGTGACAGAAACTGGAATTTTTTAGCTAAGCCAATCAGTAATAGTGTTCACTTTGAAAAGAAAATCTTCTTTAATCTTCTGGTACCCGATAATTAAATGTTAAGGAATGGGTCAAATATAATCTAAATTTACAGTCTGCCAGGTGTTTCTGGTTTACTCAAGTTATAAATAACCATTTTACACACCAGACTTTCCTGAAATAACTCAACTGTTTAACAATCTCTTTACAGAAGTATTAAAACTAAACAATGCATATAGGAAGTTTAGAAAATTTACACACAGTCCCTTTAAGTACTTTCAGTGATCGAAAGGAGTTGAGACTCTCAAAAGCACTGGCATCAAGAATTTTTCCAACTTAGAGTTACTTAGTTACTTAATCATGCTTCCTCTGCCACCCCCACCCTTTTTACACAAAAAATGGCCCAGACATAAGGAATTTCTCCCAATATGAAAAAGATTCAACCTAGAGCGCCTTATAGCAGACGACAATCCAATTTCTGACTCAAGTGACCCCTCTCCACTCTCTTTTTAAACAAGAGCACAAACTCTTCCTATCTTGAAGCAACTTCAAATCTAAAGTAGCGTATCACGCAGCAAATGTCAATCAAACTCCTTATTTACCAAACCCACCCCCTCAAAATTTACCTAGATACAAATTTCGAAACACCACACCACATCACACGTGTTGAACTTAAACAAAATGGGAAATTAAAAGTGAAAATTGAGAAAGTTTCTTCCACTATCTCACGTCTGATATACTCTTAATATACCCACACCTAGATACAAGCACCTGCCAAAATACCTGTTACCATAGCAACCATTAGTTTGTTGTGGATAATAATTACAATCTATATGAACCGAAACTCCACGAAATTCTTTGATGAATTGTCAACAAGAGATTAATTTCAGATTTTAAGTTTATTTGAGGTAGAAATGATGTGAAAATGAAATGAAATGGAGTTTTACATCCTAATGTTCTAAATCTTATAGTTCTGGATGGACAACAAAAAAAAAAATCAATCTCAACTCATGAGTCACTAGACACGGCCTGCTAACAAATCCAACACACCTCATTTCACTTTGCAACTGAATTTTTTCAACTCTGTACTTTACATTCAATTTTATTGTTTTTTGAGTTTTCTCTTAGTAGGCCTACTCTCCATAGTGATCAAAAGTTGCGTTTATATGTAACTGGTAATCACTATGGTGTGAGGCCACCTTTAGGTTAAGTCTTATGCTGGCAAAGTTTTTTCTAAATTGCACATGGTCCACAGTCATGTGTGGAAATATCTAATATCTCCATCTAACCATTTAACAGATCCACCAGCCTCCATGCATCCTAGCAAAATGACCCCCATTGCACATGGCAAGGACTAGAGTTACAGGGTTCAACCTTGGCCTCAGATATTTGTTTATTTGAACCTGGCATTGGACAGATGTCATAAATCAGTAGAAGGTCTGAGGCTAATGGCTTTATCAAGCTGTGACCAATTGCTATATAGAATACTTATGAAAATCATAATCATAACCAGAGAACAGACATATACCAATAAAACCTGCAAACCAGAGCAAACCATCAAAATACACTTGTAAACAAATGACAGTGATTAAAATGGGTTTCTGTAATCCAGGAAAGATCAGTACCAAGATGGTAGGAAGGATTCATGAGAACTTAAGATGTTATTCCTGTAAAAAAAGGTTGTTTAGTGAAGGCCTACCAGAGAAAAATCCCTGAAAAATCCTTATCAAAACACAAGCAAATTCTTAATCAAGCTAGTTCTAGCCATCTTTGTAGAGTAGCCAGATTGAAGATTGAACTGACAGATAATATCAACAATCTAAACCACATGTTGGCCATATTTCATTGACTGTTTGACATGCTTCACATATTGGCAGCCATATTGGTGGTCACTATGGCGGCCATATTAAAGATTTGGGATTGAAGGTTAGGGCGCACTTTATTTTATGTGTATTAGTAACATGATGGCAGATGACACATTGATGAACTATTTTACAGCTTTAATGGTTTGACAGTTCTCATTTGAGGGAGAGGGTGGCTATGGCAGCCATATTGAAGGTTTCTATGGCGGCCATATTGTTGGTAACTATGGCACTGTTCATCCTTCCTGATCTTTCTAATTAGCTTCCTGAACTAAGGTCTAGTTACTAAATAAACCTAGGGGAAGAGGTCATTGAGTCTGCAGTCATGAGGTGAAAACAGGCTTAATGCTATCTTTGTTTAAGCCCTTACCATAGATCTTTCTCAATCAAAACTCAATCGCTGTGTTCAGGAAGGCTGAGCATGGCGTGCCTCAGTAAAGTTGACTCAAGTTAATGCTCATAATGTCTTCACAATGGTAGTCCTACAGTTTAGTCAAGCCATAGTGCTGACAACGACCTTTGCCAAAGAACAACTCGGCTATGCTATCTAATCAAATTTATCAGTGGCATCAGGTGTTCTGGAGGGCTGAAGACATCAGAAAAACTAGCAGGAACAACCGTTATCAATAAAATCTTGGCTGCACTAGTAATCTATATTATTGAGAATCCAATTCCACAGTGGTATCATGTGTTCTAAGTAAGGCCTATGCCTTACCTCAGAACGGTAAAGTCGAACAGACAAACCTCTATACCAAGAACAACCTTTACCAATAACATCTAGGTTATTCTAGTAATCTTTCTCCTACATAACATTCATACTAATCTCTTCTCAAAATACTTTCTCCTGGGTCAAAGGTCATTTATTGAAAGGGCACGGAACTGTGCTAAGAATGATGAAATCTTTTTCATAATCTCATAATACATGGTTATTCGAGTTAAGGAAAGCATGATATAACCACTCATTATTACGGTGTCTGCATTTTGCCAACTGGGTATTTTTGTTCCTAAGGTTTTTTATTCAAAGGGCATGAAACTGTGCTATATCTGATGCAATCTCCATAAGATTACAAAAAAATGGTAGTTGGAAAGACAATATTGGCACTTGGTAACAGAGCTTTGCTTCTTTAAATGATGTCATTTGCTTGGTTACGTCGAGCAAATGGCGATGTGTGAAAGTCCGGTAACCTTGAATAAGTCATCTTCACTCATAATTCCAGTCGACCCAGCTGTAAATGGGTACATATAATCCGGGAAAGATCAATGCCAAGAGGTTTGGCCAAGAACCAGCTGGTAGAAAGGATCCTTAACTGTGAACCTAAGTTGTTATCCTAGAATGATCAATTCCAAGAGGTTTAGTCAAGGATCAACTGGTAGAAAGGATCCTTTGTGAACCTAAGTTGCTATCCTTGTAAAATATAGTTGTTTCTTTCTTTTAGTGTCTTCATTTTGCCAACTTGTTGATTTTTTTCTTGTGGATGGGTTCTCATGGGTCATTAACAATTTAATGATAGGGCATGGAACTGTTCAAAGGCTGATAGCTATTTGATTACAACATGCCCACTTGTTGATTCTTTTTTAGTTGAAATGGACTGGAAGATTTATCTACATTTGCTTCCCACTTGTTGATTCTTGTTTAGTCGAAATGGGCTGGAAGATTTATCTACATTTGCTAGAGTAGGCTGTGAATGGATGCGCATTATATCCACAATTATACAGTATCTGAATCAGTCTCAGTTATGAATAACATATATTTCAAAGATGACGGATAAAGACATGAAGAAAGAGTATTTAGGGGACTGCAATAAAGACAACAGCCAACCTAGAGGGCATAAAGTCAAATTAGTAAAAGTAAGAGAGTCAAAACACAATAAATTCTGACATAGGTCAAATTCCATGGTTATAATACCACTTACGTTAAATATAGAAACCTCATAATATTGGTACTTAACTCGTGTTTACTAGTTGGGCCTAAATGACTTCTGTCAAAGTGCCATAACAGAGTTCATACACAGAATATTACGAAAGTTCTTAGATTTAATGTTCCAAATAGCAGTAGGTTCATTATGACCGCAGAAAACTACCATTACATCATACAAAATTATCTGAACCTTTATTGTGATGCGATTGTAGATGAACCACTTGCATTAATTAGAGAAGAAAAGATCCTTATCAACCTAAGTTGTTATTCTTCTAGAAAAAAGTCTGTTTCTTTCGCTTTTTTGACAAATAAATTCAAATCAATAGTCCCAGGATGTATAGAACTTTAAAATGGCGTGTCAGGAATCATTCCAAAAGGTGCAACATCAAAGATGAATCGAATTTCAAAAGTACTGCCACGTGTTAGCTATTAGCCATGATGCATCTACTGGCAATTTGGGAATGGCTTTGTGAATCATAATAAAAAAATAAAACCTCAAGTAATCCTATCGTACATTTGTGAGTACAGTGCTCAGTTTTTTTTACCATAAAAGTTTGATGAAATCATATCACAAATTCCAATAAAAAGGGAAAACAAGTTTGATTATCCACATTTAAAGCATATTTTTGGAGAACGCTTAACACATGGGCAGACGTCAAAACTTGACAACAACAGGCAAACAAGACGTCTAATCCAAAAGAAATTGTCGGTAGGTTCCATTCCATTTAATGTAACATATCACTGCTAGCAACGATTTGTACCATCCCATTGCTCAATCAGACGTCTGTTTGGTCTTACAATTCCACTTAAACTAAGCGTTTTATGACATCACTTTCGCAAAGGCCTGATATTATGAGCAGCTTTTGTGATAGTCATCAAACGCTTAGTTTTAGTGGAATTGCAAGATCCACAGACATCTGATTGAAAATTTGAATGATGCAATTCGATGCTTCCAGTATCTCAAATACACATAAAATTTTTAGTAAAACTCTTAACAATCTCTTTAAATGGAAGCAGAAATCCAAACAATTCACACTAGAATTCAAATAACTATAACACACAGTCAACAATACTATTACAGTTTATATTGGCTATCTTCCATTTTATTATTATAAAAACCAAAATAAACTGCGAAGGTGTGGGCAAACCGTGACTAAAACTGAAAATATTTTAATACACTCAGTTTTATTTGCTATCTGAAATTTAACCTATATCCAAATTCCTGATGATCAATGCTATGTCAGGCTTTTGTCAAGCTTTGAAAATTAGGATTAATTTAACGTTTTCAAAAGCAATTTGTTTTTCGATTAAAACTAATTACCAAATTCTTTCAAATATGGCAAAAATCATTATCTGACCGTAATCACAAAAATTGGGACCAAAATCAAAGAACATCCGCGAAACTAAAATCACAAAATCAAACAATGTCTAATAGTAATCTCAGCCATGCTGTAAAAATCAAAATGGCTACCACCTTAATGTACCTCAGGGATCAAATCAAATATTTCCCTTTCCTTCTTAACCTTGATTTTATCCTAATCGTTTTCACCTGATCAAAAAAAATGTCTGCACCTACCTCCAAAGTTTTGATAAAAATCCGAATTCCTCACAAAAATGAAAAAATTGAAATAATTCCAGTCAAAATGGAGAGTTAGAAACTTCAGAAAGTTTCTGAGTTGATTGGTAATTAAGGCAGACGTCTTTCAAGCAGAACAGTTTGCAGGAATTCCTTACCATGTGATAGTCAAGAAGCATGTACCCTTTCTCTGATTGGCCAAAAAGGGAATCCTCTGAGAGAAAACTGCAATCTCATTGGTTGAGAGGACATTCCCAGAGATATGTTTAGTATCATAATTTGATTGGTTGATAAAGAGATAAGGGCGGAGTTAGATGAGTCTAAGTTAGGAAACCCTATACTATATAAGGTCATGAACTGAATACTGCAGCTGGCATCAAGACTACAAGACTCCAACGTCCAGACACTTTCACCAGATGGTATTTTGATAACAAAATAGACTTGTTCAACGAGTATGATTAAGAACCGAAATAGCTTTCAGATGTATTTTGGTCTTGGCCTGCTACAGACTGAGTTAAGGTGAAATTTGATAAACATTTGAGGAAGAAAGAATGATTTCAACTTAATGGAATTTAGAAATTTAAATTTGAAATATTTTTAGAAAAGAACAAGCTTCTAATTTTAACTTTCAAAATTGATAAAGTAATTTAGAAATATTTCAATTTTAACCTAGATTTAAACCAGGCAAATAGAAATATATTAAGAACATCATAAATATAGGGTCTTCGCGATTAGTTATAATATCATAAAATGCTTAGTTTAGTGGTAGGAACCACAGATGTCTGATTGACAATTGAAATGGTTCAAATCAAAGCTATCAGTGTCCCTGATACACATAAAAAGTCTAGAAAAACTCTTCACAATCTCTTTAATAAGTTAATAAGACCAATTCCCATTTATCAAAGTTTTATTGGAATAAAAACCAGAAGTTCCTGGAGATAAGACAGATAAAGTCTGCTGACATATCTTCTTATACAGATTATCTCAACACAGAAACAAGATAACCCATGAAACTTAAAACTTTATCAAACTTCGTACCTTCACTGATTCCCCTGGACCAACTCGTAGAGAGTACATGATGACTATTTTTAAAGGATTTTTAAAGAAAAAATCCTATTTTGTATCTTCACTGATTCCCCTGGACCAACTCGTCAAGAGCACATGATTTTTACACTACTTCAAAGAGTTTGTAAAGAAAAATGAATTTTCATCATTCAAATTTTCAATCAGACGTCAAGGGGCATTGTTATTCCACTAAAACTCAGCCTTTTATGACCTCACTATCACAAAGGCTGATAATATTATTTAAGGGCCTTTTTCAATCTATATCGAGCTAATGAATACTGACAATGCCATGCAGTGTGAAATGAGGGAAATTCTGTCCCTCCAAGTCCTGAGCTCTATTTGTTTAAATGCTTAATATATGTTCTTCTGTATCAATAATCTAACAAAACCTCCATTTCTGTGCCTGTGCTTTCGTAACATTACTTAACAGCAGGTCACACATCACACACATGTTTCAGTACCTAACCTCTAGCAGTGGGTTATTGTTATAAAAATAATTTCTCTACTTCAGTTTATTTGATATGAAGGAATAAAAATAAATATAGCATAGTTTATAGATATTAATATATATATACTCTATTTATACTCTGATTTCTATTATAACTCTAGGGACAATGCCAAGTAATAAAATGTTATAATCACAATGAAAGAATTGACATATCAAAACTATATGTCATATCCTGGCAAACTGGCATAAGCTCAAATTATGAGAAAAATTGTATAGATAAAATTGGCATATCAAAACTATTGGTTCAAATCACAAGGAGAAAACTGACATATCAAAAAAATGGATAAAATGGAGAATTTTGGCATATCAAACCAAAGGATCAAATCACAAGGAGAAAACCGACAAATCAAAACTATTCTTTGAATCACAAGGAGAAAACTGACACAGAGAAAATTGGCATTTCAATATTATTGATCAAATAATCTGGCATATCAAAACTACTGTTTATATTACAAGGAGAAAACTGGCATATCAAAGCTTTTTTTGAATCACATGGAAAATACTGGCATTTCAAAAATATGGTAAGAAAACTGGCATTCTGGCATACGAAAACTCTTAACAAAAGCACATAAACTGGCATATCAAGTGTATTGATCAAATGACAGAAAATGGAGAAAATGGACTTACCTATCGTTACTATGTGTCCAGTATTACCATTAGAAGTTTGAGGAACGTTTGGTGTTTTTGGCACAGGAGGCGCTGAAGGTATCCCTTGTGACTGTGCTGCGACTGCAGGCATCGATGGCGTCTTGGGGATCATCGGTTCTGATGGCGGTGCTATTTGAGATTTTGGCAAGACTGGTACTGATGGTACTTTTGGAATCATTTGTGGCGGTTGCTTGGCAACCGGTGATTGCGGCGTAGCAACAGGGAATTTCTTGTTGGTGATTGGCGATGATGGCTGGTGATTTTGAGCCCCAAATGGTGATTGTGAGCCAATGGTTTTGTTGACTGGTGAGGATGGGGTTTGAAATCCCTGAAATCTGTTGACGCCATTGGATGCTGGCGTCTGCTGCTGAAATTTGCCGCCACTCGAATTTTGACGTTGCAATTCTTGATGCACTCCTGAATTTTGACGTTGAAATTCTTGATGCACCCCTGAATTTGGACGCTGCACCCCTGAATTTTGACGCTGCACCCCAGCTGATTGTGAATAAGCTGGCTGCACCACCGGTGGGGGTATGGATGAGAGTAGTTCCTCAGGGGGTGGGGGAAGGGGGAAGTCGTCAATATCACAAATTGGTACTATGCCTGCCGTTAAACTTGAGATGGAAGATGATGGAGATTTTTCAGCTGAAAAACAAACAAAAAATCCAAATTCTAAATTTTAAAAATAAATTCAAAACTTAATTATTAGCCATACCCAGTTTGTCAGACGTGATACGGATTTGATATCCCCACAGTTAGGGCCAGACCTGAAATGTTTTGAATCAGTAGTTTTCCAGAACTTTCACCACGACTAAAACTTGGCCAGTGAAGATGGGCAACACTATGCAGTGTGCAATGAGGGAAATTTTTCCAGGACAGTGGCATTGGCCTGCTCTTTTTTTAATTACCAACTATCGAGGGATCTTTAACGTGCACAGCCTGTAACATAGGGGGCCTCTGTTTATTGTCCCATCCGACAGACTAGACGTTTTTTCAGGGAAGTCCCTCTAATTTGCATCAATAACCTGGAGAGTTTGCCGCTTGCTCACTGAGCCACTACGGCTCCTAAAATATATCAAAGTCGACCAACCTGGAGGGGCACTTTCTTGATAAATGTCCCCAATTTTATCGGTCTTTGTTTTTTTGAGCTGTATTTTACTCAATTCATTTCCACTAGCATTGTCTGTTGACACATTACCATTTGTACCTGGAATCAGAAACCAGAGAATAGTCATTACAGAGTTATTGCCCTTTAATCAGTCTATTGGACACAGACCAAAAAGAAAACAATGCACAAAGGGGCTTGGTGTTTTGTTAAAACGAGGACATGAGCTTGTTTCATGTTTGTCTGTCCTACAGGAGGCAAGAGTCGAATTTTGTAAAAAATGGATGCTATTTGAATTCATGGGATTTAGAGTTACCTCCCATTATGTATACTCTTGAGTAGACAATCTAAAAGTACCTTAGTAATTCATTTAGCAAGTCAATACCCCAAAAGACTCATAAAGAGTAAAAAAATGGCTGTGTTCAAAGAAAGAAAGAGAGAAAAAACCATTTAGGATAATAACTTAAGATCCTTTCTTCCAGTTGGCTTTGGGCCAAACTTCCTTGGCATTGATCTTTCCTGAATTATTCCTAGCCAACCCATTTACAGCTGTGTCTACTGGAAAAATGAGGAAGATGACTTATTCAGTACCCATTTATAGCTGAATACTGGAATAATGAGGCAGATGACTTATTCAAGGTGATCAGACTCTCACACGCTGACGGGGATAAGAAACCCATGACCACCATTTGGCTACCTAACCCCTTAATTGGTGGCTAACTCATAAACATGGGAAAGAAGCAGACCTTCACAAAGAAGAACAAAAAGAAAGTAGCCTTACCTGAATGATTTCTTGGTTTTAACTTGACTTGTCCTAATTCTTGGATAATGGCTGCCGAAGACTCCACACTTCCTACACTAGAACTACTTCGAGAATGACTAGCTGACCTCGGGGACTGGTACCCAGAGACTTCCTGTGGACGCGACTGACGTCCTGGGATAGTTGACACAGGGGGTAGGGGAGGGGGCATGCCCGGTTTCTTTGTGGATCCCTGATTATGTTCAGGAGGAGGGGGAGGTAAGGGGGGTGACGGGCAGCGTGGATTGTTTCCATGGTAACGTTCTTGAACATGTAAGGGAGGGGGAGGGGCTGGGAAACTAGGGGGAGGTGGAACACTCGTTTGACCACAATCGATAGACGCTGACTTTTGCTGAAATTTTAACGGAAGTTTCGGAGAACCGACATTTTTTCCTTTCACTTTCATACTTTGATTCGCATCTGCTTCAGAAGCGCGTCGTAATTTCGGACTACTTTGAGTTCCGTTGGGTCCATTTTGGTATGGGTACATTTTGTGAGTTAACACAGGCGACGCCATTTTTTTCACACTTTTCCCAATTTGCATGTGTTTTTGATTTTGAGGGCTTTGTCCGTACGCTGACTGTTGCACTAAATGGTCGTCGTTATGGATATAAGTGTCATATAAACCTTCCGCCCGACTATATAGTTCCTGATGTTGAAGCTGTTGCTGTAAGACGTTGGAATTAGGCACGTAGGAATACGGTGACTGTCCCGAACCATAATGTCCCTGATGATGTTTTTTCCCAGGTGACATCGGTGGGCTGGGTGTGGAATAATGCGAGTCTGCATAAGTGATGTTGTCGTGTTCTGATATTGATGACCCCTGAAACGAGAAAAACAAAAAATTAGATTTAATGAAAGGTAGATATTGTAACATTTTGAAATGATCATGTATATCACACAAGGATGATCTGGGTTCCCATTCTGGGGCAACAAATACCCCCTTTTGGGTATCAACCAATGCATCAGGGTGTACCTCAAGAGCAAAACCCTCTGATGGGGTAACTGAAAAACAACTATTAAAAGCAGATGATTCTTTATCTTTGTGATCTGTGAAGCTGTCCAAAAAGTAGGTTACTTTTATATCTTCTGTTCAATTCTCTTATAGCCCCTGAAAGGGTACAATGAAGATGATAAAGGAACAAATAGTCCAAAAGATTGAAAACTTTAGTTTCAAGAAGTTTTATATAAAATATAATATAGTCCAAAAAGACAAATTGGAAAAAATGTGACGCCATTGCCATCGTCAAGCCATCTTAAAACTTGTCCTACTTCAACTATTGATTTCTTCTCTATTTATATTCATGAATAAAGTAGAATGGGGACAACATGTCTGCTATCAATATATTCAACAGTTGAGTTAATTTCATTACATAAACAATATCTTGATAGAATCACAGGACAGTATATTATCATCATTTGTATTGAAATATCAGCTGATATAAATCCCTACATAGTTGGAATTTTAAGGGAAGCTGATGCCAATTTCAGAAAAAAAATTTCTCATTGCACTTCAATTAAACAAAATTTCACTCCATTGCACACTTTCCCAGGAAGTGGCCAAAGTGTCAGATTCCTCATGAAATTCCCTTCATTGCACACCCAATATTCAAAATATTTTCCAACATTGTACACAGTCTTGTTTGTTATTCGATATTCTAAATAAGGCAGTCCGATTTATTCCATTCAGAAATGGAATTCCAGGAAGATTTCCAATGTCAAAGTTCTGATAAAATTTCCCAAATAGTTTAGCCTAATTTAATCAGAACAATGTAGAATGTGGACACAAGGTCTGCCATAAATATTTAATACTAGATAATTCCATTACATAGAGAATGCTTGACATTTCTCTCTAGAAACCAGTAGAAACATCATAATTCAATAATTATACTGAGATAAGAGGTCATAAGGTTTATATTGATCTTTGACTTCCAAGTCAGCCAGCAGAGATAAGATTGAATTCTTCAGTTTGTTTTTTTTAAATGTGTGAAAACTCAAAAAGCCAATTCATGAATGTTTTTTGAGATGATTTAAATTCAGGAATTGCTAATAAATGGAGTATTATGTTCTTTGCTTCAGCACATTACTTACTTAATGAAGACATATCATGCAGTGTGCAATGAGGGAAATTTTGCAAGGACAGCAGCATTGGCCTACTCTTTATTTATTTCCCATTGTCGAGGGATCTTTAACGTGTACAGTCTGTAACACACCTTGGTTTATAGGCTCATTTGACATCAAACGAATCAGAGATGCCAATATCCAAAGAACATTCAATGGCACTAAACAACGGCATCAAGATAAGACTGACAGAACTATCAGGAATTCCATGGAACCATAAATCAATTACGCCACAGATTATTAAGACTGTCAAATATTTCATGAAGTACTTAAAACTGGATGAAAGGGACTAAAAGCAGACGACACTCAAAATGACAAGAGCCTATCAAAATTGTCAAATTTATCATTACAGCCAGTAATACTGCTAATAAGTAGTTATCAAATATTTGTTTTACCAGCTGATAGAGCTTAATTAGTGCATAGCACTTAAGTAAGAATGGAACAACCCTTTTTGACCAAAAGATAACATCTTAGGCTCATGTGAATCCTGTCTTACTAAATATTAATTATTCCCTGTATTGACATTAATGGAAAAACCGAAAAATCACTCCCCAATATTAAAGAGACAGGTTCCCCAATTTTGGGGTTGATTTGGGGTTTTATAAAATACCTCAAACTAGAAATTTCACTTCCTATTTATATATATGTGTTTTCTATATGGCAGTGTCTCATGAAAAGACTAGTCCTTTTTAACTTTTAAACGTAGATAAATGAAGACATATAAGGATTTGAAGGCTAAAATTTCGATGGTGAGCTGTGAACACTATTACTGATTAGCTAAGCTTAAATATTCCTGTTTCTGAGACTAAGGTACAATTGGTCTAACGAATGGTGAACCTGCCCCTTTAATAAAAAATAAGTAATATAACTGGCCATTGAGAGACAAGACTAAGTCATAATTCTGTTTTAATGAAGCTTGTGCACACTCCCTCTTTAAAACAAATATCATATAAACCTAATAAAACAGGCGTTAAGACTAAACGGTAGTGGTTATTGATTTTTGTTTAGCGCCAATTAATTACAGAACAATTCCATAGATCCTGATATCTCTTAAAGTCAATATCAGGAACTGTTGGAACTGCAGGTTTAAGGTCATCCCAAGGTCAACCTTAAGTCAAGAAGCAATAATGTGCTAAAAGCTCTCTTTGGAGTGAGAGGAACGATGCTTAAAGCTCTTTTCATTAATCAAATATCATTTCCAAGTCATTTGTCCAAGTCACATATATCTAAGCCAACATAAAGGGTGTAAGCTCCAATAATAATATCAAATAATATTCTCTAGTCATTGACCTCGTCACGAATAGTTGTAATATAAAATGTTACTGTCTGTAAGCCAACAAAGAGGGTGTAAAGCCCCTTAAGCTAGGAAGGAGTTTGGCTTTACTGGTCTTCTTTTCTCAAGAATTAAATTCATGGCTATGAGAAAATGGTTATCACATAAAGTTCTAATTCATAACTTTCACATTGTTTCTAAGCCATCATGGAGGGTGTAAACCCCTCCTTAAATCAGCTTACAACAAAAAAATCTTTTATTTGTAATATCTTATTTTTTATTTGTTCTTATTAACAATTCAAAATAATACTAAATCGTCTGTAAGCCAACAAAAAGGATGTAAAGTCGTCTACAATAATCAAATGAAACTTGTAAACCCTTGGTCCATCCTATCTTAATCAAGGAACAAATTCAAAGATATCAGCAAACCGTTTCTTCGAATCACGTAACGATTCAATCAAAAATATAACCAAATCTGTAATCTGTAAGCCATCATGGAGGGTGTAAACTTCTCTTTACAGTCTGGAAAGATTCTATCATTACTCTAAGATTTCTTCAAATGATTCTTCTCAAGCCTTTTGTCTGTCCAATCTTAATCAAGATACAAATAGAAAGATAGCAGTAAACTGTTTGTGTGAATCACGTAAGAATACAATCAAGTTGTGATTAAGATGGATGTTCCATTGTTTAAATAAACGCTTTCATTCTACTAATAACACTTATAACACTATAGTCATTACTTCTAACACTGACTTATCTTCTCACCGTCGCCAGGAATGAATTGGTGCTGGGGCTCAGATTTTGTACTGAAGAATTAAAGGCCCAGAGAACTCATTTCAGACAATTTTGAGGTGCCAAACACATATCAACATCTATATCTTTTTGATTTTGTACCGAGACACTGTAAATGAATCAATCTCTGCTAAACTGAAGAAGGTATTGCTAGGGTGTTATTCTCACTTGCTGGGGCCCAGCCCCCACGAACCCCACCCTAACGACAGGGCTGATAAATTGTTAAGAGATTTACAATAACCAAAGTACACAGGATGAAAAGGTTTATCTCATGCTCCTGACAAAAGTGTTTTGGATGAAAAATCATCATCAGGACAACTAGTTTGCTTTCCAAAATTGAATTATAAAACTGTCTGCCAGTTCTACAATTCAGTTAGACATGACTGGCAATTGCAGCCAACACAACACTCCTGCCTTTTGTTCTATTGATATGTCATACAGAATAATATAGATGACATTAACATCCTAACTGCATGATAATATTAGACACATTGCGACCAGTAATCAGACATGACCGGCATGTACAACCAACACAACACTCCTGCAAATTTATCTTTTAATGAGATAACATTACAGTTCTCATCCATATGATAAATTGGAGACATCTAGGTTAATAGTCAAACATGACTGGCAAATACAACCAACACAACACTCCTGTCAATCTATGATATGCAAATGAGATGACATTTTATCGTATGATAATATTGGAGACATCTAGATCAATACTGGAACACCTACACTTGGAATGTCTCAGACAATTGAAGGAACAACTAGGTCATTGGAACAATACCATATCTTATGATTGGGTTGTTGATGGCGCCAGCCACCAAGAGATGCAGGTGCAAATTCGGGGTGGGGAGGGGCAAGCCCATCGTGAAGGGATTGAGGATGTTCTCCTAAAAAAACATTGGAAAAATAAAATTAATTTGGTACACTAGAAGACATTTTAGGGTAAAAACATAAAATAATCCTATTTTGAGGGATACACACGGTTTTCTACGGGGTGCCACCATTGGCGGGAGTGGGGGTAAAGTGCCTAATGGTAGAAATATTGAAGATTAAATTTTGTTGACATAATTCTCAAGTCAAAATTGTCAAAAAAGCCCGGATTCTTACCATATTTATAATAAATTAGTTCTGTCTAGGTAAGAAATTCACTTGTTATCTACCAACCAACCGAACACAATGCCACTCTCCAATTGGGTTTCTCAACTTGACTTTATAGCTCTGTTTCCACATTGCTGAGCGTTTATTGGCTTATGTTAGTCAAACACCTGAAGTCACTGTACAATTGGGTATCTCAACCTATAATCACTCTTAGAAAGTCTCCATGGCTAGCAACATTTTTTTGGCATTCCCCAAAAAATTTCCTCAAATTTAAACTGCAAACATCTTCAATTTAATTTGTGTTTCATTTACACTTTAAGAATCAATTCACATTCATATTTTATCAGAAACACTTCCAAAAAATGGCAGAAATCTCTGAATTTGACATTCCAAATCCTAATTTTACACGACAGAAAGCATAAATATCCATCTAGAACACATCATGATTATCAAATAACGTAACATTAATCTAATTTTACGCCAAAATCAGCAAACTTGCCAAGAAGCCATTTTCCAATTTTCTCCAATATGGTTATTCCCAGGAGCAAGCAGAACTGGTAGAAATTTTAACTTCAAGGTTTGATTTTAGACGGATCAATATTGGAGTATAGCACCATCACTTCTGAACTAGCTGTGTCTATTTGTTTTCCGTGCCAGTTAAGATAGATTAGTGTGAAGATCTAGATTGTTGTCACTGGCATTTGACAAGCGTTGACATTTGAATTCAGTTGGCATTTGGAATTCATTTAACATTTAAATAATGTTGGCATTTTATGTCACCATCACTTCTGAACTAGTTGGCATTTGACAAGCGTTGACATTTGAATCAAGTTGGCATTTGGAATTCAATTGACATTTAAATAATGTTGGCATTTTATGTCACCATCACTTCTGAACTAGTTGGCATTTATATTCAGTTGAAATTTATATTTTGTTAGCATTTGAATTTAGTTGGCATTTGAATACAGTTGACATTTGGATTCAGTTGGCATTTATATTTAGTTGGAATTTGAATACAGTTGGCCTTTGAATTTCAGTTGGCATTTGAATACAGTTGACATTTGGTTTCAGTTGGCATTTATATTTAGTTGGCATATGAATAAAGTCAGTATTTGAATTTAGTTGGCATTTGAATACAGTTGACATTTGGATTCAGCTGGCATTTGGACTCAGTTGGCATTTATATTTAGTTGGAATTTGAATACAGTTGGCATTTGAATTTAGTTGGCATTTGAATACAGTTGGCATTTGAATTTCAGTTGGCATTTGAATACAGTTGGCATTTTGATACATGTAAAATGACAGAGCCTCATTTATTCTTTTGTACATAATTAGAAACTGTATGTCCAATTTCAGAAAACTTGAGTAAAAACCTATTTCAGATCTTTCCAACGATCTTACTGAATGGTGAAGACAGTCTGCATTTTCAAAACAGTTTTCATCAATCCGTAAGTCAATTGTTACGATAACAAACCAAGGTTCGAAACTTCAAAACTTTACAACAAATAACACCTCCAATTGAAAAATCCAAAAAATACTTTGGAACTCTTCAGTAACTAAGTACAAAACAAGCGTCCACAGAAATCCCAAGCATAGTTTCCAAAAACAAACAATCACATTGCACACTGAAGGTAGTTATCACAAGAAATGTTTGAATATCAACTATGTAGGAATTTCATTACATCATATATTGCATCATAATTGTCAAAAATATTTATATAGATTGTCAAATAGTTGACAGTCAGTTTAAAGTTGGATTGCACTTGATTTTAATGGGTTATGTTCATCATCAGTGCAATCCAATCCAATCAATCATATTTTAATCTCAGAAACTTGAATTATCTATCTAATCAGTGACAGAGTTCACAGCTCACCGTCCTAATAAAAGCATTGTTATCTGTCTCACTACCTCCCTGTGTCAGGATTGGGTAAGATGTACGCCTGCTGCCCTCCGTGGAGATGGTGACCATTTTACAGGCTCTCTCTCAAGAATTGAACCCATGGGAGGAATAGGTACTTACCCTACTTGAGGTACCGGTACTATTTGAAAGACGTGTATCTGGAGATCGTGTTGGTAAAACAGGTGGGATCTTTTCTAATGACTGAAATAAAAAATAGGATTATAAAAAATTCAATCTTCAAAGAGTAGATGCAGTAGGAGAGCAGAAAATGACTACACGAGTGCCCTGTGGAACAGTGGTGGAGCCAGGTTTACGTCCGAGAGGGGGCAAATTTCTAACCTAGTTATGAGATTTTTGCCCGAAAACTCTCTGCCCCCCCCCCTCTCCTTTGGCTTGGCCACTGTTGTGGAATAAAGCTTGTTGTTGTTTTGTTCTGCAGCACTGATAAGGCTAATGAAGAAGGGCAACGAAATGCAGTGTGCAGTGAGGTAAATGTTGCTAGGACAGCACTATAAGCCTATTCTTTTTTAATACCCAACTGTTAAAATATCTTTTAACTTGTACAGCAGGTAGTACACAGGGCCTTGATTTATTGTCCCATCCAAATAAGTACGCTTTTTGAAACCCCAGTACCTTGGACCTGTATCACAGGTATGAAAAATCACATTAGGTGAATCTTGACCTATGCCAAGACGCCTATTCTTGAAATGATCTTAGCGCCACCACTCTAACACCTCTAAGACTGTTACTAGGATATCTTAGCGCTAAGATCGTTTCGAGAATATGTAGACGAGACTACCCAGCCATAAGAAAAAGATTAGGAACTTACCCGATGTGTACTGCCATTATGCCGAGTCATCTCCTCGTAGGTATTATTAGTATTGTACATCTGACGAGGACTTGGCGGGAAATTTCTTCCCCCGTCCATCGCCGCGTACGTTTGTCCGTAAGACTGGTTCATGCTGCTTCGCTCTGATTCCGTCTTGTTGACTGGAACCTCATACTCATCACTATGTTCTAAAATAAACAGATATCGGACATTAGTTGTTGAACTCCATGATGACTTTTTCTCAACATCCTTTTATGAAGCCATCTTGGATTCCTGTCATGAAAGGAATGTTGGAATGTTACTTAGCAACTACCAAGGAAAATCACATCAATGAATAACCAACTCACAGTATAATGTGGGCATAGAAAACCCTTGCGTTCGTTAATATTCAGGGGGTGGGGACTAACCCTAGGGGTAGTCTCAACTGACTTGCCCCAGGAGGCTGTCCTGTGGGACAATCTTGACTTTACTTGGCACAGATGGACAAGCAAAAGTTGACAGCTAACTAGCTATTTAAGAGAATCCACAAGATAAATGGTGTAAATTGTAAAGTAGTATTTGGGGATATGGACCAGCCCTGGGGGACAGTCTGGACCCTACTTGACACAGAATGAACAAATGTTTTATATAATCTTAGACTAAACAAAATCGAAGTACCCATGGGATAAATTTCATACATTTTTCTCTTTTGCCTCAAGAAATAATTTCATGGCATTGACAAATGTTTAAGATACACAATCCTCATCAGGACTGTTAGTTTTTAGAAATGGAGGTTAACTTTGCAATATAGGACTTAATGTTAGCTAATTAACTTAGAGCTCATCTCATGCTGATGACATGTGTTTACGAAAAGTAGCACATAAAACTCCAATCATTTCATTAATTGACATGTGTTTCCGATACACAATCCTCATCAGGACAGCTAGTTTTGAAAATAAATACAACAAGACTTTAGGTGTTTGAGGCAATCTACAAGTGAGCAAACTAACTGACCAGGGAAAAGCTAGAATATTTTGTTACAAGATTTGACAAGTTAAGACAAAAATAAACCAGTAAATCCTAGTCTAATATTAGTAGATACAAGAGTCTATATTTGGTGTGAGATTAATGTGGATTAATCAAATACAAAGCCTATTGTTTTGGGGTTTTTTTTAGAATTGGTAAGGCAATATATATAGAATAGTAGGTTTTTCTTCAATATCCATAATAAAATATCTTTTTCATACTAGAGGGGTTGCCTGTACTCATTTAGTATTCCTGGGGTTTATACGTGTATTCATATTACAAAACAAAATGCATGGAGAAGCCTGTTGATTGGCCAGAAAAAATAATATTAAAGATTTAGATCTGTTAAAGAAAGAACCATATTTTACACAGATAACACAGAATAACAACGGCTAAACATCTCGGAATTGATTTTTCCCAGATTATCCGTACCCTTTGACAGCTGCTTTGACTATAATAATGAGGAAAGATGACTTATTCAAGGTCACCAGATGTTCACACACCGACTGAGATAAGAACTCATAACCATAGCTTGTTCAACGTAACCAAGCAAATTACATATAAAATATCAAAAGTCAATAAGCACACTGCTTTACCCCTAATTCTCAAAAGACAAATCAAAACAAAAACAAAACACCTTACCATCAAATTCAAAACCCATTTTTTCTTTTTAAAGTCAAGTGTGAAAAATGGCGTCAACACAGTGAATTAGTTTTGTTTGATTTGAAAAATAACTTTGAAACTTTGAACAAATACGAACATTTTTTTGAGTGATTGTCGCCGATTGAGCCAAATTTTTGTGACGTCTGTCTGAAAATAGTAACAATCTCTAATAATGTGTATTAGGTAACGATTAAAAAGTTATTTTTGGTGTCTTTGTTTTACCAATTTTATCACTTTGATGTTCATTAAAGGGACAGATTTACATTCCATTTGATCAATTGTACTTTAGTCTGAGAAACAGGAATTATTCCTCCATTCAATTATTACTCCATTCATTCCTGCATTTCATTCATTCACTCCTTCAATCTTTCATTCTTTCATTCATTCACTCCTTCAATCTTTCATTCTTTCATTCATTCACTCCTTCAATCATGCATTCACTCCTTCATTCATTCATCAATTCATTCATTCATTCATTCATCAATTCATTCATTCATTCATTCCTTCAATCATTCATTCATTCATTCATTCATTCATTCACACATTCATTCATTTATTCACTCCTTCAATCAATCATTCATTCATCCCTGCATTCATTCATTCACTCCTTCATTCATTCCTTCAATCATGCATTCACTCCTTCATTCATTCATCAATTCATTCATTCATTCACACATTCATTCATTTATTCACTCCTTCAATCATTCATTCATCCCTGCATTCATTCACTCCTTCATTCATTCATTCACTCCTTCATTCATTCATCCCTGCATTTTATTCATTCATTTATCCACTCATTGCCCTAACAGACATCTGTTGTATGATAATAAAGAAGCTATAATGTCTATTGTTTACTAATAACACTTCAGGGGTCAATATTTGGGGTCATTTAAGGTTTTGTTGTCATCACAGCATGTTGTTTATTTATTTATTGATTGATTTATCGACCAAGGCATTGTTGACAGATTTTGGCATTGTGAAGTATGTTTTCAAGTTATTTGGTACATTTTCTGAAACTTGTCTCAAAATCTGTCCTCTCGTACATTTGATATGACTGCAGAGTTTTTTCCACTAAGGCATTGTCAAAAAACACCCATAATCTTACTAATGAACTCTTCCAATCATACTTATACAGTTTCATTTTGATAGAAAGTATGCATGTTTAGGAAGAGTTCATTAGAAATTTAAGGGTTGTCCAATAGATTAATGTGGCAATGTGAAGTCATCAAGAAAGGTTCAATTTTTTTGACAAGACGAGCAATCCTGATTTTTTCAAAGATGTACATTCAACGGTTTGTCATTTTTAAGGACCACCTTTCAGATACAAGCCATCAAGATTTTGTGGAAAAATTTTTGGACCACCTTTGATTCTATCCCATAATATTTAACAAGGAAATTTGCAAGCCATTGAGGAAGGAAACACATTCCAAAAAGGTTTATTAAGGATCATTTGTTGACAGACAACTTATCATGATTTCAAGATAGTCAATGTTGATTCTATCCCATAATATTAAACAAGGAAGTCTGCACATCATTAAGGAAGGAACTACATTCTATTTGTTGACATAAGGCGATCATGATTTGGCGCTGGATGGAAGGATTGTTTTTATTTCTATTTGATATAATTTAATGCCCTTTGACCCTTCTCACAAATTTCAGCACTGAAGGAAATGGTCTCTTTAAGACCTCTTCAAAATCAGGATGCTAGGTCAAAGGTCAGTTATTAACGATGTCAAAGGTCAGAGTATATGAGTTTTTTTATGTGATATATCTTGTAGTTTTTGACAAGTATATCATGGTAATTGGTCAATATACACACAAGATAGCTATCATGTACTTAGCTTAAGGTTCACTGGCCATTTACCATTGGTCTTAAAGCTGGTTTGTCCCTACGGAATAACATATTTTCGGTATTGGGCTAATGAAATGTCTGCAGCTTCGTGGGCGGACGGAATTCGTGGGGATGACGACCTCTGTCTGGTGTGGACACCTATGCACTTTCGCACGTTTTCATTTATATATTCAAACATATATAATTAATTGTTTTCTATTATCAGATTATTAAATATTGATAACCATTTATTTATTTACGAATATCATATTTTCTGTATTGTGTCTTTTCATTGTATTAGGTGCCGGATTAGCATAAGCTTCGGCTTGTTTTCGAAACCTTACTTATTTTCTGTAAAAAAATTTCATTTAATATAGAAATAAAATATTGTTTAAACCAATGAAATCATATAGAGTTTTATGTGCCACTGTTCTGTACTCTACTGATCTAATGGTCTTAAAGTTAGATTGACCAGAAGAATAAAATGTTTTTAGTTTTAAAATGCATAAAATGCATAAAATGCAGGATTTAAACCCTTTATTTTCAAAGTTTTTTCTGGGTCCACAGGCCCATTGACCTCCCTAAAATGAATTGAGAACAAATTTGACAGTGACCCTTTCAATCCAAAGTTCTATAGCAACCACTGATATTGAACTAATGTAATGCAATGGGATTTAATGTCCTACTGTTCTGTAACTTATTGGACTATTGAAATCCCTAGAGGATGTAAAGGATGAAAATGGTATAAACATAATATGTGATAATATCTTACTGTTGTAAACTAAATCAAAAATCCCATGATCTTGTGGACAAGCCATTTTGTTTTTTTTTTGATAATCCCATTAATGTCCATTCCACATGATTTTCTCACTTTTTTTATAAGTCACTATTTTATAGAGTCTACATAACTATTTCACATTTTGCAAAATAAGCAAATTCTGAGAACCACATAGCTAGTAAATTTATTCCAATTCCTTTTCTTAATGTATAATTTTAACAAATTCTAAAGAGCACATAAATAATCCACAGTTTTTCAAATTTAGCAAATTTGGAGAGTGCACAAATCCCTTTTTTCACAGAATCCAAAAATCTTAAAATTTTCCACTAACAATTGAGACAACAGTCATTGACTAGATCTATATAGAACAATAATGAAATGAAAAGGTATATTAGCTATGGATTGTTAATCCAGCATTCCAATCAGGTTAATCCTGAGTTAATCCATCTTAATCCCCGCCCAACCTACATCAAATCAAAGGGAGATAATCAGCTAATTAATTTGATTTAATTGCAATTAATGGATTGCCATTATTAGATTGAATATAAGACCCACAAAAAAAAAAAAAATTATTTTTAACATGAAGAAATTACATCTAACAATTCCTAATCCCATAATGCAACAAAATGTTACACAACGTTTAGCTGTCATCAAAGTGGGGCAGAGTCGGTTATGAAAAAAAAATGATGGTCGTGGGTCCTAATCTCAGTCGGTGTGTATCTTACGACCTTGATAAAGTCTTCTTTCCTCACTATTCCAGTCAACTCAGCTGTAAATGAGTACTGATAATCCATGAAAATTGAATACCAAAAGGTTCGGCCAAGGACCAACTTAAACAATTTTAGGAAACCTCTGTACAAGACGTTTAAATCACACTTTTTAAGAACTATGAATAATAGTTTGAAACGAAATGAAGCCCAAGGGAGTGTTTTTAAAACTGAACTAAATTATCACAAAATGAAGGTCTAATGTGAGTCATTTAAAATCTAAAATCAGAACCAGACAAATCGTGACTTTCCTCTGCTGTAAAAACAAAACTCTGTAACATAATCAGGATTTCAAAAAATTTCCAGATGGAATCAGTGTGAGAAAGGTCAAAGTGCAAAGTCAAAGGTCAAAGTGCAAGGTTAAGATTTACAATTCCCTTGGGACCATTTAAACCTTAGTAAATCAATGAGAACTGAATTCATTTATGACAGCTATTGTATTGCCCTATGCAGTGTGCAATGATGGAAATTTTTCCAGGATAGCAGCATTAGCCTATTCATTTTCAACTTCCATCTGTTGAGGAATCTTTAACATGCACAGCCTGTAGCACACAGGGCCTCAGTTTATTGTCCCATCCGAACGACTTTTTCCATGTCAGTCCCTCTTACCTGCATCACTGCAGGGGAAACTAGGTTGAAAAATCCTAATATTAGCTCAACCATGGACGTTCAGGTTAATGAGCAAGCAACTCACTAAGCCACCGCAAATCCCAGAATCCAGGTTGAAAAAACGGAAAGCAGACGGATATCTCAAATTTGACTTCTGATAAGAAATATCAATTAATATGGCGCATGTTTTTATCATGCAATGCACATGTAATAGAAATATCAATATAAAAACAATGTCATATCAATGACAATATTCAATATCACCATGGCAACCAATAATTATCTAAATAACTTCTTTTGATTTAATTATTCATCAATATTTTAACAGTTTCAATTTTCAATTCAATTATCTCACCCAATCTCATATAATGAAGGACTAGATATGCTGAAATGATGCCTACTGTCCTTGCAGTATAGAGTAAACATTAGAATATAAGCTACATGAAAGCACTGTTAGGCTCAGACTCCTTTTGTCCGCTACAGGCAGGTGTATACGAATCCGTATGCGTGACATACCAACTATATATGTTCGTAATTAACAAGCATAAAGACATAATCAAGCCAATGTCTGTTGGGAAATACCTTTTCTGAAAATACTTGGACGTTAGTCTTGCTATTTTTAGATGCGTACCGCATCCGTGAGCTCAAGAAATCGGTCAGTTGTTGAGTAATCTGTGGTACGTGAACACTTTTACGTATACACAATATGGATTGTAGATAAAGGGAGTTGTTTTAACTAAAAGTAGACAGAGTTATTATTTCATGATTACTGATATCTACATAGCTTGTGCAACTAGTCTTAGAATGTTTTTTCATAGATAAAATACAAACATGAGCACACATTATCACTTTTTCAGCCAAAATTGAGATTATTTTCGGTTGAAATTTCTGGAAGAGAAAGTGTGTTTACTTGCTAATGTTATTTGCATAAAAATGAAGAGCATAAAACCCATATCTTTTGTGAAAATACTTCTACTTTTCAACTCCTTCTAACAATTTAATGCAGTATGCAA